GTGGTCGTGCATGAAAGGTGCGAGGCAAACAGACTAGCGCTTTAACATCTATACTACAGTGTGCTTACTGACTAACCACAAATATATTTTAGTTTGAACAGAGTTCAAGACTAAATTAAACTCTTGGTGTACATATTCTTAGACATACAGTACACTAGTGTGTTTCATGACCAACCACCATTTCAAATGGTATAAGTATGTATGTGCCAGTGGCATTGCCAGTTACATAAATTAACATAAATTTTATTCACTTGTTCTGATTTAATGTAATAATGTTAAATTGGTTTGGATTAGCGAACAACTCTCATAACAGGTGCAAAACTCCATAAATTTGTACTAGAATTAGCCTAGACAGAGGTGCCACATGGGAGGAATAGATGTCGGGTGGAAAATGGCCAGATATCTATGGCTGGCCTACCTATGCTGCAAACTTTTTTAGACTGCATGGGGTTCTGAATACACATTTCCTAAATAAATTTATCATAGCTCCTTTGCGAGCTAAATTTAGCTTGCACTACCATATGAGATCATACAATTATTAGGACCAAAGAAAGTATTATTAAGCCAAAAGCATTAACTTTTTATTGCAGGGACCCAAAGGAACCAAATCTGTTCCTCATTCATGAAACTGATGAGACTGTAACAGGTTAGCTAAATTAGTTATGAGAAGGCACTAAGTCGATATGACCATATAGCACACTCGGAGGATGAGCTAGGATAGGATGGAGGGATGGAATGGTGCCCATCCACTTGAACATTCAGAAATTGAACACCAATTTATGAAGCAGGGCAATCGCTGTACCAACCAGTCCAATTGACTGTGGTATAGTTACACTACAGGATAAGATATTGTAACTTCAGTTTCAATAGCACACACATCAACATTTAATTAAGTGGTGCTAAACATGATTTTATGATAATCAGATATTGTAGACTTGTTTTGGTGGAAAAGCATCCTGCTCCTAGATCTAGGGTGCCAACAATCTTTCATTTAATAATCAACCACACTAGAAGCTGAGAGAGAGAGGGGGGGGGAGAGAGAGGGGTAGGGAAGGGGTTAATGCTGGAGCCTTTTTACAGCAAAGGGCCTTTATTGCATCTGGATGCAGTCGGCCACGTGCTGTATGAATGCCTGTTATTCGATTGGGGTTTGTTTGGTTAACTGGTGGGATAGGCAGTCTGAATAAAAATGTGCAATAAAGATGAAACAAGTTTGCCCAGTGACTGTACACAGCACCACTTGAGCAGTGTTCATACACTAATGGATGGCTCAAGAGCTTTAAACTCTGCCATGGCATTAGGTACATTAGAGTACATGGTAAAAGGCAGTCTGCTGAGGTTACCTCATCACCATTGATCTCCACTACAGTCAACCTAATACTATCATCGTCCACGACCACCCTTTTTATCTAAATAACTTGAAGGTTATACGCAGACGAGGAGTCACAATAATGTGACTGAAATATGTTGACCAAACCACACACTAGAAAGTGAAGGGTCGACGACGTTTCGGTCTGTCCTGTTCCATTCTCAAGTCAATTGTGAATGTCGATCTCACAGTCGACTTGAGAATGGTCCAGGACGGACCGAAATGTCGTCGTCCCTTCACTTTCTAGTGTGTGGTTTGGTCAACACATTGAAGATTATAGTCGATGGAACATGGTTAACAAGCAGATCAGAACATATATTGGCGAGTACAAACAAAACACTTGAATTTCTGCATCAAAATTGACAATTTTTTCCTTCTAGCTTTACAGGATGACTAACTAGTTATCCGAACACACGTTATCCATTCAGTCTCAGTCCCGAGGGGTTCAGATAGAATGTGGTTGTTTATTTTTTTTTTTAAATAAGATAAAAATTTGGGTATGATGTTTTTGCTCAACCAGAATTTTATTGTTGCGTGTATTTTTCATTGCATTGGATCGCAATAACAATAGGACTGAAACAAGTCCTTCAGCATCTTAGCATCTTAATGAACCTGGTATTTACAGGCATATTTTGTTTAGCTCTGTTCTGTACACCACTGAATCCTCAGTGTTGTTTACTGGAATTTTATGAATTCTTAAAAAATAAAAATCTATTACAGAAATATTCAGATTTTTTCTTTATTCTTTATCTATTCTCTCCACCTTGACCATACAACTAAAGAACACTGACACTCTTGACCTGTGAGAGCATGTCAATCTGCCCACTCAGACAATGAGCACTTTTCTTATTTTGAATTAAGCTTGCAACATGTCATTTATATCCTTTGCAGGAACTTCTACCTGTAATTCATATGAAGATGCCATCTTTACTGGTACCTTAAAGTCTCTCTATGATTTAAATACTTCCCCTTTTCTACAAAGGTGTAAAGGCATACTACAAAATGACTTCTGGAACTGAAAAACGAGTTATGAAGAAAGGCTAGATGGTTTAACTATACAAAATGAAAAGATGGAAGAAAAAAAGGCAAATGATCACTACTTGGAAAATAATAATGAGAATTGACCAAATTGATGAGGAAATTCCTGAAGCTGGCAATCTCAAGAACAAGAGGATACAGATTCAAGCTAAGAAAACAAAGGTGCCAAGAAAAATATTGGATAGTTCTCTTTTTTGCAAACAGTGGTAGATGGTTGGAACAAGTTTAGCAAGAAAGTGGTAGAGGCCAAGGTCGTCGGTAGGTTCGAAGCATTAGATGACAGTGCTGGGAAGATAGGACACCTCAAGCATAGCTCTTATCCTGTAACTATATAGTACTTAGATAAATACACATTTTGTGCTACATAGTCTTCCTGGCTAGTTGTGTTCTTTTGATAATTACCCTTCCCCCCCTCTGCCCCACTCATGTGTGTTATTACCTAAGTGTAGTTACAAGATGAGAGCTACGCTCATGGTGTCCCATCTACCCAGCACTGTCATATAACACTTTGAAGCTACTGACGATTTTGGCCTCCACCATCTTCTCAATTAACTTGTTCCAACTGTCTACCACTCTGTCTGCAAAAGTGAATTTTCTCATATTTGTCCTGCATCTTTGTTTAGTTAGTTTAAATCTGACCTCTTGTTCTTGAAGTTCCAGGTCTCGGGAAATCTTTCCTACCGGTTTTATCAATTCCAATTACAGTACTATTTGTGTGTGTGTGTGTGTGAGAGAGAGAGAGAAAATACATGATCTATCAGAAGGCATTCAGAACTATTTGAACATGTTTACTAATGTTGCTAAGGTACTGGATAGAATGAGGCTTAGACAATTGTCATGCCCTTAAAGATGCCCTGTATGGAGCAACAGGTAGCAAATGGAATTCGGGGTGTATAAATGCCATGTTATGGAATGTGGAATAGGAGAAATAGGTTGCATACAATCTACAAATTATCTGGAAAGGCATTAGTTTTACGAAAAAGATCTTGGGGTTCTGAATACAGTAGTAGACTGTCACCAGAGGACCACATAAAGGACAGTGTATGATGAGCATATGCTATGCTTTCCAATTTCAGAATCGCCGTTTAAATACATGGATTGTAGTATTAAAGAAGCTTTTCGTGACTTTTATGAGACCAAAATTGGAAGATGCAACTGTTGTATGGTGCCCATATCTCGACAATCGCATAAACAAACTGGAAAACAAGTGCTAAGAGGAGAAGCTAAAGGCATTAAATATGCCAAAACCAGAATACTGTATACAAGAAATAGAGGCGATATGATCACTAAATACAAAATAGCAAAAGGAATCGACAAAATTAACTGGAATTCTTGAAACCTGCAACTCCTAGAAAAAGAAGTTGTAGATTCCAGCTAAGGGAACAAAAATGGCAAAAAAATATTAGGTCATCTTTTGCAAACAGTGTGTTAGATGGTTGGAAGGAGTTAAGTGAGGTGGTGGTGGATGCCAAGAGTTTCAAATGTTCATATAACTAGTGTACTGGAAAGAAAAAGACTCCACAAATATAGCTCTCATTCTGTAACTCCACTTAGGTTATTACACTACAGGTATACACAATATAGGCTTAAAATATACAGGCATAAACAGTATGGGCTTAGACAATGCGGGCTTTGACAATAAGATACTAGATATTATTACACCTAGGGTATTACACAATACAAGTATACATAATATGAGCTTACAATATACGGGCATAAACAGTATGGGCTTAGACAATACTGGTGTGCACACAGCACAGGCACAACCAAGACACAAACTACATGCAAGACACACACCACACACAAGACAGTGGCATATGCAAGGCTGGCAAACATAACTGCCTTCAGAAACTTGTGTAAGGAATCATTCGGAACTTTGTATACCTCATATGTCAGACCAATACTGGAATATGCGACTCCAACCCTGAAGTCCACAGCTAGTCAAACACAAAATGAAGTTAGAAAAGGTTCGGAGGTATGCCACCAGGCTAGTCCCCGAACTGAGAGGAATGAGCTACTGTATGAGGAAAGATTACTGGAACTGAACCTCACGACACTGGAAGACACAAGAGCTAGGGAAGACATGATCACTACCTACAAAATTCTCAGAGGAATTGACAGGGTAGATAAAGATACTGTTTAACATGGGTGGTATGCGAACACCGGGACAGAGGTGGAAATAGAGTACCCAAATGAGCCACAGGGACATTAGAAAGAACTTTTTCAGTGTCAGAGTAATTAACAGATAGAATGCTTTAGGCAGTGATGTGGTGGAGGCAGACTATGCAGTTTCAAATGTAGATATGATAGAACCCAGTAGGCTCAGGAATCTGTAAAACAGTTGATTGATAGTCGAGAGACGGGACCAAAGAGCCAGAGCTCGTCCCCTGCAAGCACAACTAGGCAAGTACATGCAAGAGACACACCACACGCAAGACACATTCCCTCTGTATTCATTGCCCCTGTTAGTATTATCGGAATCAGAAAGCGAGTGTAGCAGTGGCATTCATCTTAGCATACATCTTCAAAAAACATCTCAAAACTTTTATTAATTTTGTTATATCTGTTCTGATTCAATGTTTTATATTTGCAGTCCACCCGACTAGGACGTCATATCAACAATATTCGTCGAAAGACAAACCATCAAGAGCTTTATCGGCGTTCCAAGGATCTAGTGCGCAAGTGGCGTAAAGAAGTGCTGGCAGATGGAGTAAATGGGGCAGCTGGGCCAGGACCTGGACCTGGCGGGACGGGGTCTGGTGGGTTGGGTGCAAAAGGGGCAGGTAATGGGCATCCTCCAACCTCACCATCTTCCTTACCGTCCAGTGGCAACACAAGTCCAGGAATGTCTGCCCCCACCACTCCCTCCACCTTGGTCCAAAGGACTCGCACAGCTTCCCCTACCCTAACCACTGCCCACTCATCCCGCCCACTTAAGCCCACATCTCCTGCCTTACCTCGGGGACGTGTATTGAGTCCAGGGATGTGCCCTGCTCTGGTGGCTGTTTCACCAACTATAACACCCCCTTTAGCAACACATGCTCGCCCACGGTCCCGCCCTCATTCTCCTTCAGTCAATCTCAATATGCGGCAGCCACCCAGAGCAGATGCTTCTTCCTATGCTCCAGGAACTGAAAATGTAGCAAAAACTAATACAGCTAACAAAAGATTAAGAAAAGATGAGGAAGACTCTAGTAGTGATATTCCTGTTGCCAAGCGACCTAGAAATAATGTGACGAATGGTTTCGATGATGACAGTAGAGACAGTTTTTCCAGTGTAATTAGCAATGACTGTACTTCTAAAATTACTAGTGGAGGTAGTGATAGTAGTAAAATGAGACGAATAGCTAATTCGAATGCCATTTCAAAGAGAAAACTAAACATTAATGAAATGCCTCTTCCTACAAATACCCCAGACCTCCTTCTCCAGAAAATGGCTGCCCTTCCAATAACCACTAAAGCCTCCAAAGTGAAAACAACTTCTCAAATTGTTGCAGAACTTGCTGAACGAAAAGGTGATAGTAAATTGGCAGAAAGAGCAACAAAATTGGAAGAACAACATGTGCGGGACTTACCTGGTCCTGGAGCAACACTTGGTATGGGTAGAGCGACTGATAATGCAGTAGTCACACGTAATAAAATGGACCATTTGCAGCGCTTCCTCAGTTCACAACCAGGCCCTGCATTCGATGACTTTGTTGGTGTTGGTGATGAGGATAGAGGCTCAATATCTTCAGAAACAGAAGCCAGAGGATCCACAAGTGCCCCAGTCTCTCCACCACTTGGGCCTACAGATCTCCCTTTACCTATCATGACACCAAGTAACCTTGATCTTCTTGGTGTTATGGCTCATGAAACTGCTGAAGAGATTTTAGCCCGCCTTCCTCCAATTGACGCTTCTAGTATTGTATGGGATGATCCCGAAGAACAAATTTATGTACAGGAACAGAAAGCTGAAAATTATAGTGGCAATGAACAAAGTGAATCTGAGGATGAAATTGAAAAATTAGTGCGAAAATCTGAAAAAATTTCTCCAGAGGCGATAAATACACTTCATACAACTAATCTAGATTGTCAGAATGGTAATTTTGATATGGACGGCAAGTTCAGAGAGTGGCACGAAGTAACTGTCAGAAAAGGCTACCAGGATGATCCATTGATAGTGTTGCCTTATGTGATAACTGACTTTTGAAACACACAGTTTACAATGAAAAGTGGTGGCTAAGAAATGTTAAGAGGCTACCTAGTTATTAAAAAATGTGGTTGTCATTAACTTCATTTTCCCATACCATAGAACCCATTAGTCTGTTCCTTGTTAGTCTGTGTTTTCTGTGTGATATTATTTTTTTATTTTTATTTTTACTTTTTTTTGTGGGAGGGGGTGAAGATTTCCAAAAGTGTTGCTATTTACGTTAAAATATACTTGAAGAGAATGGCATAAGTTGATATTGCTGACCTTGCTTATGTTGCCTCAATTTTAATTTGAAGACGACCTGAAAAAAATACAAGAATTCTTAGGATTAAGTGTATACAGTGCCTAAAAGAACCAAGTGAACCAAGCTTTTAGTGTCCTCTGGAAATATCAGTGACATGCAACCAGTCATATTTTAACAACTGCTATAATTACACATTTATAAACTTGTATGCAAGCTGATTTTCTTCAGGTGACTAATATCATGGTTCAGTAATTTCTATTCATCTATTATGAAGTCATTACAGTTGCCTTCAGTAACTTTTCCATATCCTAACTGAAAATAGTATACCATATATGTTTGATCAAGTCAGTGAAGTGTAAACATTCAGGGCTTAAACCTGAATCTAGCATTGTGTGGAATTGCCAAATCCAAGGTATATGATGTTGGAGTTCCACTTGTGAGGGTAGGATAGTCATGTGTGAACCTAAAGCCTTTGTGGGTCAGTGGAAGCTCGAACATTATCAGTTATCTCTACCACAAAGTTAGTGATCAAAGGTTATCTTTCAATGTCCTGAAGAATTTTATAGTCTGTTGCAAATGTACAAGCCCCTGGCATAATTAAAAGCTGATCCCATTTTACAAACTGTGATATTAATTGCATTGTTATTTTTAATGTTAATCTAATGAACATGCTATGGTATCCTTGAGTTTCACGTGAAACATCTTGGAGCTTGTAATTCAAACATTGTTCATTAGAAGTTAGGTGTTTGGGAAATTTAAGATGGCTTTATTTTTTATTTTTTTTTCATGCTTACAAATGGGGCATTAATACATCAGAGGCAAGAAATATATCACTTATAAATTTTTTTTTTTTTAATATTTGTGGGTATTAAACTTGGCTTAGGGTTCACTCCTCACCCACAAGTGCTATGGAACTACACCTGAGCATTAAGAGTATTGTGCTTAAATCTTGATAACCAGACCAGCAGTTTGTCCTAATTTCTTGATTTACTCATTTCTGCGGACTATACGGTTGCGAATAGTAAAACACTATTATTCGGACAGGCAGTCGCAGAAAGTCCTTACTTGTCAACCTCTATACAAATTATATATTCTTAGTTTCCAACTCTGGCTGGTTGTTGTATGTCTGTGATGGATGCATATGTCTCGATGGAAAATCTGTTATGCAGAAGTTGAAGAGGTTAACTATGCTCATGTATATTGTCTTTACATGCCAAAGAATCAATTTACATGATCTGTACACAGGAACCTTTGTTTTACAAGAATATTCTTCTCCCGTGAATCAATAGTTGCATTCCTATGTTGTGAATTGAAAAAAATTCTTCTGTTTAATTTCATGTTTCTATGCTTCCTCTATTTGACCAGCTATTGCCTTAGGTCAGTTTCTGGACATTGCAATTCATAGAATGGACTTGAAGTTACAATCTTTCATGGGTTTTGAAAGTGCAAGAGTTTTTTAAAGCTAGGAGACATTGTTTCATATTGGAATTTACATTTTTCTGGTATTTTTTAATGCCAAGTTCACATCTTTGTCTTAAGCATTTTAAAAATTGTGAAGCTTTGTCTATATATACCTTCACACTTTTCCTTGTGAATTTTATGAAGGTAAATATAGTGTAATTTTGTTGAAAGCCAACTGTTTGATACACTACAATTCTTCCCCATCTCTGAATTTTAAGAAATATTCCTAAGTTATACTCCTGTGTGATCTGATACAATGAGTAGATAGCAATGTATATATGAGACATTTAATTAGATGCATAACATGGCCTGTACTATGCAAATGATAAGTAGACCAAACCACTCCTCTCCCTTGCATCTAACAGGTCCATTATCCTTCCTCCAATTTGTGTTCAGTCATTACGGTAAGAAAATCTGAAAATTTGCGCATTTGTTATTGTCATTAAGGATGAATTCTTATAGGTTTTGAAAAAACATTTTCACTGCTTTATTGTTCCTGATAGAATATTAAAGTACTGCCATGGATATATAATTATAGTACAGGAAATTATAAATCAGTTTTAATGCTTTCTTTATTGCCATAATTTTTTTACTGCCATTTGCAAAATATTGTCCCTTATGCCTTTTTGGGAAATGAAAAGTTTATTTCATAAAATAATCTTACAGAAGTTGCTAAACATGATCTTATGTAACCAAAGCTTGGCTACAGATAACTTGTTCATTGTTAATATATACTGCCCCTGTTTTGTTTGGGTATCTTGTAAACCAGTGACTGAAATAAGAATGCAAATGTCCATTACCACTCCATTAAATATTATGATGTTATTTGATGTTTTGTAATTTATAGTTTTGTTGAAAAGAATACTATGGATTCATTCCTATGAGAATACAAGAAAAGTCCAATAAATTGATAATACTGTAAATAGTTTTTTGTACTTAAATATGCAAGTAACTTGCATATGTACACGAATGCTGTGTGCATAATGATTGAGGAAGGGGGGTGCTGTACACAAAATCCTCCTACCTATTTACAACACCCCCCTTGTGAGATGGTGTTGTAAATAAATATCTTTCCGTTACCTTTTTGTTTGAGAGTGATTTAATCAAGGTTTTAATAATCTCTTAAATCAATTCTATTGTAGGGAAAAATAATAGCCATTTCTTGGTGGCCTTAGTTTCTGGCATTTATTTATAAATACAGTAATCTCATTGAATACCTCCTAATTTTTACGTAGAAACTTTGCTCATCCATTATTCACGTAATGTTCTGTTTGTGATTTTATCTCGTGAACAGTTCATTACAAAACAGGTGACCATTCCATTATGCCAGTGTGATGGTTCTACTTAGAATAGTTTCTATCCTACATGATGCTTTTGTGGTTGAATCTCGCAGTGTTTTCTTGGCTCTGGAGAGCATTTAATCCTATGCTCCCTGTGGTTGTTGAAATCTATTACTGGCCGTTTCGTATCTCTAGCTGTTTTAAGCAAATTGAATTTTGCTGGGTTCCCAGCCATATTGGTATTCCCTCAATTGAGCGTGCGAACACTGCCTCTAAGAAGGCTATCTGCACTTGTCCTATTTCCTGAAATGCATTCCTATTCTGATTTGTACCTGTCATTCATTCTTCGAGCTGTGTCCAGTGGCAGGAGCATTGGTCTTGTGTTACTGGTAACAAACTGCGTGCTCTTAAGGGTAGCTTGTCCCCTTGGCCTTCCTCCTACCACTGTAACTGGTGGTGGGAAAGCAGCTCTGGCAAGATCATGTATTGGTCATGCACATCTCACTCGTGGGCACTTAATGGAACACCACCCTGCTCTTTATTCTCCGAATTGCCTCGTCTTTACAGTCTTGCATCTCGTTGCTGAATGAATCCTAATTTTCAGGACATTCGTGTGTTACTGCAAAAATAAAATTTTTGCATCAATTTTATCCTGAACCATTCCTCGTCATTTCTCTCTCGGTTGAATCCTTGGTGAATCTAATTCCTATGGTATCATTCACCTTATTTGCTTCTGATCTTGTATTGGCATCCATGATGATATTTAGCACCTTTGAATATCCAGCGACACTGAGGATGCTACATAGTCTACCCAGCTGGTGCCGTCTTTTGATATTTTGTAAAGTTCCTAAGGGCTGTTTAAGGTGTGGCTACAAGATGGGGCCCAACCATATTGGGGTGTGTATAAATGAGCGTGGGGATGCAGCTGCTAGGGAAGCTGTCCGCTCTTGTCTCATCTCCCATAAAGGTATTCCTTATTCCAACTTTTACCCAGTTATTCATTCCTCCATCCTTACCCATTGGCGGGATTGTTGTTCTGTTACTGGTAACAAACTGTGTACTCTTGTAGTGAGTCGAGTAGTGTGTCCTCATGGTGTCCTCCTACCACCGTAACCGGCGTTTGAAACGGCTCTGGCGAGGTTGCGTATTGGACATACACGCTCAACTCACTGTCACTTAATGGAGTGCCGCCCTGCTCCTTATTGTCTAAATTGCATTGTTCCTCTTACGGTCATGCATATCCTTGTTGAATGTCCTGACTTCCAGGACGAGCTTGTGTCTTGTTTTCCAACCATCCCTTGCGGTCTCTTATCCCTCTAGAATTCTTGGTGAATCAGATGCTTTTGATATCATTCACATTATGCATTTCTGTTCTCGTATTGGTATCCTTGGGGATATTTAGCACCCTCTGATTATTCTGCACATTTGATGGTGCTACATAGCCTTTCCGGTTTGGTGCCTTCTATTGATAATTACTTACTTATAGCTTGATGTCTCCAGACTTCTAGTGGATTCAGGCAGATACCAGAGGGGCTGGAGGAAGGTCTTCCCTTCTGGCTTTGTAGCTTTTGCTGTGTTGGGCCTTGACCCTGCTCTGTCCTTTTCTTTCTTTCTCCAATTCTCAACCCCACGCTGCTGTTTCCTTGGCAGTGACATCTTTCTGTACGACCCCAAACTTGTTTGTGACGACGGCACCTTCCCCCTCAATATTCCCTTTCCTCTTGACGTCGCAATCATGATCGGCTTCACTCTGTCCCTTCTTGTGTTTCTTCCTTCAACGACACCCCCTCCCTACCCCATTAAGGGTGGCTCTTTGACTTGGTAAGGGGGTATCTTGTTCACCATCCGCTGGTGGCTTCTGCCTCCTTCGCTTGTCTGCTGTGACAGTGCACTAGTGACTAACTGGCGAGTAGTTAGATTGTAACGCAACATGCACAAGGCTAGTGAAGTAGGCGGTGCATAAATAGCCAGATCGCAGACACTGATAGGTAAGTACTAATTATGCTCATGTGGCTGCCACCTGTGTGTTCGCCGTGCATGGTTGCTCCTTCATCTGGTCGTCAAGCTTACCCAGCGGCAACACTTGGGGGAGAAGGCTAAAATGGAAGGTTCAGTGAGGCCCACTTGAATGAAACTGCTCGTCTGGCTAGTGCGTTGGTTAGACGTTGGGTCAAGTGAGAATTGCAATGTCGGTATCACTATTTGTCCCTGGGCTGCCATTTGGCCGTTTCACTGTTTATCAGTCAGATGTAACTACTGTAGCAAGTATATTATGTCAACAATATACTCGCTCCAAGCTCTCATTAGCTTAAGGAGATAAGTCTATTTAATCCATTAAATATTTTCCCTAATTACAGGTAACATTCTTTCTATCCTATTGGAGGAAGCTGAGGTGTAGTCCAATAATATAAGCAATCAAGAAGCGAGTAAGCTGCGATTTTGGTCCGGGAGACATCTCCCGTCACGCAGGGTGCAGTTGCGCCTCCACAGATCTCCAGTATCATCTTTTGATACTGGTAATGGCTCAAAAGGGCCACCACTTACGGGCTATTCATGCCCGTGCCACCTCTTGGGTGGCTTAATCTTCATCAATCAATCAATCGAGTAAGCTGCAAGGGCCAATACACCATTTGGTCCGGGAGACATCTCCCGTCACGCAGGGTGCAGTTGCGCCTCCACAGATCTCCGGTATCATCTATTGATACTGGTGATGGCTCAAAAGGGCCACCACTTACAAGCTATTCATGCCCGTGCCACCTCTTGGGTGGCTTAATCTTCATCAATCGAGTAAGCTGCAGGGGAGACATCTATCGTCACGCAGGGTGCAGTCGCACCTCCACAGATCTCCAGTATCATCTATTGATATTGGTGATGGCTCAAAAAGGCCACCACTTACGAGCTATTCATGCCTGTGCCACCTTTTCAGTGGCTTCATCTTCATCTTAATACATTCACAAGGGAGACATCTCCCGTCACGCAGGGTGCAGTCGCACCTCCACAGATCTCCAGTATCAGCTCTTGATACTGGTAATGGCTTAAAAGGGCCACCACTTACGGGCTATTTATGACCATGCCACTACCTTGTGGATCCTCACTGAACACTGATATTTTCTTCCCCTACCACCCCTATTCTTTTAGTGTGTGTGTATATACATCTAACTTTATTTTAAAATTTCATTACACAAAAAGGGTTACAACATTGGTTACATGCAAGGTACAAGACTACTTGTCACAAGTTGTACAGCTCCTCCAGCTCCTCAGATGGCGGGCAGGAACCATGGATGTAGTGAGCATTTCCTCTCTGGATCGCCACACTAAGGCGCTGAAAGAGAAAACTTGAACAAGCTGCAGAGATGGTGGTCTGTAACTCCACCTGAGAACTCCAGAGAAATAGCTACTGGAGTTCAACACGAGCAAGTGTAAAGTAATGGAAACTTGACTAACCAAAGGGTCAGTACGCAATGAAGGGGAAACTACCTTCCTTTGAAGATTCGAGAAAAGGACCTTGGAGTGGACGTAACCTAAAGCTAATTCCTGAGGCACATATAAATTGGATAACGACAGCAGCGTACTCTTACGTTAGCAAAATCTAGAAAGTCATTCAGAAACCTAAGTACGAAGGCATTCAAAGCGCTTTACACTGCCTACGTGAAACCAGTCATAGAGTATGGAGCCCCCCACCTAAAGAAACACATTGGGAAACTGGAAAAGGTTAACTGATTTGAGACGAGGCTAGTCCCAGAGTTGTGTGGGATGGGAAAGGAAGAGCGACTGAAGGAACTAAACTTGACGACGCTAGAAAAAAAGGAGGGAGTGGGGAGATATGATATCAGCATACAAAATACTCAGGAGATTGACGGAGTGGAAATAAACGAAATGTTCACATGGAATACCAACAGAACAAAGGGACATGGGCGGTGCTAGAGACTCAGATGAGTCATAGAGATGTTAGAAAGTTTTCTTTTAGCGTGAAAGTAGTGGGGAAATGGAATGAACTAAAGGAGCACATTGTGGAAGCAAACGCTATTCATAGCTTTAAAACTAGGAGTGATAGAGAAGTAGGACAGGAGTCATTGCTTTACACAACCAAAGGCTAGAAAGGCAGGATCCAAGAGCACATTGCGTTAAATTTAAGTGCTCGATCCTGCAAGCACAAATAGGTGAGTACAAATATGTGAGTATACACACACACACACACACACACACACACACACATAGATAAGTGTTAGAGAGGGAAATATATAATAGGCTAAATATAGGAAAAATAGATTATTTAGAAAGGCAGGGTGTAAGAGCTAATAGTTCGATTCTGCAGGTACAAATAGTAAATACACACATGACGATGGAGATCTTGAGAAAAACCTAGTAGTACATCTGGAGACAAGGGACTCCGTGACACAACACCAACATGGGTTCTGGGATGTAAAATCTTGCCTCACAGGTTTAGAGGAATTCTACTATCAGGTGACAAAGATGAAGCAGAGAAGGATGGGCACAGTGCCTTTTTTGGACTGTTTGAAATCCTGAATCGCTCTACGATTCACCTAACCCCTTTATTCGTAGAGAGTGGCGAAGGGTAGGGTGATGTGAGTGTTGCCTGAATCCGGCTTCTATCTGTCCGCCAATGTAGGTCTTACATTTTCTCTCTGGATCAATGAAGAACCATCGAACAGAGGGAAAATGTTTGGCCGAAACGTTGTGCGTATTAGTGGCTTTAGGTTTTGTATGTACTTGCTCTATCTATAAATCCAACATTATGTTTCTAACTCATCATCTATGTATGTACTTTTCCTGAATAAAAAAAATAATTTAATTTAATTTAATTTAATGAATAAGATGTTGATGGAGAAGTTAGACAAGAGCCCCAAACACTGGCTCGTGACTGTGCCATCTAGGGACTAAACCCTGAACCAGCGTTGTGTCCGTCGGGGCGGAGTGTGGCGCAGCAGCGGTCTGGCGTCCACTCTCGGGCCCTCAGTTGCTGCTCTTGGTGCTCATGAAGACATTCATAACAAACATGGCATCGATGGTGGCCTCTGCGACCGTGAGAGCCGTCAAGGGGCGCCGTCTCATACCCACCCGGGCAGCCCTGGTCCTGGTGAGTGTTGCTCCTCACCTCAAGAGTACATGCACAATAACTTATTATTATTATTGCTCTTAGTTTTGTCTAGGTTCAAGGTGGCAGTGAGGCTACTTACGACTGACGTGCGTCGTTGTAAGATAGTTCTTTTAATTATTTTCATTAATTTTGGTGGGGAACCTATGTGAGGAAAAAATGACTTCAATGCAAAGTACATGGACAGTTTAAGTGTTTGTTGCTTATAAAAATATAGAATATAATTGAAATTTTAAAGTGATAGGTTTATTTTTTTTTTATATATATAATATATATACTGTATATATATCTATATCTATCTATGTATATTATATATATATATATATATTATAATATATATAATTGTGTTCCTGTTTCAGACGCAGAGTGCTGTTGAAAAAGTTCGGGAATTGTTAAACAAAAACCCAGAGGCAGTGAGTATAACAAATGTGCCTTTTTTATATAAAATCTGTATTGCATTGTTATACAGTACTATATTTGTATATACTGACTTGTGTTCTTTAGTGTGTTTAACTCTTTCACTGCTATAATTTATGATCTATGAATATTAAATTAGGGTTCCCTACTATAATCACCTTGAATTTATGTGGCTAAAAAATTTGTCAAATCGTATGAAGTTCGACCAGGTTCTCCTGGCTGTCAAACTGGCACTTGTATCCAGTAAATGCTGCCATCTATTGGTAACACTCTAATATCACCCCAAGTGGCAACACTCAAAACTGGCAAGAAAGAGTCCCTCAAACCCCCAAACTCATCCCTATTTATGACTTTAATTAACTCATGTTACTTTCTACATTCGGGAATGTTGTGTAAGACACATGGTGTCTGACACAGACGAGAAATAATAATAAAATGCAAAATTTCCTGAAATCAAAAAGAGGGTTTGAGCAGTAGGCCTATATCCAGATTTTTAACATTCTGCTTATCATATTGTTAATTCAGTACCAGTATGTACAGTATTGTATTAACATGAGGATTGGTACAGTATAGACATTTAATAAAATAAATGTAAATTATGTGTGGATTCTTAAAACTACAGTAATTTTTAGTTGAAGTTACTGTTACAATGCTACTTTCAGGGGTAGCATTATATAAATATTAAAGTGAATTCCATTAGTAAATAGGCTAAATAATTGTTAAATTGTTCTGCTTACAGTTGGGACTAAAAGTGGGGGTGCGACAAAGAGGGTGCAATGGACTGAGTTATACCTTGGATTATGCCATGGAAAAGGGAAAATTTGATGAAGAAGTTGTGCAAGATGGTATGTTATGACAAGTTAATTTCAAGTGTGCATAATATATTTTCCATCATCAATTTAATAAATTACTTAAAAATTGAATTCTTGTCTAGATATAAAATCCCTAATTTAGTAGTACCATATTATACTAAAAAAACAAATTAACTATAGCCAATTGTACTAGTTTCTGTTTTCTAAGGTTCATTATGTCCCTTTAAACTTCTTTATTGCAGTACTTGTATGTTTAATGATGAATTCCTCTTAACACTTCAGCAGTCCAATAACAGGTTATGGTGTCATACAGTTTTATGACAGTGTATTTTAACACAAGACCGATTATCTATTAAAAATATTATGACATTTTGCTTCTTAATCATTCTATTTGTGTCAGTATGACTACTTTCTTGAAACTTGCAGGCAGAATTTGTGGTCACCAAGCTGGGAATGAGAGAAATGCTCCTTGGTACAAATGAGCATTTTTCTCATCTCTCGTGTAACATTTTGTGCGGGATCTATGTGGTATTGTATTATAGATTAAGTGATATTGAAGTAAAGAAGGTCAAAATGTATTGGAACAATTGTCAAGAAAGTGAAGGATATGAGACTAAGGAAACACTGCAGTGCTGACAGAGGGACCTATTCCAACGAATAATGCTAAACTCCTCATAAGATTTGTGCTCTGCTAGAAGAAATTCGAGTGAAACTGGTTGTTTTGAAAGCATTAAGAAGTTGAAGAGGCACAGGAAAATGAAGATCTTGTGCTAGCTCAGCAGTGTGAAGTACATGAGGATGAAGCAATAGTCCTATGGCAGCCTGCTAAACTCCACATAGTAGTACAAGGTACCAGTTTCTAGAAGCTTTATTAAAGAGTGGACATTTGATAATACTATGTCTGATGCACATGGTCTTGCTGCAATACCAGGCATGACTTCCTATTAGAGTGCTTTATCCTAGGTTCCTCCCCTTGGCTGGGGAGGATTTACTGAGCGTCAATCCTTAACTGTAGCCTCTGTTTACCCAACAGTAAAAGGGTACCTGATTGTTAAACAATTTGGCTAAACAATCCTATGTTCCAGGGAACATAGGATTAATGATTTGCCGAAACGCTATGCGTGCTGGTGGCTGTACAAGAATGTAAGAACTCTTGTATATATAAATAAAATAGAAATAAAATAACTTCCCAGAGTACCTATGTACAGGTATCTATATTACATCTTACATAATAGAAAAAACTCAAGATGTAAGAAGATTACAAATTCTTAAAGCCATTCACATAAGTCGAACAACTCACAATAAATACCGAAATAACGGAACTATTCACTCTACCCACCATGAGAGAAAGAACAAGACCAGAACTTGAAAATGCCAACGTTGATGACACTGCTCAAAACGCCACGCCCACTACACCTGCTTGATCTTTGTGATTTCCCCTCTTTTTTTTTTGCTTTATTCTTCACCCTTTATGCCTTATTCTTCACCTCTTTATGGCTTATTCTTCACCTCTTTACACCTTATTCTTCACCTCTTTATGCCTCACTCTTCACCTATATGTATTTGTATGTACCTGACCTACCCCCCCCCTCCCCAACGGCATAAATCGAATACGCCCAGTACAGTCCCATCACTTGAGAATGAACCATGTAGGTTCAAAACATTGTGTAAATATATAATAGGTGTAATACATTCTACAGTTAATTATTCTTTTAGTTTATCCAGAACAAAGATGACATTTGGAGAAATCCTCTTCCAATTAAATCAAGATGCAAGAGCACTAGTCAGGGTGATAGAAACCCTAAACAAGAAAATAATCAACACAATGTGCAGTCATATTCAATGAAAACTGTCTAAGAAAACCTATACACCAATATAAAATGTGTGTATGTATGTACACACACATTCTTCTTTCCAAATAGTATGAGATGAGAATACGAGGCAGGTGAAGCCATGAGAAATTGACAATCCAAACACCAATGTTGTGGAACGACCTATCTAAAATATATTATTGCCCGGACAGTGTTTGCTGGCATATCACACACTAGTGATATGCCAGAAAGTGCGATAATGGATCACTGTACACAGTGATCCATCGTTGCACTTCTCTGTTCAAATTGCCTCAAATTTAATTTGTGATAACTAGTAGAATGCATATTTACAATATTATTTAGCATGACACTCCACGACATTGTCGCTTGGATCGTCGACTTCCTATGGCATCACCTGCCACGTATTTTTCTCTAATTTTTACCGGTCGGAAATTCAAAGTCAAACTGAGGTCTGAGCCTCAGTTACCTCCCTCGCATGTTTCGCGTACCGGTGGTGGCACGCTGGACGCTGCAAGAACCACAGCGCTCTACGGCAGATCATGTTTGAATTTTGAATTTCAAAGTTCAAATTCGGGTTTGCCCGAAATGCTATGTGTACTAGTGGCTTTAGGTATTGTGTGTACTAGCTCTATCTATAAATCCATCATTATGTTTGTAGCTAATCTTCTATGTATGTACTTTTACCTGAATAAACATTTGATTTGATTTGAATTTTGTTATAAAATGAGATTTCCGAGTAAAAATGAGTTTTTCACGTTCTACATTCGGCACAAACATTATAGTGGGTAAATAGGCCACATTTCTTCGTTACTTTAGTAATGCTAAGAGGCTACAGATAACATTAGGTAATTCTATGGACTGATTTCAGATTCATATTCCTTTATAAGCTGAATGTTTTGATAAAAGATCATCACAAATTTTCTTTTAACTTCACTGATTGTTGAAGCCCTAAACAATACATTTCCTAATGCACTAGTAGTAGAATGCAAAAATATGCAAATATGGAATGGTGAAAGAGAAGGGTTTTGTCAGCCACGGGTAAATGCAAAAATATAACCCCAATTGTGCTATGGCAACTCGATGGCCAACCGCCAAACTACGAAGGCCTCTCGTGGATTGAGGTTTGACAGTTCAGTCGGGAAGTATGTTATAGTCACAGATGTTAACCAAGTTTTAGTTAACTACATCCAAGGTACTGTGTTCCCATTTAGTAGTTCTCCCATTCATGTACTGTATGTACTCCACTACTGTTCATGTTTGGGGCTTATTCCCTACTGTTATGCAGGGGTAATTCAGTTGTGTTCTTTTTATCGTACAAGTCAAAGCCAATGCGATATTAATTGCACTATGACCTTATTCATTTTACATTTCATATATAATTTATATATACATTTAATTTCTTTGCAGGTGTACGTGTAATCATCGATAAAAAGGCACAGTTAACACTCCTTGGGACAGAGATGGATTACGTGCAGAGTAAATTAGCAGCAGAATTTGTTTTTAACAATCCAAATATTAAAGGAACTTGTGGCTGTGGAGAAAGTTTTTCAATATAATTTTTTTTTTAATGCTGTTGATTCTTTGGAGTTTTACTGGTAAATTTATAATATCTCAGTATGGTATATACAGTAGTTGACCTTATTGAGTGCATTTTTTTTGTAATACTTTGTGTGTATTAACCAAGAATTACGTTCTTGGTTCAACATGACTACCTAATATAGTTTACTGTATAATAAGCATGTAGATAAATCTAGACAAGGTAGGAGGCAACCTAAAGAAATAGCCTAGCTGTATAGGATATTCATATTCTTTTTAGATGTAAATAATTGTTTTACATTATAATAAAGAAAATATAGGTATGTTATACTTTCAGTTGTAAATGGTTAATATTTATTTATAGATAACTTGAAGTAAAAGTTCACTATTCCCTGTACAGTATTTGCACCTTAAAAAGACAAGGTTAATCCAGACCTTCCTATAATAGTCCTCTAAAAGCTGACCAAATCTGCACACTGGATTTTCATCACATTTAGATTAAAAAACAAATTTAGCTATTGGAGGGATATTCGTCACAAATTTCCATTAGTGAATTTTTTTGTCTTGCACTTGCTAATCTTGGTAATTTACAGTACAGTATTTATAAATGTCAAAATAATACATTTTATTTAAATCATTTTGTTTACTATGCTTGTACAAATGAGTTTAGATTCCTCAGAAAAAAAAAATCAGACTTGTGAAGGCATGCATACTGACCATGTGAGTGTGGTCTGACATCTCATTACTTGATCATCTTCACTGGCTTTTCTTCCAGTATATAATTATTTGCACCTTGAAGTCTTGCCTGATGTATTCATACTATTATTGTTGCACAAGAGTAAGAGGAACTGCATCCATGGATAATATAGCAAGAATTATTAGAAAAACTTGATCGTGGCTAGGGAACTGGCTGGCAATGGAGCATAGCACTGATACTAGTTTTAATTCTGATGATAAAAGCCAAGTAGATACTCAGGAAATTTGGATTTCAGGCAAGACTGAATCTGGTCTGGAATGATGTAGTCCAAATTTTAAAGGTGTCAGTGTAATGCTGAAACCTGATTAATTACTGTTGATAATCATAATTTTAAAAGAACATGCTTTTGCATACATTTTAGTGTTTATTGCTTTAAACAATGTAATGATTGTGGCCAGTAATTAATTAATGATTGTTGCTGAAAATGGCTCTAACCTTGATGCAAAGAATACTATCTATAACATCAAATGCAGTGGTCTTTTCAAGAGGGGGGTCCGAGATGATTCGTATTCAGATTTGTTGATGCTGTACAATGAAATCTTTTTTAATTTTATTAAACATTGAACTCTATCCATTGCAAATAATGTTCGTTGACCTCCCCTACCTCCAGTCATTCTAATTTTTGGTCAGTTTTAGTTAAAAGTTATTGTTTGAAGCTAGTGTGCATAAATCATGTAAACATTACTAAAGTGCAAAGCTAGGATTCTTAGTGCAACTATAGTTTGTCATTTTGTACCAGTTGAATTCTGGTAAAGTCCACTCAAAGTCCCACTACACATTATAAATTCTGGTTCCTCATGTTATACTTGCATCACATACTGGAACACCCATAAATAAATCTAACTTGGCAAAGAATCTTAAATTGTTTTTTTGCATTATAGGTAATGATAAATTATTTTAATGGTGAAAAACAAAAAAACAGACTTTATAATGTTAACACTAAAGTGTAAAAAAGTATAGAATGTATAATTTTTTATTTGTAAATACAGCATTATATATATATATATTTATTTTGTCATTTTCACAGTAATAAAATCTAAATAAATATACTGTACTTAATTCTAAACTATCACAAATAATGAAAGAACTAATGTTCCAAGTGATTAAATAGCTTGTTTCATATAGTTCTTTAAATCTAGCACTTATGTAATGGCAAACTACAGTACAAGTTGGCATGAACTCTTGGCTATAAACAAAGAAACACACTATTGTCTGTATTTTACCATGATCCAGTCAACTTTCACATTCAAACAGGATATATGTGGTGTTTTTCTTTGTCACCTTATAGACTCGTACCATCAGAATACCACCAGATGACAATTTCAATACTGTACATTCATTACACATTTGAAAACCCACCATACTTCTGCAAGGGTAAGAGAAGTTTGGTAATAAGTTCCTGTACAAACAAAATCAACTTTCTTATTCAGAGACCAAAGATAGCAAAATGCTTCAGTATTTGTAGATATCACAGTTGTGTTTAATAAATGCAAATCATTTATAAACCTATTCTTTTTTAAATTAAAGCCTGATATTCAATAAGTTAACAAGTACAAAAAAATATCAATGACTGCTTTATAAAATATTTCAAACATTATCCAATGCTTATGGTAAATCAATATTTTCCATTCCAAAGTTGACCACATTATTTTTCCATGTGTCGTCTTGATACACACGACTAAAAATTCATGACTTTAAACCAATTTGTCTAGTACTGTACTGACACAAAGGGGAAAACACATTTAGCTGGTACTGGCACTTTACATAATGAATTAAGGCAATAATATACAATGACAATAATATATACAAATTGGTTTAAGGCAATAATATACATGGTTCAGTGAAAAAGCTAAAGAGGTTATTGAGAAGAAAAAAACTGCATGGAAAATACTGCTGTAGAAATATGTGCCACGTGATATTTTTTACATATTCCATCTGTTCTGTCTCAAATTTATTATGGAAAAAAAAGATAACGGATGAGATTGGGAGAAAGTTGAGTGAAGACTGACTGACTATTTTACTATCTAGGTTGATCTAGGTAGTCATAGTGGGATTAGAGTTAGTTTAGTTCATTTATTATACACCTCATACCCATCCAAAGATGGCAGTAGTGGAAAGGGTTACAGAGGCACATAATGGGCTCAGACTTAACCTCAATTCATTTAGCTAAGCAAGTTACAATCTTGAGGAGGTATATAAAATTAACATATGGTAGGGGAGGGGGGCCATGACAGATGTGCATGTTACCAATAGGTTACATTGCGGTTATCTTGCGATGATTCCGGGGCTTAGCGTCCCCGTGGCCCAGTCCTTGACCAGGCCTACTGGTCGAGGTTGAGTGAATTTTTTAAGCATCAATTACAAATGGTAACAAAATCAAATGTGTTTGAGTGAGGATTTGGATCAAGACTCAGTTTAATAAACAAGATAAGATAAGGAAATTAAATAAATAAATATCTATAGGGCAGGGAAAAGTATAAGGAGAAAGCACCAAGCCAACAAGAGTATAATAAGAGATACAGTACTACAAAATAGGATCCTCGTGGCATAGCTGGAATAACCAGATATGTTGAGGTATGGGGGTGATGTGATAGTGGATATAATGTTAATAAATGTGCAAAGGATAATGAAATGCCTGATGACTGAACAAAGGTCAGTGTGGTACCAGCTCAAGAGAAAAGGTAGTAGGGAAGATTGTGATAATTATAGGGTTATTAGTTTACTTAGCAAACCAGGAAAAGTATATGGAATGGTATGAACAGAGATAGTAAAAGACAACACAATGTAGGATAGGGAAGGAACTGGATAGTTTTAGGAAGGGTGGGGGTGTGGGGGGGCTTATACAGATCAGATCAGATTTTTACTGTAAGAATTGTTGCCAAAATGTTTCTACTAAAGGGGAGAAAATTGGATGCTGCCTTTATGAATTTATAAAAAGAACTGCAAGAGGTTTTATTCATTTATGGAGTGGAAAGAAGTTTATTAACAGAAGATGTATGTACTGTATACAGATGATGCAATGTTATTTGCCAAGAATGAGGAGGAACCACAAAATATTATGAACATATATGATGATTAAGAAGAATGTTTGAAAGTGAATGTAGAAAAAGTAGCTATGTAATCCAAGATAAGAAAATCAAATGGTGTGGATTTCATAGATCTCTGTACATTGGCAAAATGAGTTAGACAGTAGAATAAAAATTTGGGAAGATACTAGAAGTTGTAAGTTTTAAATAGTTGGGGGAAGTGTTAGATAAAAATTATGGTATGTATTCATGGAGAAATGAAGAGGATGAGTGGACAGAGTTGTAGGAAAGGTGAAAAGCAAAATTACCATAAATCAAGGATTATTAGAACATGAGTACTGTACATTATTCCATGTGTTGGAATACAGTAGTATATTCCAACACATGGAAGTGAAACTTGGGTAGTGCTGAAGAGTACAAACAGTGGGGAATTTTTTTTTTTTTTCAAAGAAGCAGTTGGTGTTTGTGGGATGGATAAGGTAATGTAATAGCAGACTGCTACAAAGTTCTAATATGAGGAGATGAATTGCCAAAATAGCGAGGGCATGAAATATGGAATAGATGAAGCACAGTACACTGAGGTGGTATGGACATGTCAGCAGAATGCCTTTAGAATCATTTAATGAGCAGGGTATATAAAGGTGAAATAAAGCAAACGAACATAACCAGAATCTGGAATTTATAAATAAAGCAGCAGTTGACAAGGGAGTGGGGAGTTGGGGGCTTGTTGTTAAAGAACATGAAAGATTTGTGTAGTGACAGAACCTCCTGGAGAAATTTCTGATGGAGGGGGGAGGGGGGCTCCTGGGAGGAAATAAGGCATTTTAGGAAGGTTTCTACAAGCTGCTTAAAGTGGTCAATTTCCAATAGCAATAAAATCATCTATATACAGACTTGGGAAGTATAAAACATAAGGGTGAGCATATCTCCCAACACTTTTACTAGATGCTGTTCTGCCACACCACCTACCCGACTGTGATGGGATACAAACACTGTTGTTGTATCCCAATAGACCTGCAGACCTTCCTTGGCTGGCATTACTTACAATACATTTCAAGTTGTTGAAAAATAATATGCATCAAGCAGAATAACAGTAAAAGCTAAAATAAAGTAAGTTTGAATGTTAGCCTTCAAGGTAGAAGAATCAAAATGAACGCTATTGTTCGTTAACGTACATCAAAAAGAGGTCCTTAAATAAAGCAAGGTTATAGACAATACATCAAAATTAGTTTTCCTGTAGTCCATATCTATCAAGAAATTTTTTGGTGGCTATAGAAAAGTCATTGTTCATACTGACTTTGTGAAGTTGGTTTTGGTTTTTTTCTTGGTTGTCAATAATTCTAGGTGGAACAGGACAGTCAACCGACATACTTGTCCCATCACCTCTGTTTCTTTTTGTCATTGCTGAAAAATCAAGTGAATGAATGAATCCAAAGATCACAAATGTAATTTATATATTATATATGTATTTATACATAAGATGGCTCAAGCATATGCATAACATAAAAAAGCTAGTTACATATACAGTATGTATGAAAAATATAAACCATACACTGAGCTGCCATAAACATGCTATAAATATGAACAGACTACTAAGAATATCATCTTGTTCTATACTGTACACACTTAACTCATGGTACTTAATGGAACTCTACCCTGCTCCTTATCGTCCTAACTGTATTGTCCCGCTTACAACCCTGCACCTTGTAGAATGTCCCAATTTTCAGGACAATCGTATGTCTTACTTTCCTAATGTCCTTCTGGGACATTTGTCCGTTGGTGGAATCCTTGGCAAATCCGATACCTTTGATATTGCTTGCCTTGTGTGCTTTTGTTCCCGTATTAGCATCCCCAGTGGCACAGGATATTCTACACCTTTTGAATATGCTGCACCACAGATGGTGTTACATAGTCAACTCAGCTTGGTGCTTTATTTTGATAATTACTTACTTGATATATATGATATGTGGCTGGGCCTCATCTGGGATTCCTGGTCAGCTTCCCTATCTCTGCCTCCAGCAGCCCAGGATTGGTTGGTTTCTCAAGTGTTTTGTGGAGGAGCATGCTTGAGTTTCTGCTGGTGTGTTTTACAGTTGTGCAGAGGCCTGTAATTTGCCTGTGTGGTTTTCCCACTAGGCATTACTTGCCTGCAGGTGTTGTCCCAGTTTCTCAGGGGATGATCACCCATTCTGCAGCCTTCGGGACCTGATTCAGATCCAGACTACCCTTTGATGGCTTCTTCATCACCGCTTTCCTCTTTGGACTATTTGGAGTTCGGTTTTGTGGCTCATTCCTTCTCTTCCTCCTGTGCTATACCCAGATATGGTCATCTTGGTCTTGGGTGCTCACTAGACAGTTCTGAGCTGTTGGCTGGATCCACTTCAGCAGGTGCAGTTCATTTCACAAATTAGCCAAGGTCTAGTTTGCCCTTTCTATTACCTCCAGCTTTATGATCTAGCTCCACTTTATTCCAGGCATTTTTTGGGGGGGGGGGGGGGTTGGCTCTACCTTTTTTCCTCTTGGCCTGGGTTGAATTGATCTAGTATCCCGGCTGCCTTGCTTCTACTGAGGGGAAACAGATTCTAATCCTGGTCACTAGTAGGTGTGTTCATGACTAAAATGACCTGGTAAGGTACTTAGGCTTGGAGTTAACCAGACGAGTTGCTCGGGAAGCCATTGACAGGAGCCCTCCCAGAAAACACAATCATTAAGAGTAAATAATTAACAATAAACAGTGCATGGCTCCTCACAGTACATAAAACACAAGGAAAGTTGGCACCATTTAGCTGAGAAAAGCAGAGAAAATGGTCCTGACATAAGACAGTAGCAAACTTGTTAGTGAGGAGGCTGGCACACCAGAATGCCAGGTGACCTAGAACAGCCATCTGGTGGCAAATGGACGATTTGGGGCAAAGGTTGTTTTTCTGTTGCCAACTAGTGTTTATCTTGTTTTTGTTAATTTTATTACTTTCTTTAAAGGAGTGGGTTGTTTGTTTTACCTGTGATTTCCTAGGCTGTTTCCTCTGTTTTGGGCTGATTTTTAATCCCCTTCTTTTCTTGCTTCTGTGAGACCCAGATTCTAGTTCTGGTTCTCTGTAGGGTTTACAAGTCTCAAGAGACCTGATACGACTGATGGTCTTATGGTATTAGTGCCTTAAGCTCCAGGAAGCTACTGAGGGGTGGGGGGGGGGGGGGGGATGGCGGGAACCCAGACAAGTGTAATGCAGATGAATACGCAGATGAAACGTCACAATAACGCGGCTGAAAAATCTACTTGATAATGGTCCAGAACGGGCCAAAATGTTGTTGTCTCTTCAATTTCTAGTATGTGGTTTGGTCAACAAATGTAATATGTTAAAGACCATAAGGACTTCCTCACACAGACATCTTAAAATACAATTATAACAAGATGCCTTTTTGAGTATTAATTGATGAACTACTTTAATATGATAAACCATCATTGTATACAGTATATGAACATAACAAATAAGCCACTAGATATGATTGCCATCATTTAAGTACACGTGTAAAGCTAGCAGGAAATAAATTCTGGCTTACCAGGTGACATTGCAGCAATAGCTGCTAACTGTGAGTCTGTAAGGTACTTGGCGGCTGTAGCATCAGTTTCATGGTAAGGAGTTTGATAGTGAGTACTCATCGTACTCTGATACACGGACAACATATTGTGTAGCCCAGGAAGATACATGGTGTCCATTATGGTTCTGAAATTTGTTTTAAATGAGAAATATTTAAAAAATATAAAATAAACATGCATAACTCCTTTTTCTTATGCAGTATGGTAACAGTGATGCAAAAAAATAAAAATAGTATGCTATTACTTATAATTATTTCATTAACTTTATTTTTTTTAACCTTGCAACTAACTGTGCAGTTGCCAAGGACTTGTGCTATACTGTATTCAGATTTGTTGTATTTACAATAACTACTCTTTATGATTGAATAAAGGTTGAGAAACATCAAGCAGAACAGACTTCATAGAAGATGATATTTCATGTGTACAGTATGTGATTACAAAATTTAATGAAGCCGATACAGATGAAATATCATCTTCAATAATATGAACTCTTTACCTTATGTGATAGCACAAACAATATGTCGAGGTATTCAGTGTTTAGGAGAAATTCTATACTCACGAAGATATAAATTAAATATCAGGAGTGGAAAATCAAATACTGAACAGAAAGATAAGCGAGGTGTATAATAACTTACCTATGATTAGAAGTGAGAGATACAGGGTCGATGAAGCTGATGCCAAACTGCATAAGCTGCTTTCTCACAGCCTCAATCTGAGCATCTGGCAGCATTTCAACAGTGCCACCATTGGCTTCTAAAGGCTAATGCAAAGAAATGGGAAATATTTTAGGGTAAACATATATATGTATACAATTAGTAAATATATAATACTGTACAGTAAAGTACTGTATACCAAAATAATATTTTCATTTGCTGCGCCACTACTAATTTTTCCTGTCACATTCGTAATCTGTGGCTGCAATCTCTTAACATAACACTACTAATGAAATTGCCCTTTTTCACTTGTTTTCCTAACTTCTGTTGGACTTATGGCTAACGTGGCTAACGTGGCCAACGTGGCTAACCAGTAGCTAGTGGGAGTGTTACTTTAGCAGTCACTTGTGATGGTAAGGTATCTAGCAAATTCTATATACAGCATAACATATATAATTAGTAGTAAGAGTCTATATTTATATTACCACACTGGTTTGAACGACATCATCATTAGTCCATTCCTGCTCCATTTCTTCTTCTTCCGTTCTTTTGGAACTCTGAAGAATTTGTTTGATATTTGTCTGTAAGCAGGAAAGTAAACTGTGAATATTCTTCTGATATACTGAAGAACAAACTCCACTGGTATATTAATGCAAGCTATTCTCTTTTCCATTTATATTCTCTACTTTAAGGTCAAATAAAACTAATATGTACAATATTGAAAAAGAGGAAAAGATCTCTACTGCCTCATGAGTGGGAATATATTTAACTATTTATAGCAAGATTAAAATGCTTTTTACCATAAGGTACTAAGTTTACTTAACAGACAAGCTTAATTATAAAAGACAATTTTTAATATTTAAAAAGCAGTAGTTAATGAAAGACTTTAAAATTAAGAAATAAATATTATATATTATTCAGAGAACATTCATTTTATTAACTATTACTACTATATTTATAGGAAACAAGATATTTTAAGATCTTTCACACGAGAGGGATACAGAGTACCACATGAACGTTATACAATTCAACTGCATTAGAATCTCAGTCTAACAACAGAGGTAACCACAAAATACAGCTTTGGACAAATCAAATTTTTGACAGCCACACTAGTTCAAACAACATACCACATCACTAATACAATTGACACAGTACTGATGGTAATGTCTTGAATATACATCACATCTGATAGCAAGAACAGATTTATACATAAGCCTTCTGTCTTGTAAACAAAAAAGTGGGGATGGGGGGATCCACTACCACGAGAGCGAGAGTAAATCCCCTGCTGTGGGAATGGGGGGAGGATTCACCTATGGCTGCAAAAGTGGGGATGGAAGGGGGGTGGTGAGAATCATGGGTAAATCACTAAAATAATACATTTTAATGAGGGGCAATCCATTGCCATGGACAAATCCACTACCCCAGAAGGGTAGTGGATTTGGGAAGGGAAGGATCCACTACCATGGGAAAAACGAGGGGAGGATCCACTACCATGGGAAAACGAGGGGGGAGGGAGGATCCACTACCATGGGAAAACGAGGGGGGAGGGAGGATCCACTACCATGGAAAAACAAGGGGAGGGGAGGATTAAACTTCCATGGGAAAACAAAGGGAGGGGAGGATTAAACTTCCATGGGGAAAATGAGGGGAGGGGAGGATTAAACTACCATGGGGAAAATGATGGGAGGGGAGGATTAAACTACCATGAGGAAAATGAGGGGAGGGGAGGATTACTACCATGGGGAAAATGAGGGGAGGGGAGGATTAAACTACCATGGGAAAACGAGGGAGAGGAGGATTAAACTACCATGTGAAAACAAGGGAGAAGAGGATTAAACTACCATGCAAAAACGAGGGAGAGGAGAGTTAAGAGTTAGTTAGAGTTAGAGAGTTAGAGTTTTTGCCCGAAACGCATTGCGTAATAGTGGCTTTAGGCATTGTATGTACTAGCTCTATCTATATATCAATCCATTAATGTAACATCACTTGTATGTATATACCTTACCTGAATAAACATCTGAATCTGAATCTGAATCTTAAACTACCATTGGAAAATGAGTGAGGGGAGGATCCACTACCATGGGAAAACGAGGGGAGAAGGGATCCACTATTCATGGAACATGGGGAGGGGGATCTACTACTACTGGGAACGAGGGAAAATCCACTCCCCCCACAAACATAGGGGGGGGGGGGGATCCTCTGCCCCACGAACTAGAGGGAGACCCACTGTTCCACGAACAAGGGGGGATGCACTGCCCCACGAACAAGGGGGGGCCCCACTGCCCCATGAACAAGAGGGGAGCAAAAGCTGCCAGTGCTCCATGAACAAGAGGGTGGGGGGGGTGAAGCTGCCAGTGCCCCATGAACAAGAAGGAAGCTGCTATTGCCCCATGAACAAGGGGGAAGCTGCTATTGCCCCATGAACAAGGGGAAGCTGCTATTGCCCCCATGAACAAAGGGGGGAGCCACTGCCCAATATGAATTGTTAAAATGAGTGCCAGATTGCATCAGATTTCTGATAATCAGGCAAAATTAATGTTTTCATTCAATTGCGAAATACTAATAGCTTACCATAACATTGTTGTAGAAAGTGGCAGTTTGTGGGCAGTAAAGAGGGCCGGGAGACTGATCTTGACCCTGGAGTTTATTGTAAGAGCTGGCACTTTCTCCCAAGGCAAGGGAATCTACACATTCAACACTTCTTTTACCATTTCTGCAGTAACAAGCATATCACTGAACTACTATGCTTAAAATATTAGCTACTACAGTATAAATAATTAAATGAAGACTACAGTTTCACTCTTATAGCGGCATGTATAGATTCACTGAACATATAATAATATTTATTATTTTATACCCTTTTCCCTCCTTTCATCATTATTACTAGCCTTTAAATTATATAACACCAAGTTAAATTGAATTAATTATAAGAAGTTTAGCCTAGTTTCAGAAGTATGATATCTGAATACTGAAATGCAACATTTCTTTAGTCTTATCAAAAATAAATAAGGGACTAGGAGAAAAAGGAATTCCCCACTTTTCCTTATTCAAAAATACAGAAAAAGGTGAAAGAAAAAAAAGAAAAATGGTGGCATTTTGTTTGTTTTGCAAATACAAATATTTTTAGTGCATTTCCTGTGATCATTGTTAAGATAGGGTATTAGGATATTTTGATTAGGGCAGACAATTTTCTATTTCATACAAGATCTGCCTATAATACAAGATTAATTATGAAAATTATAGTAATTATTGTACAGTATATCAAATTCTTAATAAGATGCCAAGGCATATAATATAAATATGAGTACCTTTGGATACAATATTCAACATTTGCAAGCATACCTGAGATAATCATTTTCTTCTGAAACACTCCTGGTGTGGTACTTAGACACATTGACAGGAACGGCCTGGCGAGAGCTTGGGTCACCGTCATCTGATGAATCATCCCCTGGCTCCGATGACTCTGAGCCATTGTTGAGCAAAACTGAATTTATTCCAGCTGAATTGATTTTCTGTCTGCTTTGGTGTTTACTTGCATCCCTGTTCTCTTTAGACCTATTCCTAGATGCATTGTTTGACTGTACTGCTTTACTACATTTGGGTCTCCTGGAATAATCTGGACCAGTCTCACTAGGGGAAACACACGCATCACTATTTCTAATGGAATCGACCAGCTCTGACCAAGATAAATCTGTGTTCACTCCTACAGATCTTGTTTCTAGTATGACACTGGCTGATGTTTGTGTAGAAATTTCTTTATGAGAGCTTTCTTGAGTGGAATTAGTTTTATTAACATATAATCCTTTATTATTTGGCACTTCATTTGTCCTTGCATCTCTGAGTGATTCAATCCCATGCTGCTTTTCCATGACATTCTCTAAAGCTTTAGTCAACTTCAAAATCTGTTGGCTTTGGTCTTCTATTAGACGATACACCATTGGATCTGTAGGACTGTAAAACATGTGACCAACAGAATGAGGAGAGCAGTTTGGCGAGCCTGCATGGGCCCATCCTTCATTAATAGGAACACTGTACCTTTTGTCTTGGAAAACATGATTAGTTTGAGCAGTTTGTAAAGGAAGAGAAGTGGAAATCTGTGAAAAGTGATCCTGATGAACATTCCTCATCTTTTCTTGAGCCTGGCCTTGACTGTTAGTAGACAATCTTGACTGATAAACAGCTGCATGTGAGGGATTAATATTTTCTCTGTTGTTAGTGTTCTGAAGTACATTGGAGTTTTTTTTAGTCATACTTAATTCTGTTATTACAGGATATGAAAATTTTTCTTGAACAGGTACATTAGTTATTAAAGGTGGAATTACAGATCCACTTCTGAAAATGTATTGGTTAACATTCTGATCCAACTGTGGCTGTGAAGGTCTCAAAGTGTCTGCAACTGAAGCAGTGTGGATTTGTTCAACAGAAGTTGAATTTCCAGTTAATGGAGAGTCTTTTTGTTTTAAAACATGAGACCCTAAATCATATAAAACTATATTTGTTGGAATTTTCTGTGCAGGACTGTACACCTTGGGATTATATGGCTTTTCATTTACAGATGATGTAATAGATAGACTGTTATGAGGTGGAGTTGAAACACATTTTGGGTGGTATGCCTGTGAATTTTTAAGCATCCTCTCACTAGCAACATTGGCCATTACATTACTCTGTGCATATGTAGAAGAGGATTCAAAATGAACACTTTTAATCTGTAAATTCTTTGGGGAGGAGTTGGTATTGTTATTTTTTCTCCGGGCATCTACCACATCAAACATGGGAGGACTCTTTACGTTAGTGCTTATATTTTGATTGCTGAACTGTCCTTTATCTTGCCTTAAATGATTACCAAATGGCGATTCTTTTCCATTCTGAATACCACGTTTTGACGCTTGCCAAATGAGACTGTCATCACTATCAAACATCAAAGACACTTCAGGTACCACAGGCTTGTGCGTACTTAGCTGCAAAGAGATATTATTAATTTCACTATGTAAACATTACAATTAAACCTACAAGCACATGAAACATTGTAGCCCATTCTCTCGCATGAGGCTGTACGTAATTGTTTTACTTAATCTGAACTACCTGCTTGCCTTTATCAAGGGCATACCTGACTGAATTCAGCACCCAATTTTAAATACAGTACAGTATACTTCTCATTATTCCATCCATTGTGATATCCTTTATAACATTTATATAATTCGACCTGAAAATTTTAAACAATGCCCATGGAACTAGTAATAATACAATACTATTGCTAAAGATGAATAATACATACAGTTTACGAGATTTTAAATAAACATGTTTTGCAAACAAAATCTCTATTATCGATATTAAATTATATTTTAGTTTTAATATTTAGAGTAAACTTTGAAAATGGTCTGCACATACTATTCCAAGCCTAATGTGGCTGTGGGCATATTAGTGGTGGTAGTGTGAAAAGTGAGTGTCATAGAGTACATAAAAGGAATGAGTAATTAAGGAGTAGTAAAGCGAGAGTTATACTCACAATGTCAGTGCTTCTCTATAATCCTTGACAAACATTTTTGAAGCTTTTGATAATTCACTACCCTCAAAATTTATTCCATCTGTATACCTTTATTTTCTTAACTTGTATCTTATGGTCTCTTACTCTTTGATAGTTTACAAATTAATCCTTGTCAATTTTTATTAAATTGTCACAATTTTTTTACTTGGTGATTGTTATAGCTTGTAACTATTCGAGGTCCCCAATAGGCTTCTTCAATGGCCTGGCCCAACTCCAATTTACGCTTTGTGAATCTAAATCACTTAGTCCCTGTGGCGAAGTGGTAACACACTCGCCTGGCGTTTCATGAGCACTTTGGCCCAGGTTTGTATCCTGGCCGGGGAGCATTTACTTGGAGCCAATACTTAACTGTTCTGTTTGGTGGGTTGTATTCCAAGGAAAATTAGGATTAAGGACTTGCCCGAAATGCTATGCGTGCTAGAGGCTGTACAAGAATGTACAAGGGTTATCTCTTGTATATATAAATCAATACAAAAAATATAAAATAAATAAAACTTTATATGATTATTAAAAGACCTGAGAATATGTCCAGAATAAAGTTTTCGAACCTGCTAGTCTAAATGGCACATTCTTATTTGACAGGCTTCCCAGTCTATGTCAAATTGAAGCCACAAGTACCAACAATTGTAATTCATCTTTATCTATTCTTACTATAATCTCTCTCATGATCATTACAATCCCCTTCTCTTTTGGCAGCTAGCTCTTACTTTGTCCATGTGTTGCTTGCTAGTGGACTATAGGCACTAGTGCTTATCAATTTAACATCCTGATTACGGATCAGGATTATACTTTTCATACTCTATATGCATATAATTGATATACCAGGTAAATAAATCATCAATCTAAACAATATCACGCGTTACGTGAATTATGTAATTTATCAAATTATTCACCACATATACTCTTATAAATAAAATGAAACAAGCGATAAACAATCAATCAGTGAAACGTCCGAGGATAACACAGGAAGTGTCAGCAAAGTCAGACACTGTGTTGACAGATACCAAACACAGCCATCACAACCTTTCAGAGCACCTACACCCAGTGAAATTATAAATATTCACTTTTTATTTTTTCACTTCCCCCATAGATACTAATAGGCAAGTACTATTAGATAAGTACCAACTAATTAAATGTGCATGTGCATATAACTGTACTGTACCATACCTCAAGGGCAGTTGGTTTTGGAGGTGGTGCCAATCTTGGAGCTGCATCATCATCCATTATGGTTCCTTATTAGGCTCCTTTCTTAAGACTAAAGCAAAAAATGGTAAAATAAAATTAGTAGAGCAGATTAATAATATATTATAATTAATAATAATAATAATAAAATTATTAATATCCCAACACTTTATAATTATTATTATAAAGTGTTGGGCTATTAAAAGTCCAACACCTTTCAACACTCTCCTGCTACATGTAAGGAGCATAACTGGCCGGCCTCTCAGCATTCAAGAGAGAAAGAGAACTCGACAAACACCTCCAAAGAATACCTGATCAACCAGGCTGTGATTCATCATACATGAGGCTGTGAGCAGCCATGTCCAACAGCCTGGTTGACCAGATGACCAACTAGGAGGCCTGGTCGGAGACCGGCCTGCAGGGCTGTTGATCCCTGGAAGCTACACAAGGTAACCACAAGGTAAAGCAACCACCCAGCCATTCCTAATAGTGGAAAAGATGTTGCAATGACATATGAATTTTACAGCAGTGATGTCACACTAATAGCAAACCTGCTTATGGAATGTTTATCTAGTTGAATACCGTTTCATTATTGCTAATAGCAGTGCATCTGTGAAGGCGAGGTCAGGGTTCTGATTTAGATTCTCATATACACTGTAAGATAAACAATGATGCACATAGTTTATATCCTTGTTCACTGCACATGATACCAAGCATGCTGTAAAATTTGGCTGGTTTTCAACTTTTACATCTACTAGACAGTTCTGTATACAACGAATTCAAAACCCTTATGCAGGGATTTTTTTTCCATTATCTTGATATGGGGTAATTTTATGTTTCGAGTACTGTAAACTGCTGGACCTAAAAAAAATTACAAGGAATCCCTCAAGTTACATTTTAAACATGTAAATTTGCTGTGTTAAAAACCTCGTGCTTACCGTGTTGTTGTATATTTAGTTAGGGGCGACGACGTGGAATGAATGTGTATGGCGCCTCTGGAGCAACAACCTACTTTCCTTTACTATTAAAAACTATTTTTATGGCAAATATGTATTTTTAGTATTTTTATGACAATTTGTGAAACTAAAACAACTAACAACTCGTGTCCCATCTGGGGGTTTGAAATGTGTAAACATCGTGTCCGATTCCGTGAGAACGACTACGACAACGCTGGCATATTATGTTCGTCTGGTAATTTAAACAGTGGATTTTTTTATTTATTTCAACTTGCTATTTGGAATTTTTATATACTTTTATAAATTATATATATAAAATATGAATTAAATTGGTATTTATTTGTCACCGTCAACTAACTGGCATTTATTTACCTTTATATGTAGTGCTGTCAATTCAATTCAATTCAATTTCTTTCTTTATTATGCACCCCATACCCATCCCGTGGGCGGAGACCAATATGGGAGGAATCCACAGGAGACAAACTCTGACTCCATCATTGATTATTTTATTATATCTGTGTCTAGCTTCAGAGATAAGCACGTCACAGTTATGCTTTAGGGAGCTGAGGGCAGTCAAGGATGACAAGGAGTCACTTACAAATAGCGAGTCAACTTTGGATTCATATCAACCCCGGAATTCCCGATTGTGAGGCGAAATCGAACTACTATATACTCTCTTACCAGTTCAGTGTCTTACGAGTTATGTTAACTTGTTTCCATTTCATATATTCTAGTCCTTTATAAGAAAGTATATAATTATTTTTGACAGCCTACACACTCCTCTTGTATCTTGGTAAACCGGTTATATTGTCGAGGTCACTAGAATGTTGGTGGCCCCTCAGGTAAATATCACTCGATCAAATGTGTCAATTTTCTGCATCTAAACTCGTGTTGCCCAACCGTTACAGTTTATCCTCAAAGATATTCCACCATTCTCTTCCCTGAATAATTTATCCGATACTTGGCACTGCTCTCACCAATGGGTCGGCTGCAGAGGTAAAATGTACCTACTTGCGGCTGATGACAGTCATTAATGATCTGTGCAAATTAAGATCCATAATGGTCTAAGCTCTAAGAGACTTTTACATCATCGTTTCTATTTTAGGTACTTTGGCTGTGTTATTAGCACGGTGTTTATTAAAGTCATGCAAGGCGTTTTTAAGACATGTTAAGAAACATGGCATCAGCCCCTCAGGTAAGAATAAATGAACTAGTGTATTGAGTACTGGGGCATGAGTACGGAATGTTATACACATGTACCAAATGAATAAACATTTTCTGTACTTCACTCAATATATTTCAAATAAATGTAAAGGAACTTTATGAAGCATTTTAAATAAAACAAATGTTAAATAATCTTCTTTAATACCATTCTAGGTATATTACTATATATTATTATTTGTTATATTGTCTCATTTAATTTTATCAGAAATTCGTATAACCATCTTATTTTAAATCGTTATACTTTATTTACAATTGTCGTTAGTGCTTTTATTAACTATAGACGCTTTTTGTTTAACTTTTGAATTCAATTTCTTTCTTTATTATGCACCCCATACCCATCCCGTGGGCGGTGGTGTAAAGGATTACAGAGGCACATAATCGGTTCAGGAACTGAACCCTCTAGTTCGTTTAGCTAAGCAAATAACAATCTTTTGACGCTAGTTACACAATTATTAATGTTATATATACATGTACACATACTCATACATACATGTACATATACATATACATACACATACATATTTAATCACCTACACAAATACACACATCAATAATCTTTTGTATCACAAGTGATTCAACAAGAGGCTCACAACAGTCACTATACAAGGCACTTTACATCTATGATGAGTCGCACAGTTACTAGTCTTGCTGCACACCCACCCAACTGGGCGGCAGCTTTACAGTCATGTGCATGCATTACTTACAGTAAGCAAATTTTGGATACTTCGCTAAGATTTCGGGCAGCACATCATTATGAATGAAGTACTTACACATTTCTTGGACACTATTGATGGTGTTATCTCTAAATTCCGCGATTTTTTCACATTCCATTATATAATGACGCAAAGTATGCGAAGATTTCTGCTGACAGAGTTTACATTTAGTCAAATCTACATTAGCAGATGTTACAAACTCCCAGAGATACTTGTAGCTCTGCTAACCTTATTGGATGACCCATAGACGTGCGGTACCTCCTGCATAATAGAATGATGATAGATGGAGGAACTGGTGTGAATTTCACTTTGCCTCAAGTCTCCGAAATTTAGTTGAATGCATTATATAGGCTACTTTGTCTACTGTTTTTATATTAAATTTCATAAACAATAATAACTTAAAACTCATGTCTTCGTTAGATTTTATTAATGCCTAACATCAGTGCGGTCTGCTGCATGATGCGAGGAGGACGTGTTGCTCCGCATCTTCGTGTTTGCACGTGGCTGCTGCAGCTAGATGTTGTGAATTTGTTCTCGACTGTTGCAGTGATACAGTGCCTTTGTGTATCGAGGAAATGGCTGAGGCGGTCTGCCTAGGTGATGGAAGATCCTGTACTGGGCCTGGAGAGTGTGACAGTGGGGATGGCAGACAGGATGATACTAGGCCGTATCAAGCAGTAGTAAACAGATATAAACGGAGAAATATTCAAAGACAGCGAGACGAAGACAGTGAGGAGGAAATAACAAAGAGACCAAAAAATGAAGACATGCTCAGCAGGACGCGGGAGATGCAGACTAATGGAAGGAAGAGGCTGTTGTTCCCTACAGCATGTCAACTGAATTTCCATCAAAAGCTGGAGTGGACGGTTCGTTTGGCTAAGGAGTTTTTTGAATATGAACCACTATTCAAGGAGGGTCTTCACCGGCCCTATATAACAGTTGGGACAGAGGAGGCCGTGGAACACCTAACGAAGGATGGGTTTGAGAATATTGTGATGGTTACTCCGGAAAAAGGTATGATGTACACCAAGGTCATAGTGTTTAAGTATCCAACTTATTTGGATCCTGATTATCTATTGCTCAACAATGATAGTGTTGTTTGGGCAAAGAGGAACAGTGTTCGTGGTGAAAAACAAAGCCAGGTTGTTGCCTTGGTAAAGGGTGAGGCTCCAGAAAGAATTTTTTGCAAGGACTAGGCTACAGGAAAGTTGTAAAATACATTGAGGAGCCCATATTATGCATGAAGTGTTCTCGTTGGGGACATATGGCTTGGAAATGCCAGTTTGACTCCAGGTGTCGGTACTGTGGTAAGAAACACGACTCTCGAGAGTGTAGAGTCAAGATTAAAAACGGTGAAAAAATCGTCCCATCTTGTTGCAATTGTCGAGGAAGCCACAATGCTGGTTCCTATCTATGTCGCATGAAGCCTCATCTGAGAGACTCGAGGACGGGTGCTACAAGCAGGATAGATGTATCCTCGAAGGAAGGAAAGATTGTGCAGCAGGAACATGGAGGAAACAGTTGGAAGCCAATGACAGCGCCTATGAACAATGTGTGGGAGAAAGGAACAGAGACAATTAAGGCGAGCCTAGGGAAAGTAGGAAATGCAGCTGAAAAAATTAAACCTTGTGGAAACAAGGTTCAGGTCAATATAGTGAACTCTGAGGTTGGTACTCAAATATTGGAATATCTAAAAAAAACTAGAAAAGAGGATTGAGGCATTAGAAAAATTAACTATGGGGGGTAGACGGGGTGAAGATGGTGGTGAAACAGGACGTGAAGTGGAAAGTGAAACAGGACGTGAAATGGAAAGTGAAACAGGACGTGAAATGGAAAGTGAAACAGGACGTGAAATAAATATAGGTTAGGTTAGGTTAGGTAGGGTTGGTTAGGTTCGGTCATATATCTACGTTAATTTTAACTCCAATAAAAAAAAATTGACCTCATACATAGAGAAAAGGGTTGCTTTATCATTTCAAAAGAAAAAAATTATAGTAAATATATTAATTCAGGAAAACTTGGCTTATTAGGCAAATCGGGCCTTGAATAGTAGGCTGAGAAGTGAGTTCTGGCTACTAGGTACGACATATATATATATATATATATATATATATGATATATGTCGTACCTAGTAGCCAGAATGCACTTCTCGGCCTACTATGCAACACCCGATTTGCCTAATAAGCTGAGTTTTCCTGAATTAATATATTTTCTCTAATTTTTTTCTTATGAAATGATAAAGCTACCCATTTCGTCATGTATGAGGTCAATTTTTTTTATTAGCGTTAAAATTAACGTAGATATATGACCGAACCTAACCAACCCCACCTAACCTAACCTAACCTAACCTATCGACAGGATGATACTAGGCCGTATCAAGCAGTAGTAAACAGATATAAACGGAGAAATATTCAAAGACAGCGAGACGAAGACAGTGAGGAGGAAATAACAAAGAGACCAAAAAATGAAGACATGCTCAGCAGGACGCGGGAGATGCAGACTAATGGAAGGAAGAGGCTGTTGTTCCCTACAGCATGTCAACTGAATTTCCATCAAAAGCTGGAGTGGACGGTTCGTTTGGCTAAGGAGTTTTTTGAATATGAACCACTATTCAAGGAGGGTCTTCACCGGCCCTATATAACAGTTGGGACAGAGGAGGCCGTGGAACACCTAACGAAGGATGGGTTTGAGAATATTGTGATGGTTACTCCGGAAAAAGGTATGATGTACACCAAGGTCATAGTGTTTAAGTATCCAACTTATTTGGATCCTGATTATCTATTGCTCAACAATGATAGTGTTGTTTGGGCAAAGAGGAACAGTGTTCGTGGTGAAAAACAAAGCCAGGTTGTTGCCTTGGTAAAGGGTGAGGCTCCAGAAAGAATTTTTGTGCAAGGACTAGGCTACAGGAAAGTTGTAAAATACATTGAGGAGCCCATATTATGCATGAAGTGTTCTCGTTGGGGACATATGGCTTGGAAATGCCAGTTTGACTCCAGGTGTCGGTACTGTGGTAAGAAACACGACTCTCGAGAGTGTAGAGTCAAGATTAAAAACGGTGAAAAAATCGTCCCATCTTGTTGCAATTGTCGAGGAAGCCACAATGCTGGTTCCTATCTATGTCGCATGAAGCCTCATCTGAGAGACTCGAGGACGGGTGCTACAAGCAGGATAGATGTATCCTCGAAGGAAGGAAAGATTGTGCAGCAGGAACATGGAGGAAACAGTTGGAAGCCAATGACAGCGCCTATGAACAATGTGTGGGAGAAAGGAACAGAGACAATTAAGGCGAGCCTAGGGAAAGTAGGAAATGCAGCTGAAAAAATTAAACCTTGTGGAAACAAGGTTCAGGTCAATATAGTGAACTCTGAGGTTGGTACTCAAATATTGGAATATCTAAAAAAACTAGAAAAGAGGATTGAGGCATTAGAAAAATTAACTATGGGGGGTAGACGGGGTGAAGATGGTGGTGAAACAGGACGTGAAGTGGAAAGTGAAACAGGACGTGAAATGGAAAGTGAAACAGGACGTGAAATGGAAAGTGAAACAGGACGTGAAATGGAAAGCCAAACAGGACGTGAAATGGAAAGCCAAACAGGACGTGAAATGGAAAGCCAAACAGGACGTGAAATGAAAAGCCAAACAGGACGTGAAATGGAAAGTGAAACAGGACGTGAAATGGAAAGTGAAACAGGACGTGAAATGGAAAGTCAAACAGGACGTGAAATGGAAAGTGAAATAGGACGTGAAGTGGAAAGTGAAACAGGACGTGAAATGTGCGTTGAAGAAAGTAAGGAAGAACATGACGTATTGATGATAGAGGATAGTCAGGAAAATGAACTTTCTAGTAGTGTTAGCGTTCAACCTTCTGTAGTGACAAATGTCGAAACAAAGGTTAAAGTAAAACGGTATAGAGAAATAAGAAAGAAATTAGATATGAATAAGATCACCTTTGATGCTAGTAGCTGTTGTGCAAATGAGGAGAAAGCAGAAATGTTACAGTGTTGGGAGAGTCTGTCTGAGAAAATCTCGTATCTCATGGAATGTGACAGACAGGGCAAAGGTAGTTTTATTAAATCATGGATGAAAGTAGAGTGAGAATATTATCTTGGAGCGTTAATGGGTTAAAATCTAGTGCGGTGGATGTACACTATTATACTCTTAGATAGTACTATATTAACCTGATATGTTACATGGGATTCTTGTATTTGTACTCACTGAATTTGTGCGCCCCTTGAGGGACTTGAAGTATGGGAAGGGGTAGAAATAGCCTAAGCTAATCTTTGATTTTTTTTTTTTTTTTTTTTTTTTTTTTTTTTTTTTTTTAACTTGTCTCAATAAACCTACTTGAACTTGGAAGACCATTATGTATTAAAGTGTCAAATTATGGATAACCATAGAAATAAGGAAATAAGTAGTGTACCACTTCAAATTGTTTGGATGTGTGATAATGATATGATAGACAGAATACTTAGGAACTACAAGAATTTTGCCCCAATGATTGTAACACTTACTATATTAATATGCAATGTTAAATGTTGTATTGTGATTTGTGTATCTGTACTCACTGAATTTGTGCGCCCCTTGAGGGACTTGAAGTAGAGGGGGGTAGAAATAGCCTAAGCTACTCTATCCCTTTGAGATGTATTTTTTTCTTGTCTCAATAAACATACTTGAACTTGAACTTGAAATGCCTAACATTCACTTGTTTTGTCTTATTAACAAGCTTAGGTATATACACAACAATTTGCTGCTACCTATATGAAAGATTACACAGTGTAGATCAAAAACTAGCTATACTTTCATCTAATATTCCCCACTCGACTTGGAACGTGCATCAACTATTTTAAATTTGTTATATACAATTCTTAGATCATATTTATGGGGGGGGGAGGTTAGGTTTCAGGATCATATATCAAAAGTAACAAACATCTTTTTAGCATGGTTCTTGGGTGATGCAGGGGTGAATATTTTCTTCCCTGGATATATGGCAGCGTTCCAGCAATAGAACAGTATATATATACATCCTATTAGGTAATGCGGGCAGTGATCCTGGATGATCTTGTGAAGACTTTGATACTGGGGTCGAGGGTGAGGGCTGCCTGAGTGTTAGCGAGCACTGAAGTGGGAAGCGGGCTGTCGTGGTGCAGCTCCGCCCAAGCCTCGCCCTCCACCACACTCTCACCCACAACCTGCAACATAAGTATCTTTCAATGCTCCTGATCTGTTTCTAAATATCACCAGAAAAGCTATATATATATTAAACTTATTAAATAGGCATTAGATTTTACATTAGCACAAAAAATAATTTTTGTAAACCCATAATTTGATTAAAATAAATTTTCTTTTCACAACATAAAAAAAACTGACTTTGAGGAGGACGATGCCAGAAGCGTAGTTGATAGGATCCCCCACCCGGTTGCGTCCCGTGCCCAGCTGCATGCTCACCCTGGCCAGAGCCAGCGCGTCCAGGTCCACTACCACGCCTGCATCACATTATAACACATATTCCAACATTCCCACACATTATAACACATATTTCCAACATTCCCACACATTATAACACATATTTCCAATATTCCCACACATTATAACACATATTCCAACATTCCCACACATTATAACACATATTTCCAACATTCCCACACATTATAACACATATTTCCAATATTCCCACACATTATAACACATATTCCAACATTCCCACACATTATAACACATATTTCCAACATTCCCACACATTATAACACATATTTCCAATATTCCCACACATTATAACACATATTCCAACATTCCCACACATTATAACACATATTTCCAACATTCCCACACACTATAACACATATTCCAACATTCCCACACATTATAACACATATTCCAATATTCCCACACATTATAACACATATTCCAACATTCCCACACATTATAACACATATTTCCAACATTCCAACACTTGTGTTTCATCCTACACACAGAAGCACTTACTATTTGGGCCGAGGACAAATAATAACTATCAGTATTGCAATTTACAGACTTAGGGTACAGCCTTAAGTGTGTGATAAAAGGCGGGCTTAAGGCTAAAATATATTTGAGATCCATACAAGAGAATCAACAGAACACACTGGCCCGGAAACTGCAAGAACATGGACTCGATCTCGAACCCATTGATGATGTGACGACGTATATTGAATTTTTTAACTAGCTCATCAAGATTGTAACTTGCTTAGCTAAATGAATTGTGGGGTTCAGTCCCTGAGCCCATTATGTGCCTCTGTAACCCTTTCCACTATCGCGCACAAGAAGGTATGGGGTGCATAATAAATGAATTAAACTAACTGAGGGTGTAAGTCTTTAACATACCACATAGTTTACACTTCGTTTCATTCTCATTAACACATATTCCATATTCCCAGTCATATTTGTACCCAAGCCTGAGCCGCATGTATGCAGAGTAACTCCAAGCATTTCTCTTTTTTACCATAAGTGAAACGGGTGTTTTGACTCACATACACGTAGTATTGCATGGTTTGGCTTCCCTCATACATTATAAATCTCTTCGCCACTTCTGTTTGTGCCTGAATATTTCTAATTTCGGTTCTTATTTGTCTCATTGTTAAAACACATTCAAAGTCAACTTGTGGTTCTTGATGTGGCACGTTTGGCCCAAGTCATCTGCCACCTCGTTGAACACTATTCCAACATGAGATGGGATCCACATGCATTTCACTTTATGACCTTTCAACTGTATCTCATTTATCCTTTTCATACAATCCACAACTATGGACATGAATATTGGATTTCGACTCTTTAAGGAATCAAGTGCACCTCGGCTATCGACCTATGGGTCTGTTCAAATATCAACAAGTCGCATTGCAGCAGCCTGTAGATCATACAGATTGAATACAGTTAGGATACACATTGCTGTGTATACCTAAGCTTGTTAATAACAAAAAACATTGGAGTGCACAAGTCTTTCCGTAACTTTACTTCGACATAATAGTAATGAGATGGGTCTGTATGGTTCAGGAAGGGATGGTTCAGGTCATTTCCTGGTTTGAGGAAGTGGAAAATGATGCTAGACTTCCACTGTGAGGGAGTATTTCCATGTGACCAACAAAGGTTAAGATGGTTAAGGAGGATTTTATGCGTAGTAGATGGGATATACTTGATGAGCTCATATGAAATTCCATCCTCACCTGGTGCTTTGCCTGTGGGTCGGTAGGTAACGACTAATTGTACTTCACTTAAAGTGTAAATGTTGCCGGTGTCTTCATATACCAACAGTCATCATGCACTAAACTGAATCCAACTTTTAAGCTATATAGATCACCAATTTTGTGTATATATATACACTACATGTATGTACGTTCTAGAAATGCATTTGTTAAGTATTGCAAATAATATACAAATTACATGAATCTATGTAAGATAACAGAAAATGTGTTTCTTCAATAAAATACAGTTCACATAAGACTAATCCAAAGCTACAAAAACCTAATAAATCTTTGAGCTACCAGATATAGTAACACTGAAACGGACGGACACAATACATTGGCCCCGTTTTAATTATTGTTATTACTTGTATTTAATAGGAGATAAAACAATTGCTTTATCTGAAAATGAGAATTATAAAGCGTATATATATACCCGAGGCGGAAGCTTTAACAGGCGTGATGTGAGAAGCGCGGGGAAGGTGGTGGTAGTCGGCCTGGTCGCCACACAGGGACCTCGCCACCTCAGGACTCACGCCCTGGGGAAACACACAAACTAGACTTTAAAAATTTAAAAATTGAATCATATCGTGCAAAACGAATGTGATGAATTTGTATCCCCATGGCTATGACCTCAATGGACAATGCGGGAAAAAATGCCCTCGGAGAGTCGGAGGTTATGTGAAAATCGAGGATGTACAGAGGTCAATCCTCTGGATCGTACAAGCCCACTGTAATAGGAAGCTTACAGCATTTTCTATTTGTTTTCCTTTTTGAACATAGTTGAGTACAGAAGCAGACGACTACTGCCGCTTGCTAGGAGGCTTAGAGCTCTCTCTCCCCACAGACGTTCTTAAGTAATGCATTAATTGTGTACTGGTAAATTTGTGCAAAATACTAATCATTTAACTCACTAATTTACAGACAACTACAGTACCGGTAACTTAGTTTCCTGCTCAGTGGAGCAACAAACGGGTATTAAAGTCAACCTGTTAAAGAGGACGAAGCTAATACAAACAGCAGTATAAACTCTAACTAACTGTATTACATGAAAAATGATCGGATGATTTTCACACCCAGAAGGCTTGTATTCATCTCATTCATTACTAAAGAATATAAAGTACATACATATTAGTATGTAACAAAATGAGGTGATAAATTACATATCGGAAAGGGTAACGTGCGCTTGACTAAATCATGTTTGATAACAGGAACACAGATTGTTGTTGTTATAGATTCAGCTACTCGGAACAAGCTCCAAGTAGCACGGGCTATGGTGAGCCCGTGGTGGACTTACCTGGCACAGGAGCGGTGCGAACAGGAACACAGATTAAGTGATGAAGATTAAGCCACATAAGAGGTGGCATGGGCATGAGTAAGTGGTAGAACAGGAACACATTCATAGCTTTCTTCCACACAGCCCCGCTCCTGTGCCAGGTAAGTCCACTACGGGCTCACCATAGCCCGTGCCACTGGTAACTTTTCGTTCCCAGTAGCTGAATCTAAAACAACAACAGCTTTCTTCTTATATTAGGTTATGACACTCGTCTGGAGGAAGACACACCTGTTTCTGAAGCATGCTACAGAACGTAGCCCTCGCTGACCCGTCGCTTAGGACTCGAGTCATGGCTCCACGACCCTCCTCTTCTGATGACGAAATCCCACACATCGCCAGCAGCTCTCCTCCTGATAAAATATGCTCATGAAACTTGTGGCCACACTTTCTAAGTCCCACAGTTATTAACCGATAAAATCCAAATAATATTTTAAATAACACATTAGTTAATGGTATATCGCATCCTAATGTCCACTAATACATTCACGCTCACTGAAGAACGGCAAACTTTCCAAGATGACGCACGTGGGGCATATGAGTGTCATAGGTCAGCTGGGGACTTACCCCAGTGCCACACTTTAACAAATATCGCTATCTATGGAAACCTCCCCTCCCGACTTGCTATTTTCTTCAAGTCTGAAATCGGGTTTCTTTCAGTCGAGTTTTTTTTCGGTGTTTTCTAGTGATAAAATTTCAGAGAAAGATAAAAAAAAAAGAGGCGGGAGATAAAGGGAAAAAGAGAGGTGATGTTGGGGGAAAGGAAAGAAGAGAGAGAGGTGGAAAAGGTGGGAGAGGGAGGTGGAGAACGTGGGAGAAGTAAGAGGGGGGAGGGGGAAAGAGGGTAAAATGGGAGAGGGAGATATTGAGAAAGAAAGTGGGAGAGGGAGAGAATTAAGAATAGGGGATAGGGGGCAGAAATGAGAGAGGCGGAGGGGGAGAGACACCCAAGCACAGCCGGATACCAAATATAGTGTAATTTATCTGAATTTACTCATTAATACCGTGGCCTCATTGAGGCCACTAATACCGTGGCCTCAATGAGGACAGGAAGCCGGTGGCTTGTCCACGGTCCCCCCCCCCCCATTTGCCCTGATGAGCTTTTCCAACTGTATTTTAAAACCTAGCAGAGTTTTGGCATTTACGGCTTCAGCGGGTAGGCGGTTCCACGGGTTTACAACCTTATGAGTGAAAAACCTATCCTGTTTTCTGCCTACATTATGGCTTGTTGAGCTTGAACCCGTTGCTCCTCATTCGTGTTATATTTGAACTTTTGAAGAAATTGACCGGATCGACATCCTCCAAATTGTTCAGTATTTTAAAGGTTTCGATAAGCTCCGCCCTGCCATGCCGGGTCTGCAGTGTTGGGCCCTGTGGCCCTCAACCGTTCCCGATACGAGAGATGACTTTTGTTGCCCAGGTCCAGGTGTAATGGTCCAGGACAGACCGAAACGTCGTCGGTTCTTCATTTTAAAATTTGTAGCTTGGGTGTCACCTCTTCAGCCACGTCATTGTGACTTATCGTCTGCATATATATGTATAAGTATGTGACACAAAGACTGCATGAACGCGTGAGCAATTAATCACTAAGAACTTTTCTGACCTACATTCGAACCCCTGCTGCCCGAGATCACTCCCAGGCGTACAGGGTACTGTAATCAGTATTATTGTTGAAGTGGTTACATTATCCTACAGTATAACACAAGGCACCAGACCCTTACCAAGATGCGTGACCAGCTGGTGGAGGTCTGGGGGGCCTTGTCCCCGCATACAATCAATGGCTTCTCGCACCTCGAGAGCGTTGCCTATGGTGTTGCCGACAGGGACGTCCATGGCGGTGATGAGCGCGGTGCTCTTGATGCCCAGACACTTGGCCACCTTCACCAGGTTCTCTCCCAGCTGCTTTGCCTCCTCCATCGTCTTCATGAAGGCTCCTCGTCCGTACTTCACGTCCATCACCAAGGCATTTATAGACTCTGCTGCCTTCTTGCCCACAATGGATGCTGAGGCATCACAATATGACATCAGAAGCTTTCAACACATTAACTAATTTCCTGGTGCAGCACCAGGCGTGTAAAATCCAATTTCTTGGACAAGGAAATTCTGAATTTGTTTTCTGTGAAACAGGAAATGTTAAATCTCTCTTCTTAAGTAATCTTTATACCACATACAACTAAAACTATTAGTGGCTTTAGGCATAGTATATACTAGCTATGTTGACCAGACCACACACTAGAAGGTGAAGGGACGACGACGTTTCGGTCCGTCCTGGACCATTCTCGACTTCGACTTGAGACGGGACGGACCGAAACGTCGTCGTCCCTTCATCTTCTAGTGTGTGGTCTGGTCAACATACTTTAGCCACGTTATTGTGACTCATCGCCTGTATACTAGCTATATCTAGAAAATCCAAGATTCTCTTTGTAACTCAGTTTATATGTATCTACTTTTACCTGAATAAATTATTATTATTATTACAAATATTATTATTATATTGGTATTATTATTACAATTATTGTTATTATTATTATTAGTAGTAGTATTATTAAAATTATTATCATTATTAAAACATCTGTAATTTTAAGGAGTAGCCTACATATGATAATGCTACATGATTGCGGTATAATTTTGTTTTTGTTATAAACCGGTATTTACTCTTAACGTTTCAGGCAACCTATAACAGTTGCCTAACTCCGGAGTACCTATTTACTGCTAGATGGACAGAGCCATCAAATATATGAAAACATTCCTAAACGTCTCCGTCCTGTGCGGGAGTCTAACCTGGGACCGTATGTGGACTTGTTTCTTAAGTCCATTGTTTACTGTGTCATCCAGGTGTATGAATGTCAGAGAAGGCAAGACATGATAATATCATCAGCATATGTAACAGATTTATGCAATAGAGGCGCATTAGGCTAATCATAATGTATATAAGGAATAGAAAGTATTCAAGTATACATCCCCGAGGGACAGTGTGTGCATTGTAGCAGCAATATCAGAGGAATTGATAGGACTGTTAAGATTAATAACAGTTGATGAAACTGCAAAAGTCCCATTGGTCCATGTGAGGCTACTCCTAATTCCACATGAGCCAAACTCGTTCCTTTATGTCTAACCTTCGCCGAGAAACCACCCGTCACTCACACGTTTGTTGTTACCTTGTAGTGAGTGAGTGATTAAGATTAAGCCAACCAGGAGGTGGCACGGGCATGAATACCCGGTAGTGTTAAATCTACAACTGCTCCCAAACCAGAATTTACCAGGTCTCTTCTGAATCTAAACATCCAATTTGCATTCAATGTTTGGTCTTTTATTTTGTGTTGATATACAGTACACAATTAATATTCCTTTATTATACCTTTTCATGCATTCATATACTTCAGTCGCGTACCATTTTTATTCTTCAACTTTCTTGAGAATGTAAATTAAGCTTTTTTAATGTCTTAATTCATGTGGGGGATTTCCGATTCTCGAGATGAATTTTGTCATCCTTTTCTGTATACATGCAAGTAAACTTATGTTCATTCTATGTTATGTACGATGTTCAAACTGAACTGCGTGATCTAAATGAGGCCAGCAAGGACAAGATAGAGTTGAAAATGGCATTAGATATTTGGTTTGGTGTTGGGATTAAAGCCTATCAACTTCTAGAGTTACTAAGGCCACCATAATTGCTTACTGACCAACCAGCAAGTACACTTTAGACTTGAACATAGTTATACCTCATTCTGCATCCCTTGTAGGTGAGTACATACACGAGGAGTAAAACTGATAATCATACTTAAGTTATATAATTCATATTATCTACTATAAATACTTGACCAGTACCGTTGCACCTTACTAGTGAAGGTATTGTATGCGCACTAACTAGGTACCGCACATGCATCAGCGGTAAAGAAACATGAGAGAAGTACCGACGATGAGGGGCGTGGAGAGGACGGTGGAGGTGACGTCCCTGGCAGCGTACATGCGGCAGTCGGCTGGCACGATATCCACCGTCTGGCCCACGATGCAGCACCCGGCCTCCGTCAGCGCCTCCAGCATCTCCTTCTCGCTCAGGCTCACTCGGAACCCTGGTACGGAATAGGTTCACAAAGAGAAAATAAGAGAGCAAGTAAATAAATAATTATCAAAAGAAGGCGCCACGCCACCAAGAGTACGTGGAACGAGATCAACCAATGAGGGACCCCGCCCCACCAAAAAATATATCCTAAAAACAAAATATCCTAACCGAGGTCGTCTGCTTTTATTGTCAATACAGATGGGTTTGTGTCCTATTTATGGCAGCATAAACCTATCATCCAAGCTATGGGACAAATGTCTGAATTGCTAAAATGACATACTGCAAACGTATTAAACCCGTTGTGAGTGATTATATAACGGGAAGACCGCAACCTGATGGCTGTCCTTACTCCACAGGTGACATGACCTAACATAACAAATAAGTAGTTTTCTCTGTCATTTCCTCTCACTATTTACTGAATGGAGTCCCTACATGGGACTGAAATTAGTCAGTAACTCGGGCAACACATAATACCATTCTAGTTCGATACACCAATTATTTAAAAACTTTAGTTAATATAACGAGCGGCTACGAGAGCTGTTTATGGAAGGCCAATTATGTGAAGAGGGTTAATACAATTGACTAAAGGAGATAACAACCTGGAATGCTCTCGAGCTTGTCAAGAGTGCCGCCTGTGTGAGCAAGTCCCCTGCCGCTGATCATGGGCACCTTGAGGCCCAAGGTGGCCAGGGCTGGGGCCAGGGCCAACGACACCTTGTCCCCCACTCCGCCTGTGCTGTGCTTGTCCACCACCACCCAGTCCGCCGGCCACGACAACACACACCCTGTAGCATGGCAAAAGGTCAAGTTAACTTGTGGCAAAAACTAGTAGTGTGCGTAAGTTGCACTTAATTATTGGGATTATATTTATGTCGGAACTTGTCAAGGATAAAAATATTCGTTATGACATCAATTTAATTAATATTAGTTACTCATTAAATGGTAGTAATATGAGGGGTAGAAAAGAATGCACGAACACAAAATTATTGTAACTCAACCACACACACATACCGCTCAGACGAGTATAGGGTGCACAATAAACTCCTGCTTACAGAATAAGTATGGGGTGCACAATAAACAACTTCTCACAGAATAAGTATGGGGTGCACAATAAACTACTGCTCATAAAATAAGTATGGGTGACATTTATATTTGAGGACGGGTTGCTGGCAACCCGTCCTCACACTAGGCTGTTTAAAGCAGCGGCCGTCCTCCCCAGACGCATTCATCAATTTTAATATACTGTGTATTAACAATGGGTTTGTTCTCGTATTTAAATTAATATTCTTATACATAAAAATTCTATAATTAGTTAGGCGTATGTTAGGTTAGGTGTTTAGGTTCTGTTGGTAATTATTTGTATTTGAAGTATGTGGGTGAAGCATTTATAGAATTGTGGTTCGAATAGAGGACGTGAGCGAAGCACTTGTTCCGGAAGTGTTCAGACGTCATCAGTTGAGTCGTGTGTAAACCGCTTTTCATTCATAAACAGGGAGTTTGGCGACTAGATTAACGAGCTTGGCTCTTTGTATGCAAGGACGCAGTCCATCCTCCAAACAAAGACCCAAAGTCCATTCCATGCATCCGCCAAACCTCGTTTATGAATGAAAACCGGTTTACACATGACTTACAACTGATGACGTCCGAACACTTCAGGAACAAGTGCTTCGCTGACGACTTTTGTTCGAACTACAATGCTGTAAATGCTTCACCCACGTACTACAAATACAAATAATCACCAACAAAAACTAAACACCTAACCAGTGCCTAAATATGCACAATATGCTAATATATATAATAATATTAATTTATATTTGAGAAAAGTTCTGTTTTGAATGAACAGAATGTTAAAATTGATGGATGTGTCTTTGGGGTTGACCGCTGGATAGAATGGACTTGGTCCAAGGATGGGCTGCTGCTGCTAGAGACTACAATATAAAATAAGTCTCACCCGAGTCTCTGGTGTAGCGGGTGAGGGCGACTATCTCCTCGTCCGTCATACCCTGCAGCGTAGTGCACATCAAGAAGGCTCCTGTCCACAGTCGCACAACATGACATAAGTAATTACATCAGAGATCTCTGTTAACACGATAAATGAATCCATAGTTCCTCGAATTCAATGACTATATGCCTGTAGTATTGAATGCCCTAAATTCCTCAATGCCCACTCATCTTAGAACTTGTAAGAATGTGCCATCAAAGTAAGCAAAGTATTTATAAAAAATGTACCAAGCTGGAGACTATGTGGCGATGTGCCATCAAATTTAGAAGGATATTATTGAGTATTAGGGTTATCTCAATTGCAATTAAAAATTTACCCAAAACTGAATCACTCCCGGTAATAGTATTTTGCGCTTAGTGCATATTTCCTATTGCCTTTCACAACACCCTATCACAGTAGACTCATGCAGTATACTCCCTGTAGCCCAGGGGGGGGGGTTGTGAAAAAATATAATGGAGGGACTGCGTCTCTGCAAGCTTCAAACAACAGTATAATAATAATAATAAATAATTAAAGAAATAAATAATTAGACGAAAGATATTAATAAACACACCTTATACATAGTGTATGCACATAAGGGTCGTCATTGTCACCACTCCCATTAGTAACAAGGTTATCCCGAATAACCGAATTCAATTACGGGCTCACCATAGCCCGTGCTACATGGACATTTCGTTCTGAGTAGCTAAATTTAAAACAACAACACTCCCATGATGGGGCCCCACCAAACACTAAGCACGGAAGCCAAAATAAAGTATCTTTCTCGTCACAACCACAAAGTCATTCACATTTCTGATACTACACTGATGTTAAACTGCTCCTCCTTGTATTTCTCTGTCGAGTGAGTAAAACTGGTGTATGTCTTCCTGTGACGATATCAACACCAACTGTGAAAATGCACTCCAATCACAATTCTTGTATGCTTAGGCTAACTCATCCTAACCCTTGCACAGAAGCCCTCCAGAATTTCTTTATTGAAGATCAGCATTGTTCCAAATGGATAACAAAAACTGGAACTCAACTCAGAATGCATGATAGGGACAATGCTATTTGTTGGCGGAGGTGTGGCAAGGTCAGCACCATCTGTGGAATGCTCCTGATTATAACTCATTTAGGAGGTGGGTCGATGACAATGTCCACTTGTGAGGGAGATGACGATATCAACACCAATTATTGCGTGCAACCGATCATATTTTCTGTTCCCCGGTGAAAGGTTGTCGTTATCCTTGTGTACTTACTGCCTTGCTAATGACTAGTATGTCTGCAGAAGTGATGAGGAGGGTCTCATGGGCTCCAGAAAGCAGTTCATCCCGGGCAGTCCAGAACTCCTGACTTGTTCCAGGAAGAGCAAGTGGTCGTCATCGGTAGAGACAGTGCTGTCTTTGAACTGTTATTGGTTGGACCGACGTACCCGGGATACGCCAAGTGGAGTTAACGCTATGCGTGCTACTGGCTGTAAAAGAATGTAAGAACACTCGTGTGTGTGTGTGTAATTACCTAAGTGTAATTACCTAAGTAATTAAGTAAGTGTGTGTGTGTGTCTCTGTCCCCAATAGCCTACAATATCTGTCATTTCCAGAAAAATAATAGCATTGCATCAACGCCTTATTTTTCTATCAGTCATCCCAACATGTCTTATCTCAGTGCCTCGTGTGTTCCCCACTTGACCAACGTCTCGACCAAGACAAGGTTGTGTAAACAAACGCTAAGAAGAGAGCAGACTTTACAAGTCATCTACTATTGCAAGCGTGTCTCCTCGTGTTATTAGTTGCTTTATTAAATGTGGTACTAGCACAGGCGAATTCGTTCTCGACTCACAATCGGAAATTCCAGGCGGGACGGATATGGTTGGGCGCTTTTCCTATCACCTAATGGTTCTGTTCACTTAGCAGTAAATAGGTACCCAGGAGTTAGGCAGCTTCTCGTGGGGTTGTATCCTGGGAAGGGTCAGTAGTTGGACTTTGGGTTGGGGGGGGGGGGGACTTCGATTTAAGCCTATCATGTACATATACACTGGTTGCCAGTTTCCTGACACAATGACTTATTCTATGAGAGTCAACCACTATCATGTTTCTGAATACTTTTAAATAAAAATTATTATAATTATCTATATCGCTGTATATCTAACACGGTACAGTTACAAGCCCAATAAGATTTCAACTAAAATTCAACAGAGCAGAAGTTGTTAAGCACATGGGGCATAATCTAACTGAACCAACCATACGAGTCACAAATACACATAGTTCGCCTAAGTAAAACAGAAAGAAGTAACACTTAGTGGGCCAGCCAGAGGCTTAGGGCCCGCGCTGCAATATCCCTGCAAAAAAAAAAAATACAGCGATATAGATCGATATGGTATTATCTATTGTGTAGATAATACCAACTCCCAACACTAGATATGCCTGACCGCAACACCAGCACCCATGTGAGTTAACCCCAGTGCTAATTGCGGCCATCTACTGTATCCGCTCCTTGGTGCCGCTCACTGCATAGCTGCCCACTATAGCCACCCACTGTAACCACCTAGGGAAGTTATTCACTACAGCTACCAACTGTAACAACCCAGTTAAGTTATTCACAGCAGCAACACACTAGAATTGCCCATTGTAGCCGTCAATTCTGATAATGTATCTCAAGGTCGCCTGCGGGTCTCTGTCATTTCCGGCTTCATGTTATCATCGCCCACTTGATAAGACGCCGCAAAAGTTTCACGAGTACTCTATGATAGTTGTAGAATTTAATCAATAAGTTGTTTTTCATCAGGAATGGCGAGCGAAACTGCAACCCTGAGAACAGTATAAGACATGTGCTACACGCACCTACACACTCCGGGTGTACACTGTATCCTGCACATGCACACTCCAGGTGTACACTGTATCCTGCACGTACACACTCCAGGTGTACACTTTCGACGACAAAAACTGGCTAGCGCGAAATATGTAGTCCGACACCATCATGGAGTAAAATAAACTGCCAGAGTTGATTTTCCTGGATAAATTTTGATATCAATAAGAGCTGCCTCGCATGGGCCTAGAGGCCTCCTGCAGCTTGCTCATGTTGCTGTGTTTATGCCGGAACCCTTCGCGCAGACTCGTCCATGGCAGCCTCGGCGATTATTATTAATACTTACTAATTACACCTTCATTCTCCAGCACGGCTTTTCCAGTGATCGTTTACTTAGTAATATTTACTTAATATCATGTATCTAATTTCACTCGTATTTCCTCACCGAAATAAAATATTTGTGTCTCATCTTCAATTTTATTTACCTTTTTTATTTTTCCCAAATTTAGAAATCTTATTTAGTTTATTCAGCGCCTACTTACCACAGCTTTAGGAAAGGCATTTTCAACCCTTCTTCAATCCTTGTAAGATGGATACTTACCGTACACCTGAAGACAAACTCGCCCTCAAAAGAACATTTATGAAAATTTCTATAAGTTGTGGTGAAGGAGAGTGAGCCCTAGAAAAGCACCCACCGAGCTGGTAGTCGTCCATGGTCCTGTCGCTGATGGCTCTCACCAAGAAGGAGACCTGGTCGTCGGTGAACTGCCCTCCGGCTTTCTTCAGAGCTAACAAGTCAGGGATCCTCCACTGCCCCTCCTCACTAGGAGTTGACGAATCCGTGTTGGCCATCGCTGTGACTTCTGTGATGACCTGCGTGGAGGAGATATTCTATTCTTATATCACAAAAAAAGGGAGAGATAGAAAGAGAAGATAATAATTTATTCCTCATCCCTTAAAAACACACATGCTAATCACAAATTAATGGGAAATATAATGAGAAATGGAATAATGAAACATACGAAAGGTATTTTCCATTAATCCTGTCTCGCAAACCTAAGCTGAACTAGAGCCTTATAGGGGAGCCGGGTTTTTGTTGTGTTTGGGGGAGGAACGTAAAGACGACGGAGAGGCATAGGTGAAGGGAATAGTTTGGAAATGGGAAGTATAGTGTGACTTATGATAACATGGGTGCTGTCCGCCTTGCTGGCACGATTATTTATTTATTTATTCATTTTATTGTAAAGATGGGGGAGGGATTTTCTGGCCAGTATTTCATTTAGGAATTATGTATTGTAGCTGGGTTTTCATCTAGTAGATGAAGGCTCTTGAGCCATCAGCTGTGGGAGTGGGGCGTCTCATCTTGGGCCATCAGGTGTGGGAGCGGGGCGTCTCATCTTGGGCCACCAGCTGTGGGAGTGGGGCGTCTCATCTTGGGCCACCAGGTGTGGGAGTGGGGCGTCTCATCTTGGGCCACCAGCTGTGGGAGTGGAGCGTCTCATCTTGGGCCACCAGCTGTGGGAGTGGGGCGTCTCATCTTGGGCCACCAGCTGTGGGAGTGGGGCGTCTCATCTTGGGCCACCAGCTGTGGGAGTGGGGCGTCTCATCTTGGGCCACCAGTGGGGAGTGGGGCGTCTCATCTTGGGCCACCAGCTGTGGGAGCGGGGCGTCTCTTGTCAAGGATAATGGGTTTCTGATCAGGGAAAGGAAGACACCAAGCCTTGGGGGCGTAATTTTATTGACATGATAAATAATTCTGCAGAGGTAAAACAGGCTTTTAAATAGAACTTAACAAATGTATAACATAGCCGTGGCTAACGCAAAGTACACGAACCATCTTAAATTGTACACCCGTAGTAAAAACGTAATCTTATAGCCTAGTAACCAACTCTGCAGAAACCTAATGTCCTAATGTCTAGAATTAGCAGTGAGGCGAATGTAACAAATCTAATTCTAAGTATAACAGGACACCAAAGTGAACAACATAACATAAGGGAAACCCTAGCTGGAGAATAATCAGGCGGCAGAAAAACATAGTGACTGGGGAAGCCTGAATATGTATTTGGAGAAGAAAATAACCCCAGGCCAGAGGCCGAGCCGCCAAGGAAAGAATTACCTGACAAGGTAGGGCTTACTAGTAGAATGGCAGTAAAGTCAAAGTAGTAGCTGCGGACAGCGGAACACTTCGGGACGGGCGCTGCACCCCCACCCATCCCCAGTGAAACGGGAGGAAAACGTGAGGAACAACGACTGACATAGTCAGGACCGTGAAAACTGGCAGCCAGCAGAAAGGGGGAGGAGGGTGGGCGCTTCGTGAATCGTGGTCCGGGACGGGAGTGGGAGTGAGAGCGAGACCTGACTCCGTGCTCCTTTTATGCCACCCAGGCTGGCCGCACCGCGCCTGCGGGACGCGATGCGCAATTGACTCTTCCTTCCCCATCAGAAACTCCACCGCCTTTCGTCAAAAGGCAGTGGGCCATGTCTGGGTTTCTTTTTTGCAATGTGTTTTATCTGGAACTTTTGTTTATTTGTACTTATTTTTCATTACTTTTCAAAGTTGTTTATGAATTCAATTGCTGCCTTGGTATTGCTGGCTAGTGGCGGCTTTGATGGTCCTGGTTGGCATATGACTGGGAGTGGGTAGAGGTCGAGGAGTGGGTGGGGGAAGCAGACGAAGTAGGGTTGTAGTTCAGGAATAATACGGGTTGAAAGCGAATGGGGATAGGGGTGGGAGTGGATGGTTTGGGGGAGGCGGAGACGGTGAGATAGGGGAGGGGGTGCTGGCTGGGATTGGGAATTGCTTGCTGGGGTGAGGGGGTGCTTACTGGGGTAAGGGGAGCTTGCTTGGGTGGGGACCTGGGGGAATAGTTTCTGGCAGAGCAGGGGCTCTGGGTAGCCAGTGTGCGCATGCGTACAAAACAAAAACATGGTTGAAATTTACGTTGAAGATGACCAAAGTTCAAACGGAATCTAAACAAAATCTCAACGTCGTGATGGTTAACAGTTTTTGTTCATTCTGAACTATATCGAGTGGCGTCGAAGGACGACGTTAAACCGACCAAAAATGCAAACCGTTATATGTAGTTATCACATCCCCTGTTTCTTCTCTCTCTAGTTGTGGGGCTGAGCTCTCTCAAATTGTCCTCATAGCCTAGGCCTCTCAATTCTGGTACCAGTTTATTTGCAAACCTATGAATTTTCTATATTTTCTGTTTACGATTCACAAGTTGTGGCCGCAGGGTGCCTATGTGTACTGTGCGAACATAAGTAACTACTACATACCTAAATTTGTGCTGAATTAGTCAAACTAGACCCAAGACGTGCGACAGTTGTATCACTTGAAGAAAGTGACGTCTTCAACTTGCAAGTTAACAGAGTGGTCCCTAGATGTGTCTGGCCGCACCGCCACACGAGCGCTGGTCGAGGTCGGACTGATTAAGTGTTCTCGTCCTCACAATCTCCTGCCGAGCAAGCATGCAATAGGTTGGCAGTTGTAGATTATTACACATTATATTTGGCATGGCTCTTTTCAAGAGATAAAGTGTTTTTAAAATGTCACTTGCTTTACTGTTTAATATCTTTTAATACATTTGATTTTGTTACATTGCTATTGATCAGACTTGTTCTCTTAAATTTTAAGAATTTGAGCTGATGTGTGTATTCGATATATGCAAGGTCAGCCCACTTCAAATGAGCGATTCATGTTCAAAATCCGGGCAGAACAGGTGCAGAACAGGATTAATTAACGTGCTCGGCACGTTAATTAATCCTTTCATCTAGCATCAATAAAAAGGTACCCGGGAGTTAAGCAATTGTTGTGGGGGTGATGAGTGTGTTATGAAAGTTTACAATAAACACCTAAAACTAAACTAAACTACAGAAGACTTGGCCAAATATCCCCATTTTACTAACTGTAGGTAGTAACTAAGTGATCGTAACCTATCCACTGCTGCCCACTGGATGGGGGGCGGTGTTCAGGACAAACATATCAATTGTGTCACTAGTTCTTCACATACGTCGGTTCCTTAATTTAGAAACTACTTGTGGTCGGTCTCGAGCCCATTGTTGATGTGACGATGTGAATGAATTTTGTAACTAGCTCATCAATATTGTAACTTGCTTAGCTAAATGAATTGTGGGGTTCAGTCCCTGGGCCCATTATGTGCCTCTGTAACCCTTTTCACTACCGCCCACAGGATGGGTATGGGGTATATAATAAATGAACTAAACTAAAAAACTGCAGAAGGCCTAATGGTCCATATGAGGCAGCAGTTGCTCCCGTCATATGGACGGCATATGAATTATATCATATGCCGGACCACTTCAATTATATCAACCCGTCCTCAGACCAAGTAAATTCCATCCAGCAGTCTACCCCAAAGATGCACTCATCAATTTTAACATGCTGTTCATTATAAATAGGAATTTTATAAAAAATCATTTAATATTGTTATATATTAGCTCATGTTGACCTCCCTCTCATGTTGAACCCCACACTCTCATGTTGACCTCCCTCTCATGTTGACCCCCTCTCTCTCTCTCATGTTGAACCCCCACCCTCTTTCATGTTGACCCACCCTCTCTCATGTTGACCTCCCTCTCATGTTGATCCCCCACCCTCTCTCATGTTGACCTCCCCCCATCTCATGTTGACCCCCCTCTCTCATGTTAAACCCCCCTCTGTCATGTTGATCCCCACAGCTAGTTTAGATAGATTTGCAGTCTGTACTAATTTTGAATTAGACATACAGTAGCAATTCATATGAATATATTAAAACATTGTATAATATATATATATATATATATATATATATATATATATATATATATATATATATATATATATATATATATATATATATATATTATACAATGTTTTAATATATTCATATGAATTGCTACTGTATGTCTAATTCAAAATTAGTACAGACTGCAAATCTATCTAAACTAGCTGTGGGGGATCAACATGACAGAGGGGGGTTTAACATGAGAGAGGGGGGTCAACATGAGATGGGGGGAGGTCAACATGAGAGAGTTTGCGGCGAGGTGGTGGCTGACAGGAACGGTCACCATGGCCTACTCTGCCAAAGCACAGGGGGATGGCACTCGAGGCACAGTGAAGTTAACGACATCATCAAGAGGAGCCTCACCACAGCTGGATGCCCAGCTGAAAGAGAGCCCCGTTACCTAACGCCCCGTAACTCTGATGCTCTTATTGGTCGCCTGGATGGTATCACAGTGAACCCCTGGAAGAATGGCAAGCAGTTGGTATGGGACTACACGTGCGTATCAACCCTGGCTAGCACCTACATTAACCTCAGTGTTGCACAACCAGGTGGCGCTGCCACCCACAGGGAAGCAGCCAAATTCCGTAAGTATAGAGAACTGGATCACCACTACAATTTTGTCCCCATTGCTTCTGAGACGCTCGGCGCTTGGGGTAAAAGTGCTACCAGTTTTTTGAAGGAACTGGGTTCTAGGCTCATTGAAACAACAAGGGACCAAAGAGCTGCAAGCTTTCTTTTCCAGCGCCTCAGTGTGGCGATACAGAGGGGAAATGCGCACTGCATCCAGGGTTCCTTCCCGCCATCTGAGGAGCTGGAGGAACTCGACAACCTATGACAACCATCTTTGTAACCCATATGTAACTCCTTTTTGTAACAAACTTCAAATAAAGTAAATATATATGTGTACATACAAAAGAATGGGGGTGGTAGGAGAAGATAATATTAGTGTTCAGTGAGAAACCACAAGGTCTCCTCTGAATACTTTTTATTTTCTTCTCCGAGGCTATGGGTCCCCACATTGGCACCAGAGGTGGTACCCTCACAAACTTTAAAAAAAAAAAAAAAAAAAAAAAAAATTATATATATATATATATATATATATATATATATATATATATATATATATATATATATATATATATATATATATATATATATATATATATATATATATTATTTCTATTTTCATTGAAAATAAAAATTATTTTCCTTGATATACTACAAACATTATTATATATATATTGTTCTTTATAACATATGGAATCTTTAATGGAATACAACAATTATCTGAACGTTTTTTATTACACAGTATACAAGAAAATTAAAACCTCATGAAATGAACAAAATAAACTATAGAATACTGATGGTTAAATAAAGGCCTTTATTTTGTGAACACATACTGAACCCATATAGAGAAGGTGTTGAGGAAAACTTCTGCAACTTTATACATATACCTGTACAGTTATGTATATTGCTATACATAACACAACTTTATTGCATTATATATAGGAATAAAAATATTTATGATTAACCAACTTCTCTCGTACACAACAAAAAACCAGCATTGAACGTAATAAAACACCATTTTCTGAGTGAGCCCCAGAGGCTCCCTAGAGCTATCAGACTAATATGCGATATATTAGACTAGGGCATTAGTCAATGGAGTTTAGCCTACCAGGGACCACAAGCCTGAACCAGGCCCCCTCAGAGAGGCACGAGAAGCAATGCCCCCCTGGAAAACCCCCCCTACAGGGAACGAGGGAAACTGGATCAACCCAAAGTGGATCCCCAGCAAAGAAGTCAAGGTGCGCAGGTAACGGCAAAGAACCGCAACCAGACACAGCGCATGATGCACCCCCAGCCTGACAAACCAAGCATTAATGTCCCATGAACCCCTCCAGGGGAAGTGGCCATCTTGTTCTTCGCCAGAAAAGAAGGAGAAGGATGCAACCGAACAAACCGACTACCAGGACTGAAAGAATAGAAACCCCTGCACCGGAGGAGAGGATAAAGCTTGCCAATGCCAACAGAAAGAGAGCCTTGGAAAAACAATCTTGAACCAAAGGGGCCATTACGAACTGAGAAGAGAGAAAGGAGAGCACCCTTTCCAAGGAGCAGGATGGCTCAAGCAGCGCATGAGCAAAGTACTCCACCAGGCAAAGTACAAAAGTAAAAGAAAAACCCAGCAAAAGTGCAATGTCCCCAGAGGAAACTGGAACCGGCCACTGCATAGGTATGCTTGCTGCACAACACCTTGATGCCCAAACCAGCAACAAGACTACTCCCTACCCAAGGCTAAACAAGGGGCCATGAAACCTCGGCTGGCCCCAAGGGTGGGGGTAAAGGCAGAGCAGCAAAAACTGCCACGGAAATGGCATTCCAAAGGCACAAGGGAAGAGAACTCTAGCACCTAGGGGTAGTACCAACAGGACACTTAGGGAATGCTGCTCTAAGAGCATGCAAGTCTGGCACACTAAGTACACCTGATCCCCATACCACAAGTCAGCAGAGAACACCACTAAGGCAAAACTCTGCCAGGGTCGACGACCGCCCCAGATCGCATTAGCCAACAAACTGGAGTTGCCAAGTAGTTGCTGTGGAGGGTCTGGGGCTTCCTTCCCCCTTCACCTTCCGGGGAGGAGAGGGCTGCGCGGACAAGCGGTGCAGTGACAAGGTGTGACATTTGCTTGTTTCCTTGGAATTTGGGGGAGTTCTGCCTCTGTTCAGTTTTGGTTGCAATTTTCTTACCATGTGTGGGTCTGTTTTGTTATTTCTACCTTTCTGGGTGCCTAACCCCAGTCAATGGTAGATTAGGAAAGGCCCCCCCCCAACCACTGGGGGGTTTTCCAGGGGCCATTGCTCCCTGTGCCTCTCTGAGGGGGCCAGGTTCTGGCTTGTGGTCCCCGGTAGGCTGAACTCCATTGACTAATGCCCTAGTCTAATACAGTATATCGCATAATATATTGCCCAATAGCTCCAAGGAGCCGAAAGAACTCCCCACAGAAAATTAAATTACTGTATCATTCATTATTTCAAAATAAATGTAAGTGGTGTTTTTGAATTTGCTCCTGTGGCTTTCATTCAGTTTATATCATGCAATACCTGTATATCAAAACATTTTGAAACATAAGGCTGAGACTTTTACAAACAAATAAGACATTGATATTTCAAATGAGGCTGTAACGATCAACAATAACTTTACAAGCTAATCAGGGTGAAGTGAACAAACCACCAATAAGGGGTGAAGTAATTGGTGATCCAGCATATCCCATGGAAGAGTTAAGAGGAATAGTGGAATTAAGTAAGGAATTGTGTGCTACTCTGACAGAGGTATTGAAATGGCTGGTGTTAAGGGTTGAATTGAGAGGTTCTCGTGACGAGTAACGCATTGGGATGTGCTGTACTTGACCACTGCTCCACACCTGTTGAACGTCAAAATCATTGAGTTTCAATTAATTTCTTAATTTAAATCATATTATAAATAATTATACTTTCAATCTTATTATATCAATACTGGTAGCAATAATTACCGATAGCATAATAGAACCTACCACAGAGAGTACAGCACCACTGGACAAGTTCTTTTGAAAGCTGACACTGACAGGAACATGGCCAAGTTCACCTCTTATGAACCCACTGTAATAAATATGTTTATAACTTACTAATAAGAAAGTAAATCCTACAAAATTCTATATTAAACATTTACTTAATTATTGGAGAAGAAAGTCATTTTAGTTCTTATACATACAGTATGCATAAGAAATTACATTAATGTACACGGGTATATACTGTATTTTTATTATAGCAAATTAAAGAGAGTTATTTATACTAACCCTCAACTTAGGACTATGTATTAGCAAGAAGAATCACACACCATAATGTTTACTGAATGGCATATGAAAGGAGGGGTTGTTCATGCAAGAAGTCGTGTAAGTGTTCACATGATGAGGCGAGGCAAAGGGATTATGGCAGCTTTAGACCTGCCCGAAGTAAAGTTATCTTGGGCAGGTCTAAAGCTGCCCTGATCTCTTTACCTCACCTCAACATGTGAACAGCAGCACAAGCAAGAAGTGCCTGACCAACCGGGCTGAAGTGGATATGTGGGGCTAAGGACCACTCCAACCTTGTTGGACCACGCTCTCACAAGCTGGAGCCAGGCTTGGGAAGTAGAATAACTCCCAGAACCTCATCCAGGTATAATCCAGGTACTCCTCGCATGAACCACTGCTCCTTTCATATGTCATTATTTAAGAATGTTAGTGCTTGACTCTACTAGCTAATACATGCCCCTAACCTGTGGGTTATAACATTTACAAGCTATCAGTTCTAAGGATATGAACAGTACTGTACTACAATGAGTACATAGTGCTGTAGTGAATACATGGTGCTGTAATAAGTGCATTGTGCTGTAATGAGTGCATGGTACTGTAATAAGTGCATGGTGCTGTAATGAGTGCATGGTACTGTAATGAGTACAGGGTGCTATAGTGAGTACAGGGTGCTATAGTGAGTACAGGGTGCTATAGTGAGTACAGGATGATGTAGTAAGTATAGGGTATGAAATTATTTTCCAGATATCACACTGAATACAAACATTTGAGGGAGACAAATTTAATAAATTTGTAAAACCATACGGCATCCATAACAGGGAACCCTTTATAAAATGGTAACAAAATTATTCTCTTTGTGACACTGTAACTAACAATGTGTCAATAATGACTGCTAGCAAATAAAATAATCCTTTTATTTAGACAGAAGAAAAAATATTTCATATTCTGAGTTAACACAGGTAAACAGGTCAACACAAAGTAGATTAATTAACTATTAGGACAACTATTACTTACCCTGGAGCAAGATGTAATGTTGGATGAGTGTGCGTGTGGAAGAGCACCACACATTCTGTGTCACGGAATACAATAGCCAAACGTTCACTACGCGTGTCCCACGTCAACTGCCTTACCAATCCACCAACACTGTCAAAAGAGCATGCAGTGCAAATGAACGTATTTTAATCATATATATATATTATACAATATAAACAATTATCAAGCAACTTTCTCAAGAAGACTTTACAGAGAATAACAAGGTTATTTAAAATAAGGGTTTTGAATATGCATGAAAATTCCATTTCTGAGTAGATCGCTCATGCTCCATAAGATCTGTCCAAATCAATTGGACAAAACCAATTATAGTCAGGCAGGGTGACATTCTGTAGTATGATGGAAGCGGTCTTGGAGTACTGTTATAATATGATGGAATCCATCACAAAGGATAGTTATAGTATGATGAAAACAGTCACAGAGTAGATTGTTATAGTATGATGGAAGCAGTCACAGTTTTGCAGCAGTATGATGGAAGCAGTCACAGTTTTGCAGCAGTATGATGGAAGCAGTCACAGTTTTGTTGTAGTATGATGGAAGCAGTCACAGTTTTGCAGCAGTATGATGGAAGCAGTCACAATTTTGCTGCAGTATGATGGAAGCAGTCACAGTTTTGTTGCAGTATGATGGAAGCAGTCACAGTTTTGCTGGAGTATGATGGAAGCAGTCACAGTTTTGTTGCAGTATGATGGAAGCAGTCACAGTTTTGCTGCAGTATGATGGAAGCAGTCACAGTTTTGTTGCAGTATGATGGAAGCAGTCACAGTTTTGCTGCAGTATGATGGAAGCAGTCACAGTTTTGCTGCAGTATGATGGAAGCAGTGACAGAGGTTTGTTCCAGTATGATGGAAGCCATCACAGAGGATTTTGTATACTCAACCTACACTCCAGAAACCTGCAACAATCTAAAGAGTAGACTCACCTGATTTCCTCACCATTCTCATCAGCAACTAGAGTTTGAGTGAGGTCAGCAACTTGGGCAGCCACCTGTGTTCCCCCAACACTCTCACCAGGTATAAAACCCAAGTAGTAAAGAACTGGGTCATCTTGGGTCACAAACAGCAGCAAATGACCCAAACTTGACCAAACTGCAGACTGAACAGGTGATTCCAGACTCCACTGTTCGTAAGTCCAACTGCGAGTTTCAAATACTCTGCAATGAAAGTAGATTTCATACAAATTGAAATGGGAAAAATTGCAAACCTACATGGTAAAAATAGTAGATTCAGTTTATTACTGTAATAAGATTGTGCAAAAGCAAGAATGGACATGTGTGTTTGATTAAAATTACAAAAAAAAAGTACACTTTTCACCTAGCAGTAAATACATACCCCAAAGTTAGGCAGTTGTTGTGAGCTGAATTCTGGAGGTCAGACTCCATACACAGTTTCAAATGTAGATATGATAGAGCTCGAGAAGCTTAGGAATCTGTACACCAGTAGATTGACGGTTGATAGAAGGGACCCAAGAGCCAAAGCTCAACCCCCACAAGCACAACTAGGTGAGTACATACATACTGTATATATTTACTTTGACATTACCTCATGATCTTGGAGGAGTAAGCAACAAAAAGTCTTGAACTGTTGGGAGACCAGAGTATGAGAGAGATGCTTCCACCCGTCCCACTGTGGACCACAACCGGTACCTCACGTCCCACATCCCACACCACCAGCTGGCTGTTGTTGCCTCCCACGCATGCTAGCAAGTTGCCCTAAAACAATAATTAACATTATACCAACAAGTGCAAAATGGACAAACCACAATATTCTGTCACTAAAGCTATTTTAACTAATAATGCTTCACTATAAGCTTCCGTTCTTCCTCATATTCTCTCTGAAAAATTACATTAACTTCAAATCATCTGTAATTAGTGTACTGAAGAAGTCATCCAGCCAATTACTTACCTCATCTGTGGCCAGTCTTACCACCTTATACTGTAACTTCCAATTCACACAAACAACATATTGTAAAATAATAATTAGTACCTTAATTCTTAATAAGAGAACACTAAATATAACCTGGCATACATTTTTACACAGTACCATCTAAATTCAAATAATATTACATTTATAATAATATAATAATAAAGCGTTGAGCATCCAAGAGCCGAAAAAGAATAAGACCGGAACCCACGAGACGAAACGGCAAAACCCAGCAATGGCTGAAACTCCTGATGAAGTGGCAGAGTGGATGCATAAATTACTACCAATACAATCCACCATCTTCTCCAGGAAGAGGGTAGGATGGTGATGGAGGGGCAAGTAAAAAAAATAATGTGACCAAGCAAGCTAAAGGAACTAATCCAAGATAGCTTGCTGGCAAGGTAAGCAAACCACACACAAGTCTATCACTGCATTATATAGAAAGGGTATGACCAACATGGATAAGGCATGGAAAGGTGCCTATTCCAAAAACAAAGCCAGAGAAGAAACATAAGATAAGCCACCTGTGCTGAATGCAAAGAGAATAATTCTAATTCTGTGACCACCAGACCAACAGTCAACTGCACAGTTAGACACAGTGGCATTAATAAGTGTGGGAGCTAAGTTCCCTTGAAACCAGGCCTTGTCTAACTCTTACTGGGGGCTTTCCAGTTACCTACATGATGTCCACAGATTTAAGCCTCAGTGGTAACAAAGGCATGTAATTATTATTATTATTATTTTAACTACTTGGCCATAATATAAGACCATTTACTAGATCCTTATCAGGTTTGGGGTAAAGGTCATGAAGGCCTAAAATAGTGACAAATGTCCTGATAGCTCAAATGACTCCTGACTCAAAAGGTATTCAAGGGGCCATCAGCTCCAACAGATATCTGAGAAAACAAACTATAAAAGAGTATTAATGGTAAGAATGAGAGATCTCCAGGGAAATTCATAACTTTATGTTTGAAACCAGAATTAAGAAAATAATAATTAATAGAAGTAAATACTCTTTTTTTCTAATGGTAGCCTATACCAGCAGATGTAATAATTTAAAATTGTACAAAGATTTGAAATAAAAAATTGTACAGACCTTAGGATGCCATGTAAGAGAGTTGATTGGAGTTGCACTAGGGTAGGCCAGGAGTGAGACACAAGAGCCAGATGGTCGGGTTACAACATTCACCGGGTCCAGTGTCCACAGTAATACACCACACTCACAGCCAACAGCCAGAAGCGAAGCTGAATACGGCCTGAGAATACAAATACTCTATCAGCAGCAAACTAAGCAAAACATTCAAAAGCAATGAATCACTCTTTATCCTGTAATTCAGAAATAAATGATATAAAAACTAGGATTTAGAACTTTGCTCTGCTAATTAATAATCAAGGTATGAACAACAATTTAAGTGATATCTAATGTATGACACCAAATAAAGTAAGTGATCATTACAAGTACAATCCAAATTTGTATGTTCTTTAATCTATGATGAAACCAGTTAACCAAAAGAATATCATATTAATATACTGCACAGTACAGTATACCAGTTCACAATACGTAACCTCAAATGTTAATACAGCAGAATGTAAAATATATTATTATTATAACATTTTTTATTAATACATTTAGGTACATCTGCATTTACATAGGCTACCCTAGACTATATGAAGGGCTAAATAGTGTGTCAAGAGTTAGCTACTTGATGCTAAAACATCAAATACTATACTGAACAAATATTTAGTTAACCAATTAATTTGTAAAAACATATACATACATCCAAGCAATTTGCATGATGGATTTCTGGAGGCGATGCTTGAGAAGAGGCGTGATACTGCGGCCAGCAGCAAACACTCTCACCGTATCATCACAGAAAACAGCAGCTAGGGTGTTAGTATGGGGATGCCAAGCTACACTCACAACACTACCCCCTGATCCACAAAGGGCTGTTGTATATGTGGAAGAATGAAAATGGAATTAGTTTGAATGTTATTATTTATAAATGAATTAAATACCAGTAATACAGTACTGTAAAATATCTAAACATAAAACAATTTAATTTCCATGAGCAGTGTGTACTCCTGTAACTGTCAACATTTATATAAAGTGCCACATATAAAATGCCTTACCAAGGGGAGGTATTGGAGAGCTCCCATTGCTCTTGGGTGATGACAAGAGTGCCTGTGCTTTGGTAATGATGCCACACACTTTAAGAATAACAGAGGCCACAGTGGAAGCAATCTGATAGAGACTACCTTCATCCTTGCCTTTGATCATCTCTTCTAGGGAAGCTTCCCATCCCTCCTCATAACTGAAAGTTACAAATAGTACAATATCAAGCTAACTTTTAAAAAAATATGAGGTGGAATAAATATGAAACACACTTTTCTGAGCAAAGCCATTCTGATGTCTCTTAAAGTAAGATTCAAGGTGTCTTGTGGAGAAGAGGCATAGCAATAAAGCCCATGATATTCAGCCTGGAATGACTGCCACAGGTGTATCCATTAAACTCAAAGATGTACAAGAGATTTTCATATTGATCAAATGTGACTACTAAACAAGATCTCCTTCCTAACAGCCCATTCACTCCTTGCCTAGACACTTAGTACCTTAGCCATTACCAGACAGGGGTTGTCACCATACGTTAGCAACCAGACCCCAGATAGTCACAATCTTCCTCAACACTCACAACATGCTGTAAAACAAGAGAAAGGAAAGAAAAGGAGAGACCGGAGACCACCCAATGTCATTGTGCAGGAAGGAGTTTCATATTTCTCGAGTTTTGTATTTCTGTGCTATAGCATTGCATTCTGTTGCTGTTTAGGGTAAATTACAAATACATGAAAGAAATATTTAATATAAAATTAAATAGAAAAAACAAGGGAAGAAGGGTGGTGTATCTGAGAGCAGCACAGTGCTGACAGGAAGCTGATGGAGGACTAATGAGACATTTGTTCAAAATACCCAAACTGCCTAAAGAAAAATCTCAATCTTATAATTTAATCATTTCTATACATTATATGATTCCAAGACATTTTTTTATTCCTTGTTCTATTTATCCTTACCCCACAAATGTATTTTAGATTGTTTATTTCTACAGCTCAAACTCTTAATCTTTTGGATTAAGATTGGACTGAAAAATTTCTAATTTCATAAAATTTTGCAATTTTAATTTTTTGTTTAAATTTTGTTGGAGTTTTTCTCACCAAAAGTTAGAGAATACATATTTTTGTATGTTTACACTCTTAAGAAATATACAAATAAGAATTTTTCAAGTATAAAATACAGTATAAAATTTTGTATTTAATAAAATCTAACTTTGGCACACATGTTCTGGAACACCACAGTCATCCTTGTAAACTGCCCGTTTTAACTCGCAGAAAACTGAGCCACTGAGAATTTTCTCCCTTTTCTTAACTACCAGAACTCTCTCTCTCCTGGTAATGTCTATAATTTTTTTTGTCATTATTTCCAAATAGTGCTATAGTGCTAACACCACACTCCTCAGGCAGCCTCCTCACCCACCAGCCATGAGGGTGAGAACATACATTTTTACAGCTACTGTATTTAACATTTTCTTCCATGTTAAAGATCATTTTTCTTCCTCCTGAATGGTTTAACTAGACTACACTTACTGGCAGTCATAACTGCCACAAAGGATTCTACTCACAAAGGATTCAAAATAACAATTTGTAGCCCCTTCTTGAATACCAAGAATCAACACAGCACATTACTTACAAAGCCTGTAAGTGTTCATCACCACACTACTAGTAGCATCACCACTCTCTACTGAGGCTAGCTTCCACTCTCTCAGCCTTGATCCCTTAACAACATAAATTTAACCTTCTCATTGTTATTAATATTCAGTACCTCTACTTCTTTAAAACTGGTGAAACTGAACAATTCTTGCTGCCAGACATTTTTTCTACTCACAAATTAAGCATCCAAAGAAAAAATGCAACCAGTCATCAAAAAATGTAATAAATTATTGGTAGGAAAGAATGAACTTCCATGTTTGGCGCAGTGCAGTGGTTAATTAAACCTGTAAAGCTTATAAATTCTTTAATACTATAGGTATATATTTCACTGAACATACTGCTGTTTATTTATTCATACAGCAGTATGAATGATTCATACTGCAGTTCATACATTCATATGTATGAACATTGCTGTATATGTTCCTTATTAATGAATTTCCCTTTCCAAGTATCTGTTCTCTTCGGTAATTGCATCAGCCATCCTGAATATATTGTGCAAGGTGAACATTTATTTACCTTACTTCTTTTAAAATTATTTTAGTGATCAACTTAGTTTTGCAGTATTTTACTTACTATGCAAACATAACCCGCTGCCACGGAGTCTCCGTGTGAGCTGAGAAAGCCTCCCGGGCCTCTTGTTTACTATGTGCTGTTCTAACTGGCTCCTGGCCAACTGTTACTTCAATAAACTGTCCACCAAGCTGTAGAAAATAAAAAGAAACAATAAGACAATACTCTAGTACATGCACATGCTCAGAAAGGTAATTAATTTGAAATATCTTTGGAAATATCAGCATTATGATATGCAAGACATTACTGTAATTCTGACATAGATTAATGTACAACTGCTCCGAGTAGATCACTTGAACCATAAACCCAGAACCTCTGCCAAAAGGGTGTGGGCACTTTTGGCAGAGGTTAATTAATATAAATATAATGCCAAAACTCTTAATTTAGATTTTTGGTATTAATAGCAGCCCTGCTGCTATTAATGCCACAAGCAACTTTGACACCTAGATGTTGAGTTGCCAAAGTTGAGCACTGTACAGAGAGATGACTAGGCACTGAAACTTAGTTATACAGTATACCAATTGGTGGGTTCTGTTTCAATAAAAAAAAAACAGCGCCGAATGTAATGAAATGCCATTTTTTGGACAAGCCCCGGAGGCTCCCTTGAGCAATTGGGCTAATATTCTATTGCCTTCAAGACAATAATATGCCAAACATAGGTACAGTAATTGGTACAGTACCTATAATTTATACCAAGTACCATGTTTTCTATACTTTATATAGATAACTTCGTACAGTACTTACCAAGTTCCTAGTAGTGCTGAGAGCTTCACTATTTCCTAATGCGCGAAGGCGTCCATCATTTTCGTAAGCTGTCACATGTCCACTTGCAGGTGGTGGAAGGAGGTGCTCTAAGTTTATCATGCTGCTGAATGGTAAAAACAAAAAATACAGTACAGTATTATTATCCAAGCCTAACAGCAGTCCAAATAAACCTAAAGTAGCACAGTATTTTATTTTTATTTTAGAATAGGTCACTACAAAGATAAAGTTGTCCTCTGAACAGTGCATAACTTTAAAAACATAAACATCAGTCTAAAACTAAAACATAAACTAAATTTTAATTTCCAGTCAGTTCTTAAACAATTGGATATCAAATGTATCATGGAAAACATATGATGGCTAGTAAATTCCACAATATGGCTGTGGAATGGAAAAAAAAAGAAATAATATTATATTTAATCCTTGGATTAAGCCTAATGATACACAGTAACTGTGAGAACAAGCTGCAGCAAAAATATTACTGTACTGTATATCAGTACACAGTATTTCACCTTGGTAATTCACCTGCTGTTTGTGAGTAAATTAAGTCAGCAGCTGAAACATTGGCTTATTCCAGAGAAATTAATTATTTTAAAGGTAGCTCTGGCTAGCTTCAAAATTTAATGAGAAGGTATGCAATCAGTTTGAGGAATATATCTGGATAAAAACTACCGGTAAGTGCTGATGTTGGTTGTCAAACCATTAACAAAAAATCTTGGTAAAAAACAAAATATATCAATAGTTGGGATACGTAGTTGAAACTGTGGATCCAACCCGTCCTCAGGCTATGCTCATTCCATCCAGCAGTCAACCCCAAAGATGCATTCCTAAGATTTTAACACACTGTTCGTTCAAAATAAGAATTTTCTCAAAAATAAATTAATATTATTATATATTAGCATATTGTGCATTAGTTAGGTTAGGTGTTTAGATTCTGTTAGAGATTATTTGTATTTGTTGTATGTGGGTGAAGCATTTACAGCGTTGTGTGTGGTTTGAACAAAAGTCGTCAGCAAAGCACTGTTCGAGAGGTGTTTAACGCAGTCCATCCTCATGAACAAAGGGAACTATTGGGGGGAAAGTGTCAAGCCGTTACGACTATAAAGCACTGGGAACGAATCAGGATAAGGATGAAGGATGAGATGGGGACCAACTTGCTGCCTAGTGAATGCTTTTGAAACAGTCCAGCGACAAAATTACATGTAATATATTCACATTAATTTAGTTATTTAAGAATCACTTAGATTTCCATGGTTTTGATTTGGTGCCTGATTTACTTTATTCTACTTGCATTTGTACAGAATTCCTGGGATTTCCATACTATTCTACTTCGTGGTATTCCTTCCCGGCAGCGTTATGCAAGTTTCTTGTCCTATGCCAATATTTGAAACATTGATGAAATTGACTAGTTGGCCCAGTTAGAACTAATTCCTAAACTCTTTAATTATATATGTGACTTACGTGAAAATTTTATCTATCTTCTATATTTAGTTAAAATATTGAGGAAATGTTCAAAATTTCTGCTGCCTGCCGTATTTACGTCGCTTAGTTCAATAAGAACAAAGTTCGGAAGAAAACAACGTAATATTTCAGGGTAGACAATGTTCGTCTCGTTCTCTGCCAATCTCTCTAAGGATAAGGACAAGGGTCAGGATAAGGATTTGGGATGGGAGGTGGTGGGGGGGGGGGATTGGTGGGTAGGAGATTTCATGGGTTTATATGGGTTAAAGTTTATTTCATGGGATAAAGACCTGTATAGTGATTCTTGAAGATCACTATGTAAAAAAAAAATATATATATATATAGACAGGGGTTTATTTGTTTATTTGTTTTTTAATTAATTTATTTATTTATACATTTGAAGATACATTTATAGTTGTTATTACAGGTTTTTGTGATTATTTAGTACACTCTCACAAAGCTACTGTATATATATTGAGGGGTCCTGGTATTACAGTCGGGTCCTGTACAGACTTGAGATCTGGGAAGGTGGTACTGTATATGACTTCTTGGTTTGTAGGGTAAGAAAGGTGGTAATGCAGTGATGTACACTCCTTCCATGCATGAAGCTATATATCTGGGGGATAGCATGGTTCCTGTTATATGGAGGAGACGGTATAAGACTTTTGAATGGTTTGCAAAGGCAATTAGTAAGGAAAATTGGGTGTAAACTATTCTGGTTTGGGAAATGTAATCATTATACTGCTGGTCCAAGAGATAGGAAGTTCCCCTAGTAATACAGCTCATATTATACAGTTCAAGAAGGGGATTTCCTGGTGCTAAAGGAAGCAAACGCGATATCATAAGTGATACCCTCCTCACTGGGGGATGTAGCTTTACATTTGTTCAGAGCAGAGTGTCTCAGACTCGGTAAATAGCACGTTGCATTCATCTTCCTTGTGGAACACGAAATCAAAGTAGGAGTGTGCATCATTGCATTATCACCTTTCTAACCTTGCACACTGAAAAGTCATAACCCACCTTCCTAGCTAGATCTCAAGTCTGCGTGTGTATATGTATATACACAAACTACTCTATAAAAATATAGAAAAATCATTAACTTGGTAATGGTTATTTGGAAACAATAGCTCTTGTATATATAAATAAATAAAAAACTTTCTCAATTGCCGCAACCAGCGTTTAATCTTGACTGCAGTGTCTGGGGAAAAGATTGTTTAGGGCAGCTAGTTGGTTGCACAATCATCGACTATACTCGTTTGCTCTGTGTACAGGATGAGGGTGTGACACTTGGCCAGTCTTATCGGCTTGATTATTTTAATATCCTTTCATGCCTGACTGACGGGGAAAGGGTGAGAGTTGAGACACACAAAGAGCAGTTTACCAAATGATGTTACATAGGCTTTCAATGCGAATTGACATTAAATAAACTGTTGGAATTCAAACAATAAATCATAGCCAGCTATGGAGAAAATGTATCCATCATCTGTAATTTTTCTGTCAAATGTGCTATTGAATATTATATTGCAATTAGTGGGCGAGATTAATTGACTTATAAGTAGAGTACATATATTTTCCAGGACACGTGTTGAATGCTCAGTCGAGAAGGAACAGTGGATGTGGGAAGATGTTCCAAGAGCTGCAGGTCAGTCTAGATATTTTTATATTTTGTTTATATCAATTTTCAAGTAGCAAACTGATTTATTTAATTTAAATAAGCTAGCGCATTTGTTACAGTATCACGAGGTATATTTATTGTTAGCAACCCAGTTAATGTAGGTAGTTAAATAAGCGTCGTCGGGAACGTCGTATATTTAATGATATCCCGTTCTTTGCCTTCCTAAGACAATGTAAATTAAGATTTTATACGCTTATATGGAAGGTTTCTTATTTTGTACTGGCAGACATCTCGCGACATGCCTTGCCCTTCCTCTTAATTACGTTCTACATTTCAGCACTAACATGCCTCCTGCTTTCAGATTACCACGGATTCCTTTTCCCAAACAGCCTACCTTAATTTACTCCGACAGTTGATGCTTTGCTCATGTCGCATGTTTAATTTTGCGTTGCTGTGTTCGGTATGTTTGTTCATTTTCCTTGCCTTACGTCATTACGTAAAGTCAGCCAGGATGTGCTATTTGCAGAGTTACTAAGTAAATTATTAAGTAAAGTCAGCCAGGATGTGCTATTTGCAGAGTTACTAAGTAAATTATTAAGAAGTCAGCCAGGATGTGCTATTTGCAGAGTTACTAAGTAAATTATTAAGTCAGCCAGGATGTGCTATTTGCAGAGTTACTAATTACTAATTACTAGTCTTTTGCTGGGCTACCTTTATGCTTCTCCCCTTCCTGTCTAGGTATGTTTAGGTATGGCTAGCGGTGCGCGAGCCGCGGCTTATCGGTTCCTCCTACGTCTGCGTGTCTGTTAATTTTGTTATTGTTGGACTCTCAATTTGATTTGTATTTATTACGGAAAAATTTTTCTCCCGCAATTTACTCTTTGTTTAAGTTTCACGTTCAATTTGTTATTAAGGGACTATCAATTAGGATTTGTATTAATCTATTGCTTTGCCTCTGTGCCTTTAAGTTATTTTCAGCTAAGGTACGCTAGTTGCAGTGCATTCGGGTGGCCCCCCCCCACAATTTTTTTTTCTCCGGTTATTTCGTCCTATTACACTCGTTTCCCTCATTATATATTCTATTCTGAATTTTGTGCATTATATCTGACCACCCATTCTTCATCGTATCGACAGTACATTAAGTTACATTTGGACGCTACCGAGAAGTTTAGCTGGCCTCGCGCACGGTGTCATGCAAAAAACTGGCCATTCGGCCTTCCTTTCGGCAAGCTCAACCAAGTCAGTTAGCATGACGTCGGCCAGCTTGTGGTTGGCCAGCGCAGCCAGCATGCTGTTGGCCATAGGTCGCTAACGTTCTTTGGCCATCCGGCCTTCTGGGCTATTTTACTCTTCTTGTTCCTTCGCCTTTGTTGTTTCCTACTACGTAATAGTATTCTATTTAATTTTACCTCATCTATCATTAGGTTAGGGGCCCCTTACCTCCAACCGCTATTCCTTCCACTGCGCTCTGCCCGCTTGGCGCTCAATGCCGGTTTCTTCTGTTCCCTTTATTCGCAGCCACGACAAGCCGGAACCCCCCCCCCCCCCCCCCCTTCACACCCTACTGCGGCGAGGAAGAGAACGCGAGCCGGATATTCCTCTGATCACCATCAACGCACGCAGCGGTGCCGGGATGCAGCCGCCCAGGGCCTACGTTAATACTATTATCTTCTCTTTATTTGCTGGGCTATATGGCAGTATTAATATTACTCCGTACCGTTACTGTCATTCCAGTATTATTTTATTAAAATATAAATTGTTATTATGGTTTGGCGTTGCTTTCTTAATTTCTTCCATTCTGCGGCACTTGCCGTCATCTGTTATTTACGATATTACATTGTATTCTTCATTGTACGATTATTTACGACATTGTATTCTTATTATTATCCTTATTACAGTTACTGAATGGCAGCTCCCTGCCGTCGATTTCACTTTGCTCCTGTTCTAAAGATGTTGCCGAAGTTCACGGCGTACTAGCTGCGGCTCGCAGATGCTCATTGACAACACAAGACTACACTCAGCGGCCACTCAAGGCAGACTCCTTGGCTTCTATCCAGCCCAATCACCCGTCTGGAGGCAGAGATGGGATAGAGACCAAGGGTAATGTTCCCCGCTCACATTCTACATCCGATTAGGACACAAGCATGTTATAGATTTGGCTTTAAGAATTGGTTCTTATTCCATTTTATTGTTTATGTATATGTTGCTTAGTTGTTATACCCTTTCTTGGTATATGTATTGTTTATATTCAAGATTTATAGTGTTTCGTCTTACCCTGTTATAGTTGCTTTGTGCCTCCTTGCTGTTCTCCGGTTTTCTCCCACCTTTGCTCTTAGCAAAGGTACTTCCCCCTTCCGTTTGCTGGAAGATTCTTAGATTTGTTAGCCCCCCTTCATTGCTACAGTATAATTATTCGGATGCTCTTTATTCATCCAGGATTGTTAATTAAGGTTTCTCTTAATTCCTGCTGCCGGGCTCCCTCCCCCGTTTTTCGTCTCCGTATTGATTCAGCTAGGGTTTCCCTCTCGTCTGTGCTCTTGCCTGTCACGATAACACTGCACGCCGCTTCTGCCCACCCTTACTGCCTTATATCTTTCAGCCCGGGGGAGGTGAGCTACGCGACAAAAAAAAATCGACGCACGCTCCGACTGGACCAGGTATCGCTTACATGGTCAGGAATCAACACTCTTCGGATCCTACAAGCACAGATCCTACAAGCGCTCCTGTCACCAGGCGAGATTTCTCCAGGATCCTACGCGCTGCCCTCTCGGCGCTAGGCTTGACTTCAGATGACTACGCCCCGCACCCAGCTGTCTCGGGACGGGCTCGCCACATCAGAAATAATGGCAAACGGCAGGCGGAAGAGTAGTGCCCACATCCTACGTCAGACGGGACGTTGTTGCTCTGCTACATTGAGTGCCTCACGCGGCCAGCTGGCACTCGCCCTTCGGGGGGGGGTCCGGCCGCTGGCCTGCGGTGGGGGTGCAGCGCCGGTCCCCAAGTGTCCCGCTGTCCGCAGCTAATACTTTGCCCAGTCTAGGTGCTAGTAAGCCCTACTTGTAGTCACACCCCCTTCTCCTTATCCATTAGGTCTTTTACGGCCTCTTGGCCGGGTACATTACGTGTTATGTGGTCTCTCACTTATTAGTTATTCTTTGTGTCCTGCCTGTTATATCCTAGTGTTATATAATTACTACACATTTGCACTCGGCCTTAATTCTAGTACCAGTTAACCTTTAGGTTTCTGCAGAATTAGTTTCCATGTCACTATAGGCTAAGGTCTCATACTTACTACGGGTGTACCTTTTAAGTTAAATCTAGTCCTCGGACTTGGAATTGTTACTGTTAATTCTTACTTTATATATTTACTTTATATATTTTAATATAAACGTTATATAGTCCTTAAATTATATATTTTGAAACTTTATATATTTACATGTTCAATATTAAGTTTAATAATATCAACTTTGTTATAAGCCTATAATATAAACCGTGTTTAATATAAACTTTATATAATTACTTACTTTATATTTGAACTTTATACATTTACATGTTCTGCAGAATTTAATCTTCAATAAACTTTAACGCCCCATACTGCCAGTATCTTTCTCCCCCTGGTCAGAAAAATTGCGCAGCGCGTCCCGCGGCGTTGCGCGGGCAGTTTGGGGCCTGTATAAATACGGGCGCACACTGGGGCTCTGCCTCACTCCGCCTGCCCTCGCCGCTGCCCTCGCAAAACCCCACCCTCCCCCCCTTTGCAAGCGGCTGCTTTTGTACCCCCGTCATGCTTTGCACAGTTGTCCCGATTGTCTCCCCACTGCATGTAGGAAGGGGGGTGCAGCGCCGGTCCCCAAGTGTCCCGCTGTCCGCAGCTAATACTTTGCCCAGTCTAGGTGCTAGTAAGCCCTACTTGTAGTCACACCCCCTTCTCCTTATCCATTAGGTCTTTTACGGCCTCTTGGCCGGGTACATTACGTGTTATGTGGTCTCTCACTTATTAGTTATTCTTTGTGTCCTGCCTGTTATATCCTAGTGTTATATAATTACTACACATTTGCACTCGGCCTTAATTCTAGTACCAGTTAACCTTTAGGTTTCTGCAGAATTAGTTTCCATGTCACTATAGGTACGAATGGTACGTGTTGGACGCTGAATTAACGTGTGGAACTAGAGATCATTTCATTACTTGTTAATATATATCACACAAACTACTGTATGTACATACAGTACAGGATAATCATTAACCTAGTATTAGGTTAATGGAACTGGATGGATGTCTGCTGCTAGTATTGGCTATATGGAAACATTGTGCTACTCCTTCTAAAACATTGTTGACTAACATACTTCACTAACCCAGGGAACATTGTAGGCCTACATTACTTACCCCAGGGAACATTGTAGGAATACGTTAGACCACTTACCCCAGAGACCCCAGGGAACATTGTAGGCCTACATTAGACTACTTACCCCAGGGAACATTGTAGGCCTACATTAGACTACTTACCCCAGGGAACATTGTAGGCCTACATTAGACTACTTCCCCTAGGGAACATTGTAGGCCTACATTAACTACTTACCCCAGGGAACATTGTAGGCTTACATTGGACTACTTAGGCAGATGATGAGCCACAATAAAGTGGCTGAAATATGTGGTACGTGTTGATTAGAAACATTGTCGTTCCTTCATTTTCTAGTGTGTGGTCTGGTCAACATTAGGCTACTTACCCCAGGGAACATTGTAGGCCTACATTAAACTATAAGTCCTTTGAACATTCTAGGGTGTAAATTAGACAGCTGACAAAGAGAACATTATAGGCCTACATTTAAACTAATTCTTATTAAAACATTATATTTTCAATGTGTTGAAGTTGCATTTAGTTGTCACTTATCTAAATGATAAGGGTTTATGTATTAAAGAGTAAGTTCAAGTAAGACGAGCATTTTTTGTGTAAAGGCAAAATTCATAAGCCTTGCTAAGTGTTACTGGGCACAATACCAAATTTTCTGAATACTTTAGTTCATTAGATAATGTTTTCTATTGCTAATGTTCATCTGCAATCAGCTAATGGACAGTTTTGTTTAGATAGATTAAATTAGCCAAAATTTTCAGCGAACAGAATGTTCATCTGGTACTCTGCAAGTGACATCCCGAGGGAGTGCCACTTACAGGCTGTATCGAAGTGTGTTTGAGTCACTTTTCCCAGATTGCATTCAAAGATTACGTTATTCAATATCCAAATTTGTGCGGTGAGGTTAAGCACTGTCATGTGTTGTCAGTATCTGGATGGATACAGTGTGAACATCCTCATCTCGATTGTTGAGATGAGGAGCCCATCTTCATCCTAGGGGCCTGACAGTTGAGTGGACTGCGCTCTGTATTCATAGTCCTAAGGTTCTGGGTTCGATCCCCGGCGGAGGCAGAAACAAATGGGGTAGTTTCTTTCACCCTGATGCACTGTTCACCTAGCAGTAAATAGGTACCTGGGAGTTAGACAGCTGCTTCTTGGGGATGTGTAACAAAAAGGAGGCCTGGTCGAGGACCGGGCCACGGGAATGCTAAGCCCCGAAATCATCTCAAGGTAACCCCCCTTTGATAGGGGTCCCAACAAAAGTATACCAGTTGTCCATTTAGACTATAAAAATGTTATACATCTTTATATCATACACATACAGCATATTGTATAGACAAAAAAAAAATCTTTAAACAAATGACAAAAATGAAAATGTAATTAAAATGTTTTGAGTGCTGCCATGTACAACACTGGTTAAATACCAATAGGTATTTTGTTTAATAATTGTGAATGTCATGTTATTGACATTTGAATGATTATTTTATTACTTGATAACGTGATATCAGTAAAATTTTACCAAAGTCGGTGCCGAATAATAATTAGACTCTTGGTTAGATAAGGTTGCTAAGTGTTGAGCTGAATGTAGTTATCAATGCTGAAGATTTTTTTTTGTATATACTGTACTGTATATACATATACTAGTATATGTAGATGTATATATTGTATATTTATATTTTTCCAGATAAACATGAATACATCATTCAATCTGTTTTTCTGGACCCACCTTCATTACACCTCAGATGAAAATGCTTTGGTTATTCTTGATGAGCTCTACAAGAATTATACAAAGTTTTGCTCTGATCATCAGTTGCCTCTTGCAAGCAAATCATCCATGGGAAAATCCCTCTGTCGTTTGGGATTTAAGGACCGTAAGAGGATTCAGGGATCCCATGGAAAAGGTAAAATTTCTGCCTGCCTAGGTTTGGCTTGGGCTGCGAGTGATGTAAATCCTAACTACCACCTCTTGACCCATAACATGCCAAAAAGAAAACTAACATCAAAAACCTCAGAATGGAAGCATAAACCAAAATGGGAATCAAGAACCCCAGAAACTGAAAGGTGCATCCCTAAACCAACTCCTAGCATTGCAGAATGGGGAACAATTATACCAAAACAGGAACCTAGAACCCCCCCCAAAAAAATTCCCAAGCCAAATCTAAAGATCCCAGAATGGAAACCAATTATAAAAAAACAGGCACGAAAATCCCCCAAATGGGAAAGTACCTCTGAACCAAAACAAAATACTTCAAAACAGGTGTGCGTTCCAAAACGACATACAAAGCCCATTAAACTGAAAAAGACAACAACCCTTGCAGCAAAATCAAGATCTTCAAAACAAAATCAGTGTAAAAACAAATTTAAGCTGAAGATGAAATTTAGAAAACCAAAGACACCAAGACAGACACTACAAGAGAATGCGTATAGAAGGCAATTACAAGTGAACCTCGGCCAAAGCTCAAAGAGGTACATATTTTGTCCTTTCACAAGCAAGAATGAGGCAGCAACAATTGTATCTTCTCTAGGGCTCAGCATTACAGCTCATGTGCTTCCAGAAGAAGGAGCTTTCTTTGTTAGGGAGTAAATCATTATATCATCACTTCTTACCTACATGCAACAGACAGACAACATTTTATTGATTTATAAAATTATTTCATCTTGCATAAACGCTAACGAGATATTTAAATTTTACTACTGAAGAGGATTAACTTATTTTAAAGGAATTTAATATTATTTTGTTCATTCTTTGGTATAATTATTGCTGTGCTGTATATTTTATTGTAGTCAAGTGATTACCTTTAATGGAATTATTATACATTAATTTCTCTATATTATTATTACAAATTAATGTTTTACAGATTACAGTAATAAATTTTTTCATAGGCATAGTAGCCTTGTAATGCATATCCAGGATCTTCCTTAAGCCTAAATTTCATTGATATTACTACATACAGGATAATCATTATAAATTGAATGTACATTTGTGTACATTCATAATCATCAATATAGCATCTTCCTTCTAGCTGACCATGCCATCCTTCTCAGGTAGACAAATTATCAGATTAATTTATTATAGTGCATTTTTTTTAAATATGAATAAACCTAGCATCACTGATTTCTTGAGAATTGTCACACTGCATACAATACACACATTTACTCCCTCCTTAACAAGGTGCTTCCACCCAGCCTTGTCCTTAACAATCTAACCCAAGTTGTTCACACTTCCCACTCACCATGTCCTGGCCTTATTTCCAACCCTCAAATTCACTTGTTATACTAATAAAGCTGAGTCACTAAATTGTTTACCTAACATTGGATTTACAGGGAATAAGAGGAAAAATTTACTACAGTCATCTTGAAAATCTCGTCTGTAGGGCATAATCGAGTGGAGCAAGACGATGTAGGCAATAATGAACAGGTTTTATTTGAATCAGACAAGCATATAAGGGTTAATTAAACAATCAATAAGATGGAACATCTTAATATTTTCTATACAAAACATTCATGTCAAGACATAAATATTATCATATTTTAAAAATGTTATACCCCTGTATATTCAGAATTTTCACATGCAGTGTATTGTTCAAAATACACAATTTACAACTGTATATTATTGCATATAGCTATCCAAAGCTATTTACCTCACTATTCCGATGCAATGCAGAAAGTACATTATATAATAAAATAAATTTTTCATGTATTAATACCTTTTAAATCCCCCACCACCACCCCTACCAAATCCTCCACCTCCCCCTCTGCCAAATCCTCCTCCTCCACCGCCTCTGCCAAATCCTCCTCCACCGCCTCTGCCAAATCCTCCTCCTCCACCTCTGCCAAATCCTCCTCCACCACCACGGCTGAAACCACCACCTGTATTAAAATAAAAGTGATGGTTAAATTCCTGTATGATTTGATTATGAGGACGATAAAAAATGTATCACATAGCCAGCACATTTCAGTATACAAACAGAATGCTGTAAGGAGCACTGCCTATTAGCTATTGTACCCAGTGCATATATATATTTCCAGAGGCATTTCCTTACATTCTTCTGGCTCATCCATGTTCTCAACTTATGTTGTACTATAGACAACAGAGGTGGATCATTAGAAATTAGGAATTCCCAGAAAAATGACAAGATTGCCCATCTAGTGTTAAAATTCGTATAAAAAAAGGTAAAAGACCCTAAACAATAAACATTTAAACCTTGTAAAATACTGTACTGGAAAAATTAGGTGTATGGTATATCGGGAGAAAATTTGAACCATACTAAGTCCGAGAACTTGTAAGGATTGCAAATCTGACAAGTCTGGCTTTTGGTGACAAGGTCACGAAGATTCTCTAAAAAATAAAAGGTGTTTATTTAATTACATCGACAAAATACTTTTGACACAGTTCCCCTCCCCCCCAAAGATCAATCAGTCAAGGTGGAGGAAATGGCAAGTGGTGTTAATACAGTTTAATATCTGGACCCTTAATGTACCTGATATATATAAATAACTTGGAGGAAGCAGAATCATACATGATAAGGTTTACAAATGATGGGAATGGGCTAAAAAAATATTACAAAACTACAGGAGGGCCTAGATAGCCTATAGGAATGGGCAAACAAATGAAGTTTTAATACCCCAAAATTTTAATTATTTTTATAAGGTTTGGAAGAGGAGTGTCCTTCAAGTTTACAAGAGAGGCAAGCTGTAGAAAAAAAACAATTAAAAGGACCTGGAAGTGGCAGTAACACAAGTCTAAACAGAATAACAACAGCTGATGCAAAACTAGAAAGAATAAGGATGTTTTAAGAAACCTAAAGGATTTTTTGTTTAAATAATACACAAAGTGAAGCCAGTCCAAGTATGGAACCCATACCTGATAAAACACAATGAAATTGAGGTTCTAAAATTTGCTAAACGTGCCAGATAAGAGCAATGAGCTATGTGGACAGGATAACTATATCTAACCACAATGGAAGAATAGATAGGTGCTGTGATATAACACACAAGATCTCAAGGGGAATAAATAAGGTTAAAAAGACCTTCTGGTGACAGGCAAAAGAATGGTTTCACTGTTGGAAGCTGGAGACAGATGAACCATAAAAATACATAGAAATATTTGTAGGTAGCGAGTGGTAAACAAAGGGAATGAGCTTTGAATGACAGCAATGTTAAAGTAACCACCATTCACAGCTTCAAGAACAATTATGACTACTGTAATTTCAGAAGGTGTACATGTGACTAAGCAAAATAGCTAAGAGGTGGTGATGTAGAGCTGGATCTCACTACCCATAGATAACTAATTTGAGTAACACATCATCCAATACAGTGGCACCTCAATTAACGAATTTAATCTGTTCCGGTACTGAGCTAAGGCATCTCAAAATATTGAACAGAAAACCTAGAAGTAGTACAGTAGAATGACATATATAAATATACAGTACTGTACTTTATATAAAGGGACGCTCGGCCAGAAGAAGAGAATATGTACTATCCGGGGAAGCCTTGTGGGGCTCCCACATATGCTTACTTATTGTCATCTACCACCACCTATATCTTTTTAATTTATTTCAAAATAAATAAACATATAAACATTATATATATATTATAAATATAAATAAAATAATACGGGGGAGGAGAGGAAAAGAATAAAGTGTTCAGTGAGAATCTACAAGGTCTTCTCTGAATACTCTTTATTTTCTTTGAGGATATGGGTCCCTATAATTGCACCAGAGGTGGTACCCCCTAAAATAAATAAATAATATATATATATGTATGTTAGTTAGCAAGCAATGCTTACTGAGTGACACTTATAAAGTTTCATTGTGTTACAATTTAAATTCAGCGTAATGAGTGCACGATTCATGAGACTACAGGCATGAAAGTGAAAATCCCAAGCCCCAAAACACATCAAATGCTTTCAGCAGGAACACCTTGCCCTGTATACATACCTCGGCCTCCTCCACGTCCTCCTCGACCACCACCACCTCTACCTCCCCTACCACGTCCTCCTCCTCTGCTTGATTTATTACCAGGCAAAAATATGTAGAGGGGCAGTAATTTTGTAGAATCTATATATATCTGGAAAAATAGATATTATTATTTGACCTGACAATACATTAAATACAAAAACTAAAAAAAAATGCTTTCCTCTGTTCCATAACCTTTACTGTAATAGGTATTCACTCTATTATATAACTGAGCTCAGCGATCAGTATTTTCAGCTTGTAAGTCACCATATGGTCTCTATAGTCATTATTCAGTCCCACTCATAAAATTAATATTGAGTTTAGGCTTAACTGAGCTCTGTTTTTATTTGTGCATTTTTTTTTGTTTTGTTTTTAAAGAATAATGAGTTGAGATATATAAGGATCAGAGCCTTAGCAGGATAATGTCAATGAACAAATCCACAAGGGCCGTGATGAGGGTTTGAACCTACGTCAGGGAAAATCCCAGAGGTGCTTTAGTCGACTGCGCCACGACATGGTCAAAAGAATTGCAACTGTCCTCACACAGATCCTGCAGCCTTTCCGAGACACAAACCTGGGTTTTACACAATTCCCCCATGCACCCAAGCTCTATTTCTTCAATTCTTGACTCAATTTGAAGATTCTTCAAACCCAAGCTCAAGAAGGCCATTCATAAGTCCTGGGCAAACAAATCACCTAACACACAAGAAACTTAGCTCATTCAATTACCCCAATGTCTCCAAACCATGAAAAGGCAGCCACCCAATCAAGTATAAAAAAGTAAATATAATACATTATTTTCTATAAATTTCCTTATGTATTGTTTGTTGTGCAGGAGGGGTGAGTGCAGGGCAGTGCATACAGTTGAAGAGTACTGTATTCTTCAATCATAGCCCCATGGTGGACCACCAACTCGCCTACAAAAAAAAGTGGCTAGTCATCAAGCCCTAACAAGAAGCAAAACCAGCCGTAAACCAATTGCAAATGTAAGATGCAGTTATCGAACTTTAGTGATTCCCTGAGAAAGTAAGATCATACCTCCATCTTTGAGGGACAGGGATGGTCCTTACTGACAACCTTTTATGGCCACACAGAACAGAGTTCAACACTTAACATCCACCTTGTCCTAAGGTATGGGCATGAAATAAAACAAAACTGTCATCTCTTATACTGTATACAACATTAATAAAAGGGGACAAAGACTGAGCAGACAAGCAGTCTGAGAACAATAATACATCATGAACGCGAACAAAAACTGTATATCAGACAAAATCTAAACCACCTATTCCATCTATAATACTATCTAATAAACTAATACTATCTAAACTAAAGAGCAAATTATTTTCTTAGATAATATTTATAGATAATATCCATAGAGAGAAAAAAAACAAAAAAAGTTACCTTTGAATTTTCCTTAAATGATGAAGCTTTGATGTTCTCGCCAAGCTTAACAGATACAAACTTGTCATAAGGCGTCCCAAATATTTCATCTACCTTCCCAACCTAAAACATACAAATGCAGTACATAATTTAGAAACATTTCATTCACATGGAGAAACTGAAACAAAAGTGATAACATTATTTATTATTTTAATTTTAAATAAGCTTTTAAATTTCTTTTTAAAATACCCTAAAAATGTTTGCCATATATAGAGATGAGCTATTAACTATTCTTTGGATTCTTAAACCCAAGAGGCATACAGCATATAAAAATAAGCGATTGTACAATGTCATAAATGTTGACAAAAAGATGTAAACACTGGAAGTCAACTGACCAAAGGAAAATATGAACTCGCCAATAAATAATGTTTTACCTCAGAATGTACCAGAGGCATAAAAAAAGTAACACGCTTTAACTTGTTTTAGCTAAAACTTATAGCGAAGCAATTGGAATGCTGTCCACAGAGAATCTAAGACCCAGTTCATATCCTCTATGAACAGGAGACCCAAAAAGGAAACGTACAGTATCAACCAGAGCGGCCAAGCGAGTTCCTGGAAATGGCGAAGTCTGAAAAAACATTCCATGAAAAAGTGTGAACAGGCAGCATCTTGGTGGTTAAGAAGCCAAGATCAAAGCTGCAAAAAAAAAATCTCTAGGACAGATAACTTTGACTGGCGATGGGCCAAAAATAAATCCCTGACAGACAAAAACCAAATGACATGAGCAAGTCGGGACCAATCCTTGAAATTAATTGTGCCTAAAGTTGGAGGCTTAAAGGGAAATTGAACTTGTAGTGACCAAGCCCAAACATACCAGAATTGGGTACATATACAGGGAGGGCTATGTTCAGAATAACTCGAGTTTTCCCAGAACAAAAAAAACGCCGGATAACAAATGTTAAAACATTGTGCCATGTACCCAGAGAAAATAATGAGTTTCATGCCAATCTGCTAGCCAGGAAATAGGAATATCCAGTACAGTAATACCAAAACCAGGAAACGGCAGAGGACTCAAACTCAAACATAGCATTGTCCACCTAAGACACACGGACCCTACCTCACAACGGGAACAATAACAAATGCTGTCATGTCTGACCGAAAGGCAACAGGCAGAATTGAAGATAAAATACCTGTATAGAATGGACACATCCACTCCCTGCAACTTTAAAATTTAAGACTACAATAATACTAATTTATTCACACTATGTTATGATTCTAAACATATACATATTCATTTAAATATCATTCCAACAAGATGCATATAAAATACTATTGAATCTATTCTAAAACTTCCCAAGGTATCATTTGCCATAGATAGTATTGGGTATACAGTATTTCCCTTGCAACATGGCCTGCATGTAGAAATTTTGGTGCAGTAATGCAAATTTGCTGTCATATTGCTCATGGCTATTAGGGGGCTACAATTGGCCCAATCTTTTGACAATTACTTATTCAATGAGCTACAATAACAAATAACAGTAAGGACATACCTTGTGATACCATACACGTAACCCATCTTGAGATGATTTCGGGGCTTTAGTGTCCCCGCGGCCCGGTCCTCGACCAGGCCTCCACCCCCAGGAAGCGCCCGTGACAGCTGACTAACACCCAGGTACCTATTTACTGCTAGGTAACAGGGGCATTCAGGGTGAAAGAAAACTTTGCCCATTTGTTTCTGCCTCGTGCAGGAATCGAACCCGCGCCACAGAATTACGAGTCCTGCGCGCTATCCACCAGGCTACGAGGCCCCATAGATAAAAACATTTTCCAGATATTGCAATTGACACTTCAATGTTGTTTTTTGTACAAAACCTACACCATCTCTAAAGGCACTATCAAGCTACAAACAAGTAATTCTCACCTGTTCTTGATTTTCTAGATATATTGGTGCATTGAAGTATGGAACATCTTTATGGGTTACTTTACACACAAGGTCCTCTTGAGCGGTATGCATAAAGTAACCAAATTCCAACACCTGAAAATATTTTAATAAAATACTTAAATGAACTTGTAAAAATAGTAATAAATATAAACACAAAACAAAAGAGATAACAAAATTTGTGCATGTATGTAAAACTATAAAATCAACAATAAAATACAGTAATTATGCTAAATTATTTAACTAAAATAAAGTTTTCAAGGTTGATATTTGTTAATAAACTTACTTCCCCAGAAGGTCCATTATCAAAGCCACGCCCACCTCCAAAGCCACCGCCGCCACCACCACCACGAAAACCTACAACATTAATTGTTTGTGTAATTTGAATAACTTTAGGTAAAAAATAAAAGTAAACAAAATGGAAGCACTTACCCAGAGAACAGGAGGAAATTTCCTTGCTTTCCCCTCACCATTCCTTATCTAGTCAACACACATTTTTATGTTATCACTTACCCATGTGCAGACTCTCAACATTCAAGTACAAAATGTTGAAAATGTGTGTTGTACTGTATGTATTATAACAGGATGATTGATGAATAAGCAAAACAAGCTTTGTTTTGTTTTGCTTATTTTTTTTTGCTTGTTTTGTTTTGCCCAGACCTCCCAAAAGTATGGGAGGTTTGGGGCTCACCCTTCCCCCTCCCGGGGAGGGGGGAGCTGTACAGACAGAGACGCAGCAGCTGTGGTGACTTCATGCTTGTTTGCTTGTTTTCTGATTGGGGAGTTCTGCCTGCTCATTCGGCTTTAGGTTTGCAATTTTTAACCAGATGTAGTTTGTGTTGCGATTCCTTCCTTTCTGGGTGCCTGACCTGGTAGATGGCAGACATAGACTGCTTCCAACTACGCGGTGGTGTCTATAGGCCATTGCTCCTCATGCCTCTCTGAGGGGGCCAGGTTCTGGCTCGTGGTTCCTGGTAGACTAAGAACTCCATCGATTGACTGTTGTTACGGTCTAATATATATACATCAGCCCGGTATAGGTCCGGGGAGCCGAAACGTCTCTCCACAGAATATATATTAAGACCCCTGAACATAATTTGCAGTTAACATTTGAACCTATGCAGTCTTGCATGGCACTATATAACTGTCACAATTTGTATGTTAATGAGATGAATGATGCCTCATTTCTGTCGTCAACGTATACTCTATTAATGTACTGTTGCATTAAATACACGCAACAAAAAAATAAATAATTTACAGTAAAAATAAAAATAAATAAATATATTATTTATATATATATATATATATATATATATATATAGTAAATCTAAAAATTAAAAGCAACTGATCCTGTTCTTTAAAGTCTAACAGTATTATACTATGTACTGTAACATACACAACATGTATAGAGAAAAATGTTATTGTACAGAACTTTTAAAGATGAATATTACAGTAGCATCAGCAGTTACAGTTATTGGCACTAACAAATATTATGCATTTACATGGCAGTGTATGAACTTACCACCACCACCACCTCCTCGACCTCTGCCAAACCCACCACCACCGCCTCTGCCCCCACCACCTCTTCCAAAACCTCCACCTCCACGTCCACCCCTTCCGAACATCTTTAGGTTGCCTAACATGTGGAAGAGAAATCAGAATTAAGACAATAAAATATACGCTAGCTACACATGGAAAACATTATTACACCTTTGATAAAGTCTAGTACTGTACTAGTTAAATTAATATATTTAACTGATAGTGTCTGAAATTGGTGAAAATTGCCAATCATAAGGATTTAATCACCAATTACTGTATCTTAAAATTATTCTACTGTATATTGTATGATTCAGATTTAAAAAATATGCAAAAAAGTTTACAACTTGTAGAAGTGACAAAATGTAAAAAAAAAATTATCCGATTGGAAAAATTAAACATCGACTACTTTAATAGGATTTAATGGGATTTTGTTTAAATAAGACATAAAAGTAGATAACGAACAAAAATTCTGTGCAGCCGAGGATTCCTTTACTTTGAAGTGTAACAGGTTCCTGAGCAAAACAAGGCATTTTTAATCCATAATGGATGTTTTTACAGTAAAGTTTACATTAAAATTTTTAATGCTTGTGGATGGGAAAGGGATGATTAATGCTTGTGGATGGTAAAGTCAGTGATCAGTGAAGGGTCCTACCATTTTTCTACAAGTTTTTCCAGATATATTTTAAACTGTAGCTCTGTCCTAGCTTCAACAGTGCTAAGATGCCCCATAAGTTTATTATTTATGTAGTCTTATCTGCATTTTAGTATGTAAACAGATTTAGTTCCAAGATGATTTTTTATCAGTGTTTAACATTTTAGTAAGACAATGAATTTAAATGTATCATACATTTAATTTAGACTTGAAGCCTACTGCTGGGACCAGGTGATTATACAGTGAAGAGCTTGGTTCGGTATATATCAGCTGAATATTGATATATAATAGGAATACAATATTGATATTATATAATAGTAATACAATATTGATATTATATAATAGTAATACAATATTGATATTATATAAGAATATAATATTGATATTATATAACAGGAATATGAAAATATCCACAGGAGCCGTGATGAGGATTCAAACCTATGAACTCGGTATTCACAGATGAATACCTGCCCAAAACACTACCCGTACTGGTGGCTGTACAAGAATGTAACAACTCTTGTATATTTGTTGATTTGTGGAACCAATTGCCGCGTAACATTGTGGAGGTGGGGTCCCTCGATTGTTTCAAGCACGGGTTGGACAAGTATATGAGTGGGATTGGGTGGTTATAGAATAGGAGCTGCCTCGTATGGGCCAATAGGCCTTCTGCAGTTACCTTTGTTCTTATGTTCTTATGTATATATCAAAAAGAAAAAAAAGATGCACGCTCTAAACGACTATGCCACAACATGGTCAAAAGAAGTGCAACCTAGCGTACTTCACCCACTAGGAGTCCTGAGGCTTCCACTGAAGCCAAACCGGGGTTTCACACAATTCCCTTAAGCACTCTAGCTCTGTCGTCTAGTAATTCAAACTCTGATGCCCCTCTTTCATTACACAGGTAACTGGAACTTTGGCAACTTATTGATTTATTTATTTATATACAAGAAGGTACATTGGGTTTGTGAGAATACATAGCATAGTACAGTAATTACACTCTTGTAAAGCCACTAGTACGCGCAGCGTTTCGGGCAGGTCAACTCTTATTTAATTGCATCCTGGGCAAGGTCAATAGTTCCACTTTGGGAGAACTTTAATACACGCCTGAAGTTTGTCATATATATTTATGTATTCATATACGTTATTGCATTATACTTACTGTGGTAGCAAGGAAAGCCTCGGAGACCAGAAGACGGACGCCGCCTCCACCACCACCACCACCTTGTTTACTGTCTGCTCCCACGTGTGGCTGAACACATCTGGTGCAAATAAATTATCCTATATTTAAAATATTTATGTAGTTATTAGATACAGACTTCTAGCATTTGAAAATTATATAATGTACAAAATTGTATAATGCATTAAATAACATCGTTATTATTTGTTCTCATATTAGCAGATGTCGCCAATGGGGCAGTTGTAAGTTTGGTTCATTTCAAAATCAAAATCAAAATGTTTATTCAGGTAAAAGTACATACACAGAAGATGAGTTACAAACATATTATTGGATTTATAGATAGAGCTAGTACATACAATACCTAAAGCCACTAATACACACAATGTTACGGGCAATATATTTATTACGCACCCCATACCCATCTTGTGGGCGGTAGTGGAAAGGGTTACAGAGGCACATGGGACTCAGGGACTGAACCCCACAATTCATTTAGCTAAGCAAGTTACAATATTGATGAGCTAGTTACAAAATTCAGTATAAGTCGTCACATCAACAAAGGGCTCGAGATCGACCACAAGTACAGTTTCTAAATTATTAAGCAACTGACAGATGTTGAGAGTTACAATAATACTATGTAATATGTTTGTCATGCAACCCCCCCCCCATCCAGTGGGCAGCGGTGGATAGGTTACAGTCACTTGGTTACTACCTACAGTTTGCAAACTGTGGATATTTGGTTAAAGTTTCTGGTAGCAGATCATTTTGAATGAAATATTTACACATCTGGAACATTTGTTATAGAATTGTCTCTGAATTCACATATCTTTTCGCACTCCATCATAGTGACGGAGGGTGTGCGAATAATTTTGTTGACAGTATACATTTGGTCAGATCTACATCATCAGATAATGAGAATTCCCATAGATACAGTACTTGTAATCGCAGAGTTGATTTGTTCTTGTATTGAGGCTGGTATTATTTGCTTAGCTAAACGAACTAGAGGGTTCAGTTCCTGAATCGATTATGTGCCTCTGTAATCCTTTACACCACCGCCCACGAAATGGGTATGGGGTGCATAATAAAGAAAGAAATTGGATTATAGCTAGTTTTTTATCTATATTATGTAATCTTTCATATAGAATAGGGAAGGAGCACGTTACTGTGTATACCTAAGCTTGTCAATAATAATTACAAAAAGTCTAAGCAGAGCAGTAGTAACATCTAGAAGTGTGCTGATTTTATTGGATGATCCATATGTGTGTATAGCTCCTCTTACATGACAGTATGATGATAGATGGAATTACTGGTGTCGATTTCACTTTGCCTGAGATCTACAAGAAGTTCTTGGTGTGCTATTGCTCTCAGACAGCTTATTGACAATCCAAGGTTATACCAAATTTCTCCTTCAAAGGCAGAATCTTTGGCTAACGCATCAGCTCTATCATGCATTCGGAGGCAAACATGACGAGTCCACACCGCCCCCATTCCTATACTTCCCCTTCCTCTAATGATTTTGTTGATTTGCTCTTATGTACCATTTCACTAACTTTCCAGTCCCCCCCCCCTATAGGAGGCCAGATACAGGATACCGAATGGAAGATAAAGTCCTTCATGAAACGGAAAGAGAGAAAGGATCTTGGAAAAAGATCACGCTAAACCTGTCTCTTGAAGCCCACATCTAATGAATATCATCAGCGGCGTATGCAAGGCTGGCAAACATCAGAACTGCCTTCATGAACCTGTGTAGGGAATCCTTCAGAACCTCGTATACCACATATGTAAGACCAATCCTGGAGTATGCGGCCCTAGCATGGAGCCCGTACCTTGTCAAGCACAAGACGAAGCTGGAAAAAGTTCAGAGGTATTTTCATTTTTAAAGACAAATTTTATGTACTCCGTTTCATGCTTACATTCGTTTTTGGGTGAGGTGATAGGATACAAATGATTTTGGGAGAGGTAACAGGAAACAAATTAATGTTTCTGTCTTTTCCCATTGATTTGTTTCCCGTCACCTCATCCGCTATATATATATATATATATATATATATATATATATATATATATATATATATATATATATATATATATATATATATATACTGTATATATATATATATATTAGTATATTTTGGTAGCAGTCTTTCCTGTAGACATATATTATTAAATATGACCGAAAAAGTAAGATTAATAATTCTAACACGAATTTTCTCAATCTTTCGTACATTACGCTTCACTGTTGGAGGTAAATAAAAAATCACTTCTCCAAAATTCATTTTTATTTCTAGTCTGACGCGACACGGGCGCGTTTCGTAAAACTTATTACATTTTCAAAGACTTCACAAATACACAACTGATTAGAACTTACGTATCTCTGATTTTATATCTACATTTGAGTGAGGTGGGAGGGGTGATGTGGCATTAACACAAGACAGAACAAGAGGGGATATTAATAGGGTATTAAAAGTATCAACACAAGACAGAACAGAAACAATGGGTATTGAATAGAAGTGTTTGTAGAAAGCCTATTGGTCCATATTTCTTGATGCTTCTATATTGGAGCGGAGTCTTGAGGTGGGTAGAATATAGTTGTGCAATAATTGGCTGTTGATTGCTGGTGTTGACTTCTTGATGTGTAGTGCCTCGCAAACGTCAAGCCGCCTGCTATCGCTGTATCTATCGATGATTTCTGTGTTGTTTACTAGGATTTCTCTGGCGATGGTTTGGTTATGGGAAGAGATTATATGTTCCTTAATGGAGCCCTGTTGCTTATGCATCGTTAAACGCCTAGAAAGAGATGTTGTTGTCTTGCCTATATACTGGGTTTTTTGGAGCTTACAGTCCCCAAGTGGGCATTTGAAGGCATAGACGACGTTAGTCTCTTTTAAAGCGTTCTGTTTTGTGTCTGGAGAGTTTCTCATGAGTAGGCTGGCCGTTTTTCTGGTTTTATAGTAAATCGTCAGTTGTATCCTCTGATTTTTGTCTGTAGGGATAACGTTTCTATTAACAATATCTTTCAGGACCCTTTCCTCCGTTTTATGAGCTGTGGAAAAGAAGTTCCTGTAAAATAGTCTAATAGGGGGTATAGGTGTTGTGTTAGTTGTCTCTTCAGAGGTTGCATGGCTTTTCACTTTCCTTCTTATGATGTCTTCGATGAAACCATTGGAGAAGCCGTTATTGACTAGGACCTGCCTTACCCTACAGAGTTCTTCGTCGACTTGCTTCCATTCTGAGCTGTGGCTGAGAGCACGGTCGACGTATGCGTTAACAACACTCCTCTTGTACCTGTCAGGGCAGTCGCTGTTGGCATTTAGGCACATTCCTATGTTTGTTTCCTTAGTGTAGACTAAGTAAACAAACTCTACACTAAGGAAACAAACATAGGAATGTGCCTAAATGCCAACAGCGACTGCCCTGACAGGTACAAGAGGAGTGTTGTTAACGCATACGTCGACCGTGCTCTCAGCCACAGCTCAGAATGGAAGCAAGTCGACGAAGAACTCTGTAGGGTAAGGCAGGTCCTAGTCAATAACGGCTTCTCCAATGGTTTCATCGAAGACATCATAAGAAGGAAAGTGAAAAGCCATGCAACCTCTGAAGAGACAACTAACACAACACCTATACCCCCTATTAGACTATTTTACAGGAACTTCTTTTCCACAGCTCATAAAACGGAGGAAAGGGTCCTGAAAGATATTGTTAATAGAAACGTTATCCCTACAGTCAAAAATCAGAGGATACAACTGACGATTTACTATAAAACCAGAAAAACGGCCAGCCTACTCATGAGAAACTCTCCAGACACAAAACAGAACGCTTTAAAAGAGACTAACGTCGTCTATGCCTTCAAATGCCCACTTGGGGACTGTAAGCTCCAAAAAACCCAGTATATAGGCAAGACAACAACATCTCTTTCTAGGCGTTTAACGATGCATAAGCAACAGGGCTCCATTAAGGAACATATAATCTCTTCCCATAACCAAACCATCGCCAGAGAAATCCTAGTAAACAACACAGAAATCATCGATAGATACAGCGATAGCAGGCGGCTTGACGTTTGCGAGGCACTACACATCAAGAAGTCAACACCAGCAATCAACAGCCAATTATTGCACAACTATATTCTACCCACCTCAAGACTCCGCTCCAATATAGAAGCATCAAGAAATATGGACCAATAGGCTTTCTACAAACACTTCTATTCAATACCCATTGTTTCTGTTCTGTCTTGTGTTGATACTTTTAATACCCTATTAATATCCCCTCTTGTTCTGTCTTGTGTTAATGCCACATCACCCCTCCCACCTCACTCAAATGTAGATATAAAATCAGAGATACGTAAGTTCTAATCAGTTGTGTATTTGTGAAGTCTTTGAAAATGTAATAAGTTTTACGAAACGCGCCCGTGTCGCGTCAGACTAGAAATAAAAATGAATTTTGGAGAAGTGATTTTTGATTTACCTCCAACAGTGAAGCGTAATGTACGAAAGATTGAGAAAATTCGTGTTAGAATTATTAATCTTACTTTTTCGGTCATATTTAATAATATATTATATTACACTAATTACAAAATCGCACAACGTTTCGAACTTGCACTTGTTTTATCACCTGACCCCGTACTGGTATAAATTAACGAGTTCTGTAATTTCTTTTCACGGGAGACATCTCCCGTCGCGTAGGGTGCAGTCGCACCTCCACAGATCTCCAGTATCTATTAATACTGGTAATGGCTCAAAAGGGCCATCACTTACGGGCTATTCATGCCCGTGCCACCGTTTGGGTGGCTTAATCTTCACCAATCAATCAATTTCTTTTCACGTGAGAATGGACCATGGAGGTTCAAAACATTGTGAGATTTTGTAATTAGTGTAATATATTCTTCAGTTATTCGATTCTTTTCTTCACCTAAAACAACATGACTTTTGGTGAACTCCTCTTCCAGCTGAACCCTGATGCAAGAGCATTAGTAAGAGGGACAGAAGCCCTAAATTAGAAAATAGTAAATACGGAATATGCTATCATATTCAATGGAGATTGAATATTCACACATATATATATATATATATATATATATATATATATATATATATATATATATATATATATATATATATATATATATATATATATATATATATATATATATATATATATATATATATATATATTTGTAATACAAACATTAAGAACCATTGTCAAACAACATCCGCCGGGGTCTGAGTAAGAGCCTTCTTTGTGCCCTCTAATCTTTTTATAGCTACCGCTCACAGGATGAGTATGGGGTGCACAATAAACTACTGCTCACAGGATGTGTATGGGGTGCACAATAAACTACCCCTCACAGGATGAGTATGGGGTGCACAATAAACTACCCCTCACAGGATGAGTATGGGGTGCACAATAAACTACCGCTTACAGGATGAGTATGGGGTGCACAATAAATTCCCGCTCACAGAATGAGTAGTAGAATATAGTTGTGCAATAATTGGCTGTTGATTGCTGGTGTTGACTTCTTGATGTGTAGTGCCTCGCAAACGTCAAGCCGCCTGCTATCGCTGTATCTATCGATGATTTCTGTGTTGTTTACTAGGATTTCTCTGGCGATGGTTTGGTTATGGGAAGAGATTATATGTTCCTTAATGGAGCCCTGTTGTTTATGCATCGTTAAACGCCTAGAAAGAGATGTTGTTGTCTTGCCTATATACTGTTTTTTTTGGAGCTTACAGTCCCCAAGTGGGCATTTGAAGGCATAGACGACGTTAGTCTCTTTTAAAGCGTTCTGTTTTGTGTCTGGAGAGTTTCTCATGAGTAGGCTGGCCGTTTTTCTGGTTTTATAGTAAATCGTCAGTTGTATCCTCTGATTTTTGTCTGTAGGCAAAAACCTACAGACAAAAATCAGAGGATACAACTGACGATTTACTATAAAACCAGAAAAACGGCCAGCCTACTCATGAGAAACTCTCCAGACACAAAACAGAACGCTTTAAAAGAGACTAACGTCGTCTATGCCTTCAAATGCCCACTTGGGGACTGTAAGCTCCAAAAAACCCAGTATATAGGCAAGACAACAACATCTCTTTCTAGGCGTTTAACGATGCATAAACAACAGGGCTCCATTAAGGAACATATAATCTCTTCCCATAACCAAACCATCGCCAGAGAAATCCTAGTAAACAACACAGAAATCATCGATAGATACAGCGATAGCAGGCGGCTTGACGTTTGCGAGGCACTACACATCAAGAAGTCAACACCAGCAATCAACAGCCAATTATTGCACAACTATATTCTACCCACCTCAAGACTCCGCTCCAATATAGAAGCATCAAGAAATATGGACCAATAGGCTTTCTACAAACACTTCTATTCAATACCCATTGTTTCTGTTCTGTCTTGTGTTGATACTTTTAATACCCTATTAATATCCCCTAGTGTTCTGTCTTGTGTTAATGCCACATCACCCTTCCCACCTCACTCAAATGTAATGCCACATCACCCTTCCCACCTCACTCAAATGTAGATATAAAATCAGGGAAACGCAAGTTCTAATCAGTTGTGTATTTGTGAAGTCTTTGAAAATGTAATAAGTTTTACGAAACGCGCCCGTGTCGCGTCAGACTAGAAATAAAAATGAATTTTGGAGAAGTGATTTTTGATTTACCTCCAACAGTGAAGCATAATGTACGAAAGATTGAGAAAATTCGTGTTAGAATTATTAATCTTACTTTTTCGGTCATATTTAATAATATATGTCTACAGGAAAGACTGCTACCAAAATATACTAAATATATATATATATATATATATATATATATATATATATATATATATATATATATATATATATATGTATATGTATACTGGCAGCAGGTTTTCTTTCATGCATGTCTCATTGAATATGACAGCATATTCCGTATTTACTATTTTCTTATTTAGGGCTTCTATCCCTCTTACTAATGCTCTTGCATCAGGGTTCAGCTGGAAGAGGAGTTCACCAAAAGTCATGTTGTTTTTAGGTGAAGAAAAGAATTGAATAACTGAAGAATATATTACACTAATTACAAAATCGCACAACGTTTCGAACTTGTACTTGTTTTATCACCTGACCCCGTACTGGTATAAATTAACGAGTTCTGTAATTTCTTTTCACGGGAGACATCTCCCGTCGCGTAGGGTGCAGTCGCACCTCCACAGATCTCCAGTATCTATTAATACTGGTAATGGCTCAAAAGGGCCACCACTTACGGGCTATTCATGCCCGTGCCATCGTTTGGGTGGCTTAATCTTCACCAATCAATCAATTTCTTTTCACTTGAGAATGGACCATGGAGGTTCAAAACGTTGTGAGATTTTGTAATTAGTGTAATATATTCTTCAGTTATTCGATTCTTTTCTTCACCTAAAAAAACATGACTTTTGGTGAACTCCTCTTCCAGCTGAACCCTGATGCAAGAGCATTAGTAAGAGGGACAGAAGCCCTAAATTAGAAAATAGTAAATACGGAATATGCTGTCATATTCAATGGAGATTGAATATTCATATATATATATATATATATATATATATATATATATATATATATATATATATATATATATATATATATATATATATATATATTTGTAATACAAACATTAAGAACCAATGTCAAACAACATCCGCCGGGGTCTGAGTAAGAGCCTTCTTTGTGCCCTCTAATCTTTTTATAGCTACCGCTCACAGGATGAGTATGGGGTGCACAATAAACTACCGCTTACAGGATGAGTATGGGGTGCACAATAAATTCCCGCTCACAGAATGAGTATGGGGTGCACAATAAACTATCGCTCACAGGATGAGTATGGGGAGCACAATAAACTACCGCTCACAATGAGTATGGGGTGCACAATAAACTACGGTCGCAGGATGAGTATGGGGTGCACAATAAACTATCGCTCACAGGATGAGTATGGGGAGCACAATAAACTACCGCTCACAATGAGTATGGGGTGCACAATAAACTACCCCTCACAGGATGAGTATGGGGTGCACAATAAACTTTCCACTCACAGGATGAGTATGGGGTACACAATAAACACCGCTCACAGGATGAGTATGGGGTGCACAATAAACTATCGCTCACAGGATGAGTATGGGGTGCACAATAAACTACCACTCACAGGATGAGTATGGGGTGCACAATAAACTACCACTCACAGGATGAGTATGGGGTGCACAATAAACTACCGATCGCTGGAAGAGTATGGGGTGCACAATAAGCTACCACTCACAGGATGAGTATGGGGTGCACAATAAACTACCGCTCACAGGATGAGTATGAGGTGCACAATAAACTACCCCTCACAGGATGAGTATGGGGTGCACAATAAACTTTCCACTCACAGGATGAGTATGGGGTACACAATAAACTCCGCTCACAGGATGAGTATGGGGTGCACAATAAACTACCGCTCACAGGATGAGTATGGGGTGCACAATAAACTACCGCTCACAGGAGGAGTATGGGGTGCACAATAAACTACCACTCACAGGAGGAGTATGGGGTGCACAATAAACTACCACTCACAGGATGAGTATGGGGTGCACAATAAACTACCGCTCACAGGATGAGTATGGGGTGCACAATAAACTACCGCTCACAGGATGAGTATGGGGTGCACAATAAACTACCGCTCACAGGATGAGTATGGGGTGCATAATAAACTACCACTCACAGGATGAGTATGAGGTGCACAATAAACTACCGCTCACAGGTTGAGTATGGGGTGCACAATAAACTACCGCTCACAGGAGTTTGTTTTTTATTATTATTATTTTCTACCACAGACGTGGCCACACATTTACAATGTTAACCATCATATATACATTTTCTTCTGTCCTCCATGGACAGGGTTAGAGAAGAGTTAAACATATAGTTCAAGGGTTTATTGAACACTCAACCACAGAAGAGGAGTATGGGGTGCACAATAAACTACCGGTCGCAGGAGGAGTATGGGGTGCACAATAAACTACCGGTCGCGGGAGGAGTATGGGGTGCACAATAAACCACCGCTCGCAGGATGAGTATGGGGTGCACAATAAACTACCGCTCACAGGAGGAGTATGGGGTGCACAATAAACTACCGCTCGCAGGATGAGTATGGGATGCACAATAAACTACCGCTCACAGGATGAGTATGGGGTGCACAATAAACTACCGCTCACAGGATGAGTATGGGGTGCACAATAAACTACCGCTCACAGGATGAGTATGGGGTGCATAATAAACTACCACTCCAGGGTGACGGGAGGGGTAAGTCATTTGACTGCATATGGGAGGGGTGATGGGAGTGGGGGAAGGGGAGGGGTGATGGGAGAGAGGGAAGGGGAGGGGATCACAAGGATGGGGGATAGTGTGGTGGGTGGTGAGGGGAAGGGGGGGGGGGTGAGGGAAGTGAAACATGATGAAATTGTGAACGTTGCCAGGTGTCGCCCGCCGCCGTGCTGCCCTGGCTGGGGACCGTACATAGCTGCAGTCACACTTGGCGTTTCTTAAGTGTGTCTGTATACCACTGACGGCCTCTTAATTAAGCCGTGTTAACACAGTTCTTGCAGTTTCAGCCTTCTGAAAGATCACAGGCAGCTGCAGTGGCTCCAGATGATGCCGTGAAGCTTATCATTGTTGAGTGTCAAGGTAAGAGTAGTGCTTGCGTTGTGAAAGAAATAGAACTCTGAGACTGCGCACGCTGATTACGTTTCTATATGATTCAAATAGAAACGTAAACGTGTAGTGTCGCCCTGACAAATGACAGGAATCGATGGCAGACTATAATGATCAGTGTGTTCTAATCTTCCCGTCATTGACCCACGGAATTACATACATTGGGCCCATAATCTTGATTAAATTGTCTAATAAGATATGGACTTCAATCTTTCATCCCTGCAAAAGTTTAGCGTTATTAATACTATCTTACTCCTGCCATGGACGAATGAACACAATTCTCAAGAATGGTTCACGATGTAATTTGTATTGATCTCTACAGTGGTGTACGTCCTAGACTCATTTGTTTTTAATAACAAGCTTAAGTATACGAGGGATCCGCGTTCAGTTTTTGGACAGGACGGAAACAGGTATGTTTTTCACCTGATTGCCTAGGGGGTAGAAATAGCCTAAGCTACTCTATCCCTTTGAGATGTATTTCTTTCTTGTCTCAATAAACATACTTGAACTTGAATCACCTGATTGCCCCTGTTCACCTATAATAGTAAAAATAGGTACTCTGGAATGCAAAGCAAACGTATCAATAAAATAACTGAACTATTTTAAATTATATCGGAAACGCTTTGCCTACCAATGGCTTTACTATATTTTAATTTTTCTTTGTTAACGAGCTTACTATATAATATTAGTGTGCTGCTACCCTGTTATATGAAATTTTTTATGTAGCAGCTATTTATATATATTCAATCACTGTTCCGCGTTAATCTCTTTATTTTTTAAATATTAACAATTGTTATTATTATTATTATTATTATTATTATTATTATTATTATTATTATTATTATTATCATGATAGTGGTCTAGAGGAACCTCGATATTGAGGCTTCCTGTCCCGGTACAGTATTGGAAAGTATTAGCACAACGCGTCCAAGACATGTGAGCAGCTACTCTTGACTTCAGGCCGCGTGAGTGAAAAGAGCAATAATAATAATAATAATAATAATAATAATAATAATAATAATAATAATAATATAATAATAATAAATAATAATAATTTATTCACAAGAAGGTATAATGGGTTGGTGAGATTTGTTACCAAAAGGTACATTGCAGCAAGGTTTTATATCAACAAATAACTACAATTAGTTATTACAGTTTACAATTTACAATATTAGTTATTACAATTAGAGGGGCTGTATGTTGTCTGAATACAGAGTTTGTTATAGTTTTGATAGCAGATTTTTACAGTGATGATGGGCTTGAACTAATTTGCAGACATCGGGATAAAGAGTCTCTTCAAGCTTGTCTCTTCAAGCTAAATAGTTGGCTTAGTTCCACATATACAGAGTAGCTGCATTACAACTAGTCACTAATACACTGAAAAATACAGGAGTATTTATCTGCAATTCAAAGTCAGCTGTTCAAGCACTTGAAAACAAAATGTGCAAAATAGATTCAGCAGAAGAATTTTGTACAAAATCTGTATCTATAAAATACAATGTCTCTCTTAAGTAGGATGGATAGGGATAGCCTTATCAAACTTTTCAAGATGACACATGGGGGGTATATGAATATCACAGGCAAGTTGGGGGTTGGTCCCAATGCCACACTTAATTAAGAAATATCAGCATCTATAGTGACCTGCACACAAAACCGATTACACAAAATTTAATAAGAATTTACCCAGTCCTTGGGTAAATTCTGGTATAACATACCTTAATTAAGTACAGTATAAAATATTTTAGAAATAAGCATGATATTTTTGTATAAGAGTTTGAAGGAGGTGCTCAAGTGGTTGTTGCTCTACCACAATTGGCCAGGTTTTCTTCTGTTACCAATAAAAATTCAAAGCTACAGGCTCCAAGCTTGTTTTGACTTTCAGTACATCTGCAACTATTTTAAGATGTATACAATTTTTTAAGTACAGTACCTGCTTTTTTTAAGTGAGGTTGTAAACCTACAGGGCAACTGCTGTCACTTTTTGTGGTAAGAATTAATAAAAGCAAATATTGTACAGTATATATAAAAAAAATCTTTAATCTTGTGCAATTTACACATCATCTAGCGATTCTTCACTAGCATTTATTTCAATATGTGACCCTTTTTCGACCAGGTAACCATCTACAGAAAAGAAGTCAAAATGCCGTTGAATTGGACTACGGTTGTCATTGTCTGTTGCTTAACGGTGGCTGTGTTGGGTGATTTGAATGATGGCTCTCAGGATTGCCAAGGGTTACTGGCACCCAATAAGACGTGCATTCCTCAAAACGACATTGACATACACTTAAATGCCTCGTTACCATGCATCTTTGAGTGCAAATATGATGTTTCACAGGTGAGACCTCATTTTCAGTACTTAATTTAAGTAATGAAGTGTTTAGTAATATTTTTTGCTTTCCTACTGTATTTGGTTAGACCTAATTATATCCATAGGAAAACATTATATATATCATTTATATCCATGCAATCTTCAAATTTAAATATTTTATATGGGAATCAACATCCTGGTACTCTTCATACAGTAACCAGAACATAATTTGTAGTCTCACATACAACCAAAGTGTACTTAAGCTCTGCCTTTCCTTTCCAAAGGTGTTTATTTTTATTTTTATTTATTTTTTTTTTTGTTTGTCATCTTTGCCTGTTTTATACTCTTAATTATTTGTTCTTAGTTAATCCCCTTGTCACTAAACCTAGGGCTTTTTATTACCCTGTTAATTAACCATTACAAAGCTAATTATCTTCAAGATCATTTTTTTTATGATTATTATTTTTCTTATTATTTTTTATTTTACATTTATATTGTCAGTCTCTACTGATTTTTTGTTTTTTATTTTATGTAACTTCTGTGTCCTCCCTGGCTATCTATTGGATCTTTATTTTACTTCTAAATTGTTACTATTTTATTGTATTTGCTTTTATTCTTGTGTTTTGCTTTATCGTGTATCTTGTATCGTGATCCCTCTGCATCTCTATGCACACTGATATTGATCCTGATCAAAATCTTCTGTCTCATATCTACACCAACCAGCACATTGATCATCATTATTGCAAGTATTTCACAGCACACCAGGCTAAAAACAAACTTCAAAATAGCACCTGTCTATCAGTTTATAACCAAAATGTTAGATCACTTGGTAAACATTTTGACGATTTAAATGCATTACTCACAGCAATAGGTACTAACCTATCGTTCATTATTTTAACAGAAACTTGGCTAAATAAAGACTATACCCAACTCTACAACTTAGCTGGTTATAAAGCCATTCATAACTGTAGGCCTAATAAAAAAGGTGGTGGCACAGCTATATATTACCGAGATACATTTATCTGCAACAATGTTATTAGTGACAGAGATGACTACTGTGAATATACTTTTGCTCAGTTTACAATTAAATCCCTTAAATCCTCTTTGACTATTGGAGCCATCTATAGATTTCCCAATACTAACATAGCTTCTTTCTCAGACAACCTAAGGAATCTTATTATAAACAACAATCTTAACAAAAACCACATCATTCTGGGAGGAGATTTTAATATTGACCTGGGTCAACAAAATTGCTCTCAAGTTGACTATTTCCTTAACAGCATGAACTCCTGTATGCTAATCCCCACAATCACCAAACCTACCCGAGTCACTCAAACATCAGCCACTACCTTGGACCACATATGGACAAACATAACAGCTCCCCTTGTATCTGGTATAATCTACGACAGAACAACTGACCACTATCCTACCTTTCTCATAGCGAACATGGACATAGCACCAGCAAAAAGCAAGAAACTTTTATTTAGGCTACACAGTGAATCAGCTTTAGACAATCTTACAGAGGCACTTTACAATATTAACTGGGATTCTGAATTCAATAATACCCATGATATAAATTCATTAGCTAACCTCTTCCTCTCCAAAACTCTAAGCCTCTACAACCTTCATTGTCCCCTTCTTACCAAGCAAGTAACTGACAAAAGATTAAACAATCCATGGCTCACAAGTGGCATTCTCAACTCAATCAACAAGAAACATGAATATGAAAAGAAAGTTAGGATTGGCCTAGTTTCAAAGGAAGTAGCTAAAAGGTACTCATCAATGCTTACCAGTATCATAAGAAAGGCAAAACTTGCATATTATGTGAATAGATTCAATGAAGCAAAAGGCAACATGAAAAGCACTTGGAAAACTATCTCTAGTATCCTAGGAACTAAACAACACTCACATAACCAAATAAAACTCTACAAGGATGGGGATATACCATCAACTGATTTAGAAATGGCAAATGAATTTAATAGTTTCTTTTCATCGGTTGGTGCTAATCTTGCCAGTAAAATCCCACAGACTCAGACACATATTAACACATATCTCTCAGGCAGCTATCCAAACTCTCTTCTCCTTTCACCAATCAGCCCGGCAGATGTTATGTCCATCATACATTCTCTAAAAACCAAGGCAGGGAACACCAGTGAAATTCCGTCCATTGTGTACAAGAGAGCCTCCCATGCCCTTGCCCCACCCATAGCACTACTGTTCAACAAATCTATAGAGTATCACACCTTCCCTGATATCCTCAAAAAAGCAAGAGTAACGCCAGTCCATAAAGGAGGCAATCCGGCGGACATAAACAATTATAGACCAATATCAAATCTACCCATTCTATCAAAAATATTTGAAAAAATTATTTACAAACAGCTCTATTCCTACCTCGTAAAATTCGACATACTCAGCCCCTGCCAGTTTGGCTTCCGGTCCCAAAAGAGCACCAACGATGCAATCATTAGTCTCCTTGACATTATCTACTCAGCCCTTGACAAAAATGAGTTTCCGATTGGACTCTTCATTGACCTAAGAAAAGCCTTTGATACTGTTAATCACAACTACCTCTTACTTAAACTCCAGCATTATGGAATCCGAGGCCTTGCCCTTGACTACATCCGATCCTATCTTAGTGACAGACACCAATATGTAACCATCAATGATACAACTTCTTCCACTCTACCAATTACCGTTGGAGTGCCACAGGGCAGCATCTTAGGACCTCTTCTATTTCTTATATATATAAACGATCTGCCTAATGTCTCTAATATTCTCAAACCTATATTGTTTGCTGACGATACTACCCTTATCTACTCAAACCTCAACCCACATACACTAAATAATGTTGTGAATAATGAATTAAAAAAAGTCCACTTATGGATGTCAACGAACAAACTAACATTAAACATCGAAAAGACTTACTACATCTTATTTGGAAGCAAATCATCAAATGCAATTCAGCTACAGATAGACAACATTAACATCAGTAATAAAAATGATGGCAAGTTTCTTGGCCTATTCCTAGACAAGAGACTCAACTTCAGCACCCACATTCAACACATAACTAAGAAAGTCTCTAAGACAGTTGGTATACTCTCCAAAATCAGATATTATGTTCCTAACTCTGCTCTCCTCTCACTATATTATGCACTAATCTACCCCTATCTTAATTATGGTATCTGTGCATGGGGGTCTACCACTGCAAACCACCTTAAGCCCATCATCACACAGCAAAAATCTGCTATCAGAATAATAACTAACTCTGCTTTCAGACAACACTCAGCTCCCTTGTTTAAATCCCTAAACTTGCTAAATATTAACTCCCTCCACACATTCTCTTGTGTCAACTACATTTACAAAACCCTGTTCTTAAATGCAAATCATGCTCTGAAACTCTCCCTGGACAGATGTAATAGGACCCATTATCACCACACCAGAAATAAATTTCTCTTTGATATCCCCAGGGTCAAACTTAATCTGTGTAAACACTCTATGCAAATTAAGGGACCTAGTCTATGGAACTCACTCCCTAGTGAATTGAAAAACTGTAAAACTTTTGCCTTATTTAAAAGCAAAACCAAAAAGTACCTAACTTCATTCTTCTTAGTTTCCTACACTGAGCTTTAAATTTGCTCTGTACCTAGTGTTACCCAATCTCCTAATTTTTATGTAATATCAAACAACCTTATCATTGTGTTCATTGCTGTCTTCTTTTATGTGCTAGCCATATGCTGCATTGTGACTACCAATTTTGTCAACTACCATTCAAGCTGTCATTGCAATCAATCTTATATTGTTTCTGCTGTATTGTGCCTACCAATTTGTTGTCAACTACCATTCAAGCTGTCATTGCAATCAATCTTAGCTACCTATGTGCTTTAATATACTGTACCTACAATTTTCTCTCATCTTTTTTTTTCATTTCATGTAATCTGTTATCATTTTTTTGTCTATAAATTTTGCAAGTATTTACCTCCTTAAAATTTTCTTAGATTAAGGACCTGCCCGAAACGCTGCGCGTGCTAGTGGCTTTACAAGACTGTAATTACCATATTTGTATCCTCACATTCCTTACGTACATTCTTGTATATGCATAAATAAATAAATAAATAAATAAATAAATAAATAAATGTTGACAGCCCTAAGCAGATCTAAACATCTAAACAGTAGATTTACTAGAGACTGCAGAACTGATAAGGTCTGACTTGTGGGAGCAGCTATCTAATTTCACACAAATTTTCTGGTTATTTGTACCAGATAATTTGATTTGATATATTGATTTGATATCTTAAGAAGCACATCAACAAACTGGAAAAGGTGCAAAGACATGCTACTAAGTGGCTCCAAGAACTGAAGGGCAAGAGCTACGAGGAGAGGTTAGAGGCATTAAATATGCCAAAACTAGAAGACAGAAGAAAAAGAGGTGATATGATCACTACATACAAAATAGTAACAGGAATTGATAAAATCGATAGGGAAGATTTCCTGAGGCCTGGAACTTTAAGAACAAGAGGTCATAGATATAAACTAGCTAAACACAGATGCCGAAGAAATATAAGAAAATTCACTTTCGCAAACAGAGTGGTAGACGGTTGGAACAAGTTAGGGGAGAAGGTGGTGGAGGCCAAGACCGTCAGTAGTTTCAAAGCGTTATATGACAAAGAGTGCTGGGAAGACAGGACACCACGAGCGTAGCTCTCATCCTTTAACTACACTTAGGTAATTGCACTTAGGTAATTACACACACACACAGAGGAACCTCAGTTTTTGAATGCCCATTTTCAAATTTTTTGGTTCTTGATCTCAATTTCTTCAAAAAAATTTACTCGGTACTCGAGGTTTGCCTTGGTGTTCGAGTTTTTTTATATGCATATGGGCCAACCGAGCTTGTGGCACACTTCAGTTTACCAGTATCTTCCACCTAGTGACAACTGCACTTGAATTCTTTGTGAAGAATTTAATTGATTTTGTCCATTTTTAGTTTCTGAACATAAACATTCTTATTATATATCACTCCATGGGTTCCAAGAAAGTCAGCGGTAAAGTTCAACCAGCGGAAATTGTTGTGAGGATGACAATAGAGGAAAAACAAGAGATCATTCATAGTGAGACAATGTGATGTCTCACAACAGACAAGTGTTAAAATGTAGGGAAAAGCAAGAATTTGTCTATAGTCAAATTCTTAATAAGACAAGCAAGAAGTGAGCCACAACCACGTCCTAGTGGTATGCCTGCAAATCGTAAAAGAGAGTGTACCCTGGAAATGTCATCACTGCTGTTAAAATGGAAGGGAACTCCCCTTCCAAACTCTAACAACTCTCCTCCTTCCCCCCTTCCTCACTGTCTTCCATACGCCAACAAAAGTCCTCGATAAAGGTAAGATATACTTGTACATACTGTAGTACAACATAAAAGTACAGTAGTAGTATGTATAAAATGTTAATATATTTGGGGGTGTGAGATGGATTAATTCAAGTTACATTATTTCTTATGGGAAAATTCGTTTTGGTTTTCGAACAACAATACCGATTTTCAAACCGTCTCTGGGAATGGATTAAATTCGAAAACAGAGGTACCACTGTATATATATTTTGCCTATTATTTATAAGAGAGTAAGTGTGGGGTGTTGTTAGCTATACTCTTAAGGTATGGGATTGAAAGCCGTACCCTACAACACAGCATAGGTAATTACTTAGGAAATTACAGAATGTGCTGCTACCATATTCTATCTGAAAGATTGCAGAGTATAGATAAAAAACTAGCCATAAGTTCATTTTTTTTTTTTTTTGAGGGAAGTGGAGGGGAAGAACCTAAAGGGGTAGCAACTTGGTGCCCTTACAGTACTCTGTGCTTTGGAGTATGCTTCTTCTCAGACCAAGATCTCTATTGATCTGGAGTACAGTATTAATATACTGTATGTCACTCCACAAATTTCCTATCTATAAGAATAATAAAGCTGTCAAGACAGCTGCATAAATGTGCATTTGGTTTTTCTCATAAAAATTATATTTCCACATGATTAAATTATTTTTATTCCACTTGACTGGCCTAGAAACTCCCAATAGGTATAATCCTGTGGTGTTGAGAATATTTTGAAACCTAATCCCTTAATATTATTTCTCATTCTTTCTGTAAGTAAAGCTCTTGCACAGTTCTGAGTAACAGCCACAATTTTTTGAGACTTGAGAATTGCACTACTGGTTTCAAAAGACATTATTCACAGCATCTTTATATCAGATATTTGTTTGTAAAATTCAGACTACCTACTGTGTGTGTAATGTTTTTGACTTTATGCTGATTTGCAGCACAGATATTTACATTATTCCGCAGCAAATTTCCTACTTTCAGTCCAGTTTACTGCGTCTGGGAATTCATCTTCACTATAAGCATCCGTCTCATCATCCAACATTTGTCTCGGTGCAGCAGCAATACTTCCTGAGTTCTTGGACTCTTCCAATAATGTTTCCTGTACACAGAGAAAAGTAAGCCAACAAAATTACATTTACTAGTATGACTAAATATATGTTTGAGAGTTGTCATTGTCTTTAACTGGAATTTCTAGCTAAATGTTTAGAAATTCAACTAAAGCAACAGCATTGTTGGGATCATTACAATATGAAGTGATGTCAGGTAGCAGCAGCTGGCTTCAACTGACCCCTAGTGCTCATTTCCTAGGCCTTATCATTACTGATACTGCATTAGTTATAAGCTGTCTAGCAGCCGGGTTCTAGCAATATTAGCAAAATGTGGGTTTCACAACTGTACAGCCAGACACAATTAACTTAATTGCATTGTTAGAATCATGTTAAGAATGATATAATAACTAATAAATCCCAGTGTCCTTAATCCACCTTGTTGCATCATAGCCTTTAGCTATTTTGTCTAACTGTTTATGCTTACCATTATCATTTTAATTCTCTTGTAATCCAAAAATTATTTTCCTGCCTTTACAGTTCTCTTAATTTTTGCTCCAAAATGTATATTTTTATTTACTATAATTTGTGGTATTAATAGTTTATATCAGTGCAGTGCAGGTTTAAATAAAGCTTGAGCTTGCGGAAGTTACAGAATTTCTTTCTGAAAAAGGATTGCATGGACACGACTACACTTACATAATAGTAAAGGGAATCGATAAAATTGATAGGGAAGAATTCCGAGACCTGAAACTTGAAGAAAATATATTATTTGAGAGGAGTCTTGTAGAAACTGGTAAGAGTAATTATATTATAATGTTTCCATAATTCAGTTATTAGTTCCTGTGAAAATTGTGAAGTTGTTGTTTAGTCAGAGTTGATTTGTTTTTGCATTGAGGCTGGTAATTTCTCCCCCTGATTCCATGTATGACTAACCATCCTGTGAGGTGGGATTATTAGATGAACTTATACAGTAGCTAGTTTTTTATCTACACTGTAACCTTTCATAAAGAATATGGTAGCAGCACATTGCTTTGTATACCTAAGCTTGTTAATAGAAAAAAACAACACATGAGAATATGTGTGTATGTGTGGAGTGAGTGTATGTTTTGCATGTTAAGGACTTAAACAGAGGGGCTGTGTGTTGTCTGAAGACAGAGTTTGTTATAGTTCTGATAGCAGATTTTTGCTGAGTGATGATAGGCTTGAGGTAATTTGCAGTGGTTGAACTCCATGCACAGATACCATATGTAAGATAGGGGTAGATTAGTGCATAGTACAGTATAATGAGACACATCCTTATCAGTGGAATCACCTCTGTCAACTTATATTATTACCACAGAGCTGCTTGAGGTACTGGTAAGAGAGGTGCTGGGCAAGATGGAAAGGACAAGGAAGTTTGGTAAGGGGGTGTAAGGGCATTTCATTTACACTCGGTTCCTTGTTTTTGTAAATCAAGTTTTAATTGTTTTTGTTAATATGTAACAAAAATGTGAAAGTGCTAATAATAATATTTTTTTTCAGTCAGAAGTATACATCTATTGAAGAGCTACTGTGTCCTCCCATAAAAAATGCAAGCAGTGAGACAGTATTGTTCAGAATAACAACTCAAAGTGATGCACCTGTGTTGATAAAATTTATGCTCAAGAATGAGAGCTATGTCCTCAAGTAAGTAATATGCATAGACTATATTCTGATGCAAGTATTATGTAGGTGACCTGTAGTGTGGTGGTCAGCAGAGTCAGCTCATTATCAAAATGTTTGGCCACATTTCCTTTAACCCAAGGCTGCTAATCAACTAACAGTAATTAGATACAGTACTTATTTATTAGGTGACTGGTGTGGGTTGCATTCTGGGGAAGGTCAGTTATAAACCTTAGGGAGAGTTCAATAAGCCTAACAAAATTCCTGTCCCTGACATTGGAAAACCAGAACAATAAACACAGCATCTCTGGAAATATATTGCTCTTCTAGTATTACCAAATGAAATATATTCATATTTCAAGTTATTACTTACCCTTGCCGATGACTCCTGTTGGCGTATGGAAGATGGTGAGGAGGGGGGAGGAGGAGAGGTGTTACTGTTTGGAAGGGAAGTCCCCTTCCATTATAACATCAGGCAGTAAAGATTTTTCTGGAGTGCACTCTCTGGCACGTCTTGCCTGCCTACCACTAGGTTTTGGTTGTGGCTCACTGCTCGATTTTCTCACAACAAAATGATCCACTGAAGATTTTTTCCCTTCTTTGGAACACTTGTCTGTAGTAAGACATCACATTGTCATTTAAATGGTCAGTGCAACGGCCTGCTACAACTTTATCTGGGTAAGTTTTTTCAACAAAACTATGCAGTTCTTCCCATACTTCACACATTTTCTTAATGAGGAAGGGACATCCTCTATAGACTTTACTCACAACTATTTTCTTAGGTTGAACCTTACCACTGGCTTTCTTGGGACCTATGACGAGATATATAATAGCAACTTTTATGTTCAAATGGCCAAAAATCCAACAAAAACTGTAAATCCTTGTAAAGAATTCAGGTGGGATAGTCACTTGGCGCAAGGCTCTGGTAAACTGAGGGGTGATCGCCATGCCACCACGTGCTAGATCGGCCTGTACACTTATCAACACCCTCGTATTCCAAGGCAACGCTCATATTCTGATGTAAATTTTCCGAGCAAATCCTGCTTGTAAACAGGAATGCTCGTAATCTGAGGTACCACTGTACTTAAGTTCATGAGATGTTCCTGACTTCTATGTGTGACTCAAGCATTGTTCGTGTTATCAGCACACCAAGAAGTAATTATACAGTATTCATAATTTCTCGGTTGTAAGTTTTGGGATATCTCGCCCATATATAATTTGTCATCTAGTACATGGTATAGTGTACAAAATAAATAAAAATGAATAAAATTTTTATTTGGGTATAAAGTATGTACATACATATTGAGTTACAAGCAGAATGTTGAATTTTTAGATAGAACTAGTACAGTATATACTATGCCTAAAGCCACTAATATGCACAGCATTTCCAGCAAGATGTGGGGGAAAAAACTTAAAAACCAAGACTTAAGATTAATCGAGATAAAAAGTATGAATCAAACAGAAGTAGAAAGTTCACCCAAATAGAAACATACACCAATGTTATGGTCACCTCATTGTTAGCTCTGCTCCTGATGAGAAATTTGAGTGTCGTAGATGTTTTCTGTACAAATCCTGTACAGTAATTAGCATTACTGCAAGTCTTGGTTATGTAGTTTGCTGCATGTATTATGGGTGGATAAGCCATTGCTTTGCTTCAGCTTAATTAGTGTATTTACTGATGATGATCTTAGTTCCTCAGTCTCTGCATTTTCTAATGAAAGATAAAGGGTATTAGAGATTTGAAGGAAATTGGTGTGTTTTGGCAATCATCCTCAAGAAACTTCTGGTTACTAACTCTAAGAGCTCTGAGAAAGAATCCAGTCACAATGTCTTGATTCATCTTGTGTCATGGTGAGAGTTGAAATGAATAAATAGTATATAGGAAAGGAAATTATCTTAATATTGTGATCATTAAGACATCAATATAATTCCTGGGTGGGACAGAAATTGTTAGGCATGTTTCCTTTTACCTAATGCCTCTGTTCACCTAGAAGTAAATAGGTACTCAAAATTTAGGCAACTGCTGTGGGGTTGCATCCAGGAGAAGGTCAATAGTCCAATCTGGAGGGACCTTGATACAAGCCTAAAGTGCTGTATGAATATACACAGGCTTTTTGTCCCAACAAGGGGAATTATAATGAAACCATTTCATAGTGCTTGGGATGATGCTGGAGTATGGTCTGGCTTTGAGAGATTTTAAGTAGCTCTTACATGCAAATCATCATCTGTATATAAAGTCTGTTGTCATCTTTGTAATGTCATCTACATAAAAATATGAAAATGGAATTAGTGCATCTTTAAGTTTCAATAATATCTGTATTTAAGCCTTAACCAGTTATTTGGATAAAGTGTTAAAGCAGTTATTCATATTGCTGCCCCATTTTAGTGTGGATATGCATTTCTATAAGTCGAATCTATTGTAACACTGTACTTAACACATTTTAACAGTACATATACTGTATTAAAAAATATATAAAAGTTTTAGAATAAATGCATCCTTAAATATTTTATATTTATCTTTAGTCCTCTACCAAATGTTTGGATTTAATTCAGTAAGATAAATATTTTCTTGATGTCTTTTAAAGTAGTTAATGACTTGCAGTCACATATAGTGTGGGCAGTTACTTTAGAGTTTAAAATTATTTATCAAAATAATAATACTAGTACTGTAATTCCCATTATTAGGGACAGGAAGCCTGTCATTAGGATTATTGATATCCTCCTTGGCCAACTACTGATCTTTCCCAGAATGCAACCCACAATAGTTACCCAACTTCTGGATACCTATTTATAGCTAGGTAAACAAAGGCATCAGATGAAAGGAAATTGAATCCAACTATTTCTGTCCTGTTCGGGTATTGAACCTGGGTCTCTCGATTGTGAGTTAAGGATGTAGACCACTGTGCTGCAGGCAAATTACTTAAAAAAAATGTTGTTCTTTTAATTTGAAAATATTATTTAACATTAAAGATGTTCCTTCACTTCAATATCCTATTTTCAGGAAAGGCAACAATGTGTCAGTAACTTCAACTCCAGTGTCACCTTGGTACAAACTTTATCAGTGGGATGCTTCTGAATCATCAGTCTTGGTCACAGCAGACAGTATAGATGCCAGTGAAGGTGTTTGTTCCATTCTTGCCTTGCAGAATGCACAGGTAAATTAAGGGATATTTACTGACATAACAAGTAAGCATTTATACTATATGCAATAACATAATGTACTGAACTACTCTAAATCCAATTTAAAAATAAATACATAATTTATATTCGGTAGGTATTTATATGCCTGCCTAGCCAACTGGCATAAATCTCACATATTTTTTTCATTCTAATTAAGACAAGTAGTGACTCTATACCATTCATCTTCAAGTATCACATCAGAAATCTGTATATAATTTGGTAAATTCCTTTAATACATACAGTACATGTATGTATGTATAATTACCTAAGTGTAGTTAAAGGATGAGAGCTATGTTCGTGGTGTCCCGTCTTTCCAGCGCTCCTTATCATATAAAGCTTAGAAACTACTGACGACCTTGGCCTCCACCACCTTCTCACCTAACTTGTTCCAACCGTCTACCACTCTGTTTGCGAAAGTGACTTTTCTTATATTTCTTCGGCATCTGTGTTTAGTTAGTTTAAATCTATGACCTCTTGTTCTTGAAGTTCCAGGTCTCAGGAAATCTTCCCTATCAATTTTATCAATTCCTGTTACTATTTTGTATGTAGTGATCATATCACCTCTTTTTCTTCTGTCTTCTAGTTTTGGCATATTTGATGCCTCTAACCTCTCCTTGTATCTCTTGTTCTTGAGTTCTGGGAGCCACTTAGTGGGATGTCTTTGCACCTTTTCCAGTTTGTTGATATGTTTCTTTAGATATGGGCACCATACAACTGCTGCATAGTCCAGCTTTGGTCTAACAAAAGTCATAAACAATTTCTTTTAGTATTTCCCCATCCATGTACAGTACTTAAAGGCAGTTCTGAAGTTAGAAAGTGTAGCATAGGCCCCCTCGCACAATGTTTTTAATGTGATTCTCAGGTGATAGTTTTCTATTTAGAACTGCCCCTAGATCTCTTTCTTTATCAGACTTTTTTAAAGATTTCTCACATAATTTATAGGTTGTGTGGGGTCTATGTTTTCCTATTCCACATTCCATAACATGGCATTTATTTACATTAAATTCCATTTGCCAAGTGGTGCTCCACATACTTATTCCGTCTAGGTCTTCTTGAAGGGTATGGCAATCATCTAAGTTACTTATCTTTCCTATTGTCTTAGCATCATCAGAAAACATGTTCCTATAATTCTGTATTCCAACTGGTAGATCATTTATGTAGTCAATGAACATTATCAGTGCAAGAACTGAACCCTGTGGTACCCTGCTTGTGACATTTCTCCAATCCGATACATTGCCTCTGATTACTACCCTCAATTTTCTATCAGAAAATTTTTCATCCATGTTAGAAGCTTACCTGTCACCCCTCCAATATGTTCCAGTTTCCAGAACTACCTCTTATGTGGAACTCTGTCAAAAGCCTTTTTTAGGTTCAGATAGATGCAGTCAACCCCAACAATCTCTTTCCTGTAAAATCTTTGGCTTGATCATAGAATCTGAGTAAATTCGATACACAGGATCTTCTAGATCGAAAACCATACTGACTGCTTGATATTATATCGTTTTTCTCCAGGTGTATTACCCACTTAGTTTTAACTATTTTTTCCAATATTTTGACTATTACACGTGTCAATGATACAGGCCTATAATTTAGGGGGTTTTCTCTGCTGCCATTTTTGTAGATTGGAACTATGTTAGCCTTTTTCCACACATCTGCTACGACTTCTGTACACAGGGATGCCTGAAAAATCAGTTGAAGTGGGAAACTGAGCTTAGGTGCATATTCTCTCAGAACCCATGGTGAAACTCCATCTGGGCCAATTGCTTCGTTCTTACTTAGCTCCTTGAGCATTTTTTCACTTCGTCTCTAGACACCTCTATGTGCTCTATGTTGTTCTCTGGAAATCTTATTGTGTCTGGTTCCCTGAAGATTTCATTTTATACAAACACACTTTTGGAACCGATCATTTAGCATTTCACATATTTCTTTTTCATTCTCAGTAGTCCTGTTCCCCATTCTCAATCTCTGGATTTTATCCTTAACATGCAGCTTGCTTTTAATAAATTTATAGAAAAGACCTAGATCTGATTTACATTTGTCTGCTGTACATTTCTCAAAGTTCCTTTCTGCCTCTCTCCTTACATTTGTGTAATTGTTTCTTGCTTGCTTGTAGTGCTGGTATGTTTGTGGGTCAGGCCTCTTCCTATATTGAAGTCAATTTCTTGTCTTTTCTCCTCTGGCCCTCTCACAATTTCTGTTGAACCAATCCTGTTTTCTGGTCCTGCATTTCTGTTTTGGTATGAATGTTTGTGTGCCTTCACTGTATATTTTGCAAAATTTATCATACATCTCATTTATTTCATTGCCTAGCAACAAGTCTATCAAATTAAACTCATTAAAAAATCTTAAGTTCCCCATAGTGTCCTCTCTTGAAATCAAGTTTATCAACTGTTTCACTGTAGCCATTCTTTTCTAGATTATATGGCAAAGCATATTTATTGTCCAACAGGGCCTGATCACTCTTTCCCAAGGGAGGAAGGTACTGGATGTCAAATATCTCTTCTTTCCTGGTACTGGTATTAGATCTAGTACTGACAGAACATTCCCTTCCCCTCATTATTGTGGCCTGCTTGACGTGTTAATATATGAATGTCTCCAGAATGAGGTTTACAAATCTGCCTGTCCAAATATCCTCGGTTCTCGCTTCGTAGGCCTCCCAGTATATTGCTTTAAAGTTGAAATCCCTCAGTACCAATAATCGTGACTTATCTTTATCTGCTTTTACTATAATCTCTCAGGACCATTATGAAGCCCTCTTGTTTCTCATCCAGTTCCTCCTTTGTCCATGTTTTGCTTGCTGGTGGGCTGTAGGCATTTACAATTATCAGTTTATCATCCTGACTGCAGACCTGCAATGCCATTATATCAACTCCTCGAGGGTTTTCAAGTATTAACTCTCTTACCTTCAGTTGTTTTTTCACCAGCACAGCCACTCCTCTTTCCTAGTCTTCCTGTCATGTCTCCAAACTGAGTAGCCCCTTGTGAATACGACTTCATTTAAAATATTTTCTTCAAGTTTCGTCTCTGTTAATGCGACAATATCTGGGACATTATGCCAAATTATATCTTTCAGCTCCAATATTTATTATCTCACTCCATCTATGTTGGTATATACAATTTTCAGGAACACGTTCCTTTTCCCTTTGATCTTTACACCCCCTTGCTGTAATGATTTTGTTGCTTTGTTTTATATACCATTTCACTATCTTTCCCAGTCCCTAATACTGTAGAAAAAAAGAATTTCTTTCTTCTTCATTACTATTTTCATTTAGACATTTTGCTTCAACAAGGTTCATTTTCAGCTTTTCTTTGTCTTCCTTTGAGAGGTCTTGTCTTATTGACCAAAATTTGCCATCCTCATCACACTGCAATTTCCTGGCATTTCTAAACACTTCTGTCATGTGTTTCACTCCATTAAATGTCACCCTTAAATGTTAACCCAATTTCTATAAATATTAATGATTTTGATATTAATGTTTCTGCCAGCTATTTATGTCTAAGTAGACTGTTTTAAGACTGTTCAGCTTTCAGTAATCATAGAGTTGAAATACAAACTACATAATTTTTTAATAAAATATAATGGTATAGTACATACTGTATTTTCTGTGGGGAGCCCCTTCGGCTCCCTGGAGCTATCAGGCTAATATGCGAATCATTAGACCTGGGCATTTGTCAATGGAGTTCAGATTACCGGGGGCCCACGAGCCAGAACCTTGCCCCCACAGAGAGGCACAGGGAGTAATGGCCCAGGAAAACCCCCCCTGTGGTTGGGGGTTTTCCTTATCTGCCATCGACTGGGGTTAGGCACCCAGAAAGGTAGGCATAACAAAACAAACCCCACATGGTAAGAAAATTGCAACCGAAAACCGAACAGAGAGGTAGAATGCCCTCCAATTATAAGGAAACAAGCAAACGTCACACCTTGTAATTGTGCTGCTCTTCCGCACAGTCCTAGAGGGGAGGGGAGCGGCGCGACTGCAAAGTGTGATGTTTGCTTGTTTCCCTGAGATTGGAGGGAGTTCTGCCTCTCTGTCTGGTTTTCAATTGCAATTTTCTTACCATGTGGGGTTTTTGTTATGCCTATCTTTCTGGGTGCCTAACCCCGGTCAATGGCATATTAGGAAAACCCCCAACCACAGGGAGGTTTTCAGGGCCATTGCTCCCTGTGCCTCTCTGAGGAGGCCAGGTTCTGGTTCGTGGTCCTCAGTAGGCTGAACTCCATTGACTAATGCCCTAGTCTAATGATTCGCATATTAGCCTGATAGCTCCAGGGAGCCTCTGGGGCTCACCCAGAAAATGGTGTTTCATTACATTCAACACTGGTTTTTTCTTAGTGCCCTGTGGACACAGATGAGTCTGGACTTAGGTCTGGTCATGGACGGTACCAAACCTTCACTAGTCGGGCTGGAATGATTGCACGGAAAGATGAGTTTCCAGATGGTGTACACATTCTTGTCTTGTCCCTACCTGATGATGAACCTTGTACACTAAATATTGCATGTAAGTTTTCTAAGTTACTCCAAATAGCACTGGATTATCTTATTTATGTTTTAACTCTTAAATGATAATTATAGATATCTTTGGGGAGTTTGGACCTCATTAGCTTCTGGTCAGGATAGGGGTTCTGTCTCACCAGTTTCTAGGGCAGTAGCATTGTCTTTTGGTTTCAGCTTCACCCCTATTTCGGTGGCATTCTTTTTCATTTCTGAAATTGGCTGCTCATCAGGCTACTGTATTTTATACTTTCGTGGTTCACCCCTTTAACAGCACCTTCTCCCATGTCTGGTCTCATGATGTTGAACATTTCAAGTGGTTTCCTGGGGCCTTTGGTGGCTACCTTGTGGCTCCCTAGTAGTGATGCCAAGGATAAACATCCTCATGGCCCAATCTGACCAGGCCTCCTGGTTGGTGGTTTGGTCCAGGTATAGCTGTCTCTTCTACTTCGCAGGGTTATCGCAGAGTGGTTGAATACTGGGGTGGTTGAATTGATTTTCTCCTTGTGTAGGGTGTCCCATCTGTTCCTGGTTTCCAAGAGGGACTCACCGAACATTTGGTTCCTTCTCATTCTCTTGGGTTTGGACAGCTTCATTCCGTATCTTTTCTTCCATTTGACCACCTTCAGTAAGGTCTGCATGGTTTAGCAGGTGGATGGATGCTTGGATACTGTCTCTGGTACTTAAGAATGCTTACTGGCACTTTCTTTTTCACCAGAGTACAGGGACTGGCTAGGGTTTTGCGTGGGGCATTTTTGTTGTGGTTTCAGGGTAATTATCTTTTATTTGTATCTGGTGCCCAGGATGCTTTTCAGGATGCAAGTCATGGTCTTTCATCTTCATCTTTTAAGGACATGCAACTTGGTCTACATTGATGACAGACTGTCTGCATGTCTACATGCCAGGAATCTGCAGCCAGATTCACGAAGCAGTTATGCAAGTAATTACGAACGTATACGTCTTTCCTCAATCTTTGATGACTTTGGCTACATTTAACAAACAGTTTACAAGCATGAAAAGTTTCCAATCAACTGTTGATATTGTTATAAACAGTCTTCTGGAGCTTCGGAACTCATTAAGTGTTTAATAATTGTAAACAAGGCCGTTGAAGATTGAAAAAAGATGTACAGGTTCATAAGTGCTTGTGTAACTGCTTCGTGAATCTGGCCCCTGGTTTTTTCCCAGTTGTCGAGATTTGGATTCCTTATTAATTGGGGTAAGTCCCAGTTACCCCAATTAATAAGGTCTGGACAGGCTTGAACTTTGCATCGCAAGTCTGGACTTTGCTATGCCTCATCTGGAATTCTCAGTTAGTGTTCCTGTCTTTGCCTTTGAAGGCTTGGCATTCTTTGCCTGTTTAGTGTTGGAGTGTGTTAAAATTTCCTAGTGGTGGCCTAAGAGGTTGTATGCAGCCTGAATCTTGCCTATGTGGTTTACTGAATGTTGCTGTGGGTGTTGTATGGTTTCTCCAAGGCTGGCCATTTTCAGGATCATTGGGTTTGGACCTTGTTTGCTCTTCAGTGGCTTCTTTGTCACCACTTTTTTCTTCAGGTTTCTTGGGGTTCAGTTCTATGGTGCCTTCCTCCTCTTGTGCTTGGCCTGTTTATGTATGCCTCAGATCTGGGCTGGGGTTCTGTGACCATCACTCACCAAGCATCTCAGGACCATTGGTTTGGTCCTATTTGTTGAGTTCATAGTACAGTTTGCAAGTTGGCTGTGGCTTGGTTTGCTCTTTAGCTTCTTCGTCTCCTGCTGGGCTCCATGATCCAGCTTCACTCTTGCTCATCTACAATTTGTTGTCAGACTCATGGGGCATTTGCATTGGTCTCTTCCATTATGGAGCTGGATTCTGCATTTACTGTTGCTTTTTTCTCATTTCTCTAGGTTTGGCTCTTGACACAGTTTACGTGTGTGGGAACCTTTAATTCTAAATCTGTAATATTAACTTGAAATACATACTGTATACAAAATAGAAGTGTATAAAAAGTACAGGACTATGTAATTTGTAAATTTAATAGGACTATGTAAATTTAAATTGGGGAAAAAATAATTTAATAGGGGCTTAGCTGAAGTAGATGAAGTCAGAACATTCTGCAGTATCCCAAGCCTCTAGTAGGATGAGCAAGGGGTTATTAGCAAAGGCTAATGTCTGCAAAGCAGTCCCACATTAACACAATTTATCATATATTTGCAATAATGAAATATTAACGCAGCAAGGCACTAGCTCTTTGATTTTACTTTCCTAGCTTGACCAAATTTAGCTACCAATGATTACTTAATCTATAAATATATCATTAACCAAGACTTAGTTAACATAGCTAGTTAAATTCAATGTAACAATTAATTACACTGTAATACTGTAACTATAAGTATTTTATTATTAACACTATTATTATTTATTTATTATTAACTGATGGTGGGCACTTTGTCCCTTGTCCTAGCCACTCCAACCTGTCTTCCTAATAGAGCATCTCATTTTGATGCATACTCTACCTAAGGCCAAAAATGGTCATACTAGAAAATGGAATTGGCTCGCAAAATTGACATACTAATCCAGTTTGTTATAGGTCCTTTGGTAAGTTAGGATAGGTTGCTTTAGTACGACAGTTTCTTGACATAGAGAAACCTTAGAAGAACAGGCTGTACCACTATTTAGCTAATTTTTATTTATAATTCATTGTGTCAGGGGACAGGAAGTCAGAGTGTATTTGTACATGTTTCGGTTTTTATCGAGTTCCCCACCCAATCTTATCTTGAGGTTATCTTGAGATGATTTCGGGGGCTTAGTGTCCCCCGCGGCTCGGTCCTCGACCAGGCCTCCACCCCAAGGAAGCAGCCCATGACAGCTGACTAACTCCCAGGTACCTATTTACTGCTAGGTAACAGGGGCATCAGGGTGAAAGAAACACTGCCCATTGTTTCTCACCGGCGCCCGGGATTGAACCTGGGACCACAGGATCATGCGTCCAGTGTTCTGTCTGCCCAGCACCGGCTCCAAGGCCAAATTACTGACCCCGCCCAGGATGCAATCCCACAACAAGCTGACTAACTCCTGAGTACCTACTCACTGCTAGGTGAACAAAGGCATAAGGTAAAAGGAAATGTGCCCAACCATTTCTGTCCCGCCCGGGATTCGAACCCGGAATTCTTGATTGTGCTTGAGAATGAACCCGACTGTACTAGCGGGACCAGCTTGAAGTACAGTACATAAATTTTGGGTTTTGCATCAATTTGGGGTTAATCACTATAGTATCTCCTGTCTTGTGTTTTATATGTAGCAGATAGTTAATGCTACACAGCTTTAATAAATGTGCCATGAAATCGACATAGTTGCAGGATTGACAACAGAAAATACTGTACATCTTCAAGAGAAAAATTAATCTGTTTAACAGTCAACCTGCTGAAGCTGTCAAAGCAAGATTAGTGCTAAATTTTAAATTGCAGCTATAAACCTTGATAAACTAAATGGGAAGGCTTTTAATAAACATCAGGCTTAATTCCTTTACATGGTTACTATTTATGGTGGCTTTTATGTAAAAGGTGAACATGAATCATGGAAAGGTGGGCCATCAGGGATGTGCAAAATCAAATACAGTAATGGTATAGAGTGATTTATTGACTGTAGTTAAAGAGGTTTGAAGTATGAAAATGATTTGATAATGGTGTGTATACGAAAACTATAGTAAATGTTTAGGTTTAGTGGACGGCTGACAGCACCACAATTTTCCTTCTCTCTTACTAAAGAAAACATGAATATCTGGATTTAAATAATGCAATTGTAGACAATACTTTGGTCCCAAGATGTCACCTGCTTGCTACACACTCACTCAGTTATTAAGCATTATCTATTTAGCATGAAGGAGTCCTAACATGTGTTTACCATTTTTGAATCGTTGATGTGTACTGTTTGATGCTGTAAATGGATAAAACTATAATCCAAGAGATAGAGACTAGTTTAATTACACTCCTAGTTTAATGTTAGTAATATGCAGGCATCATTTAATGAAGTGATATGGTAATCTCAATGATTTATCTTAAACAAATGTTCAGTACAGTATTTTTCTCTGTAATCATAAAATCTTTGATTCATTGCAGCTAGGTCCAACCATACCAGCCGCCAGAAGACAGTTGTACTGCAAGTGTATGATCATGCTACAATATGGTCAACATGGCACATCTTTCTCTTAACAGCTGCATTTGTGGCAATATGTATATTTGTCTTCGCAAAAGTAGTGTTGATTATAATTGAGAGGTATGTACAGTATTAATATTGATTGTATATTTTCTTGAAATGTCATAATTTTCACCATTAATGAACACAATTCATAGTACAGTAATTGTCACTGCTTGTGTACAAAAAAAAATTATTGGGCACACCTAGTCTCCTGCAGACAATTGCTGCAATGAGGCTCCCGCCACTTGAGGGTGGAGGGAGCATTTTAAGGGTTAACCCTTAAACTGCACACATTGTATATATACAATTTGAGTAACTGTCACCAAACCATGCATATTGTATATATACAATTGTGGGTGCTGCACACGATTTAAATGTCCCGCGGGGTAAAGGGGGCACCCTATACACCAGCCATGGGTGATTGTAAACAGGCACCATCTTGGAAAAAAATCCAGAGTAAGCTACCATTGTGAGGGGGGCCTCAATTACCCAAGAGACACACCATGGCAGGCGCTTCACATTCCAGCAGCCGACTGCACTCAGTACAGCACGCCTCCCAGTCATTGACTGAGGAAGAAATTCATACTGAATTGTTCCAGCTGGGTGAGGAACCTGATATCGATGACTCCGACATAGATCAAGACTACACACAACCCTCAGATGTGGATACGACCGACAGTGAGAGCGAACATGTGGTTGCCATGAGGGTTGCGCCTATCTTTCTCCAGTGCCACCTCACCCACACTCCACACCAATTCGCCCCCACCACACAGTTCAAGTGGTACTGTGCAACTTTATGATGTTTTGGGTAACGAGTCTGAGGAAGGTGACTCATTTTCTGGTTTTAGTGATTTAAAATCAGAGAATAGCTTTACCACGCCTGTTGCTAGTGCCAATGGGGTGCATGGTGTTACCAAGCGATGTTTTGTTGCGTCAGCAGCATCTCGCCCAGCCTGCATGGTACCACATTGAGACAATGAGGAACAAAGCCCCTCATCTTCAAGTAATTTTTCCTCATCGTCTGTACCCTACTGTGCGTAGACAGGCTTCTGCTTCTGGTCCACGGATTCCTCGCTGTAGTGCCAGGTGACATGTGAGATGGGATGTGAAAAAAATAAGAAGACTGCCTTCTGAAGGATAGGAGCATACAGGGTATGTAGGGTCAACCATACAGAAATACAGAAGCAGCAGAAACCAAAACCCCAGCCAGAGGAGCCTCCGAGAGTCAATCAGAACGAAGTTACAGGAGGCTCAAGAAATGTAGGACAGAAGCCAAATGTAAGTGGGCACGAAGGTTGTCTGCAATCATAGCAGCCAACAGCCAGGGGACTTGAGCATGAAGTTGCAACATCACAAGGACAGGAGTGAAGAGGCATGCATGGAGGGACTCAAAAGAACATCCAGAACACCTACAACACAGTAGACACTTCTCGTTGCTCAAGTGTGCGGGTATGACAGAAACTGTGCCAACCCCCAAGTGAAAACAAAGGACAGTCTGCCAGCCAGGATAACTCCAGAACCTCATAATGCACGAAATTATGGGTGGAACAATTGAACTTTAAGAAAACCATCTTCCAACTGGGCACACTACCTAGACGTCTGCAACACAGAACCTCAAATGCAAAGCAGTCGCCATCTGATACCTCTGAACATCAAAAGAAGGGCGAGTAAGAAGAGTCACATGTTGGGAACAAGTCCCCACATGACTTAGGGTCGAAGGTGTCACCGACCCATCAGGTAGCATGTAGGCAGAATGTATGAACATTGCCCGGTGACACTGACGATGAACAACCCACAAATTTGTAGATAGCAAGAGCAGGGCACGAAATAGGTACCCATAGTACAACCGAACCTGCAAGGGTTTTCCAGGGCCTGAAGGGTGAGTGCTCCCTGCAGAAAGCCCAAGCACTAGGAACGTTATGCCTGTAACCCGTGTATACTTGTACAGGCACTCTGGCTATCCGAAGTCAATGGAAAAGTCCAGGGAGTAATGAGGAGGGGGGTGGGGGGGTGGTTAACCGCAGCAAACCCTAAGTGAAACCTAATAAGGTAAAGCAGAAAAGGACAAAAACATGAAAAAACATGAAAACTGACAGAAATTAAAATCCGGGACTTTCTAGGACCCAACTGGAAGAACGAGCAACTAGGGAGAATTGTAGCACCAAAAAGACATGTAAGCTAGAGGTCCACCATGGCATGCCAGGTGGTCACACGAACCACTGTGCACCTCACCAGCAATATACACTATTGACCCGAGGAAAAACAGTAAAAAACAACCAGCTTATCTGAAGTGCGAGGGGCCACCACAAGCAAGAAGACCCACATGGGTGTGTATCCTGAACACCAGGGAAGAGAACCCTGACTGTGCAAGGGCAGCATTTAATGAACACACATGGGGAGGAAACCCTGAGCACATTCAGCTAATGATCACATTCAGCACATGATCCTGGATCATGCTGCACAAACATGCAAAAGAACAGCCACAAAGGCAAACACCACTTAGCTAAAGAGAGGACTCTGGAGTCAGAGCTAGATGAGAGGGCAACCAGCACTGTGCTACATCAGCATAAGAACTGGTGGTGATGCAGCTGGCTGACCCGATCTGCCTCCCTCCTCCCCTCAAGTGGTTGGGAATTAGCTCATGCAAGTTTCACAAATTTTAGATTGTTTACATTGTTGGGGGAGTTCTTTTGGCAGTTTTGAGGCTGGTTTCTAACCAAGCAGTAATCTGTTTTGTTTTGCTGACTTTCTGGGTGCCTTCCCTTAGTGGTGACATACATAAATAATCTTAAATAAAAGGTTTTCATAGTGCCACTGCTCCCGGTGCCTCTTTGAGGGGGGGCCAAGTTCTAGCTCGTGGTTCCTTGTAGGCCAATAAAAACCGTGCGACTGATGGCACCTAGTAGTATGGCACTGTGTTAATGTAGTAGCTTCAGGGAACCACAAGGGGCTCCCACATAAAAAGCCAACCAAACCCTAGGAATAATCAAGCAAATATTTGATTTAATCTCTAGTTAGCCCTCATTTGTACTATTGTGCCCAAGCATGGAGACCTAATCTTCAGAAGGACTTATCTGCTTTGGAGAAAGTTCAACACCAGACAACAAAAATCATCCCAGAACTAAGTCAACTCTCAAACCAGGAAGAGTTGAGGGCTGCAGTGCTAACAACACCGCACACCAGACATGACAGGACAGAAATCATTGAAACTTTTAAAATACTGAACAGTTTAAAGAACATTGGTCCAGACGAATTCTTTTAAAGGTCAGATGTAACACAAAGAAGGAGCAACAGCTTCAAATTTAACAAGCCACAATGTAAGACAGGAAACTTATGTTTTTTCACCCATAGGGTTATAAACCCATGAAACCACCTACCCACTGTGGTATTCTGATGACAAAATATATATTACCCCAAAATGTACCATCACAGTCCAGTGAAAAACAAGCATCACGAAATCATCAATTTGTAGTAAACCTGAATTTCGAGTCAGTGAGGTGCAGAATGGTAAAGTTTAACAATGTGTAGTTGGGTGGGGCTTAGAAAACTTTGCAGTAGGCTGCCGTGTATAATGACACCCTCCCTATAGGATTCCCTATAAGAATAGCCACATGCACCTTATGATGTGTTTGTCATGATTTCTTTATGAACCTATGGATATTTGTTGTTACTTATAAAGTGGATATTGTATATACAGTATTTTAAACTCCATCACCGAGTAGCTAAAGAAAAATGAAATAATGACTAATAATGACTCTACATATTATATCATCCACTGGAAATCCATGGAAAAATGTGTTTTTTATTAAATAATTATTTTTTCTTTGACCATTTGATAGAACACATTACATGTAAAAAAAATCAAAATAAACAACTGAGTACAATGAAATGTGTCCTCTAGTTGACACCTGAGGAGCTCCCGGAACTCCTACCACAGGCTCGCTAGAGACACAAGGGACACTAGGTTTTTATTATTTTTTTCTACCACTGGATACAAGAATCTTTACAAAGCATCCTGGCCCCCACCTTGTGGTGGAGGTCACGCATGGAGATTAATATCAATCCATTACTGTGGTAAATCACCCACAAAATTTTTTAAATGACACAAAACACTGGACCTACCGGTGAGCAATGTCTAGCAACACATGAATCTAGTAAGGTACTTAACTGCTTCCACCCAAGAATGTTGTGTTGATGGTAACCCAGTTCTCAGATATACAGCTTTCTCGACTGCTGAGAAAGCTTTATATCTGAGACTTATCCACACTGATTGTATTATTATTCTATACTCATACAATATAACTCTAAAATTCATTTCACATTTTGAAACTTTTATACAAAATGTTTGCCCAGAAAATTCTGAATATGCATAATACAATACCATGCAAATCATAGGCTGCCTGTATTTAGTACCTACAGATCTAATATACAAATGGCTGAGAACTGATTCATGCCCAGGATGAAAATTGGCTCAGCTTGACAGTAACAATATCAGCCGCTGAAATGCTAAGTGGCTTGCATTGTTGGAATGACACTTTGTCCTGATACTTTATCCTGACCCCTGTCCAGATATCTTGTCCTGACCCATGACCTAACATTATGTCCTGACCCATGACCTAACATTATGTCCTGACCCATGACCTAATATGTCCTGACCCATGACCTAACATTATGTCCTGACCCATGACCTAACATTATGTCCTGACCCATGACCTAATATGTCCTGACCCATGACCTAACATTATGTCCTGACCCATGACCTAACATTATGTCCTGACCCATGACCTAACATTATGTCCTGATCCATGACCTAACATTATGTCCTGACCACCTTCCTGATAATTTTTCTTGATCTCTGTCCTGATACTTTGTCTTCACCCCTGTCCTGATAATTTTTCTTGACCCTTGTGCTAATATTATCTCCTGACTCTTGGTACATTTGAAAATACATATTCATTTCCATTTTGTGCTTTGCAGACAGTTGAGCCCAATATTAGCCTGTAGAATACAGTATTATAAATTTTTATTATAAATCCTTTAATATTTGTATTTTTTTGTTTTTAGAAGTTTGGTACCTAAAAGCAGTGTTGACAGTGATGATGAGAGACAGCTAGTAGAAGGAATGGAATCTGGCAGTACAAGTGGTGTCAGCAGAAATCGATATGAAGTAGAAGTAGGAGGTGCGGCTATTTTGTGTGGAGTTGAAAATCAGGTGAGATTTAAAAATAATATATAGATTGTGTGTATAATTACCTTACTGAAATTACAGGATGAGAGCTACGCTCACTTTGTCCTGTCTTCTCGGCACTGTCATATAACGCTTTGAAAGTACTGATGGTTTTGGCCTCTATCGCCTTCTCGCTTAACTTGTTCAAATCTTCTATCACTCTGTTTACAAAAGTGAACTTTCTGATGTTTTTTTCTACAGTTTTGTTTAGTTACCTTAAATCTATGATCTCTTGTTCTTGATGTTCCAGGTCTCAAGAATTCTTCTGTGTCAATTTTGACAATTCCAGTTACTGTTTTGTATGTAGTGATCATATCGTCTCTTTTTTTTCTGTCTTCTAGATTTGGCATATTAATACCTCTGACCTCTCTTTGTAGCTCTTGTCTTTCAGTTCTGGGAGCCATTTTGTTGTATGTCTTTGCACCTTTTCCAGTTTGTTGAAGTGCTTCTTAAGATATGAGCACCATACAACCGCTGCATATTCCAGCTTTGGTCTAACAAAAGTCGTGAACAATTTCTTTAGTATTTCGCTATCAATGTATTTAAAAGCAATTCTGAAGTTTGAAAGTGTAACATAGGCTCCTCGCACAATGTTCTTTATGTGATCCTCAAGTAATAGTCTTCTATCTAGAACCACCCCTAGATCTCTTTCTTTATCAGAATTCTTTAAAGATTTCTCACAAAATTTATAGGTTGTGTGGGGTCTATGTTCTCCTATTCCACATTCCATAACATGGCATTTATTCACATTATATTCTATTTGCTAAGTGGTGTTCCATATACTTATTTTGTCCAGGTCTTCTTGAAGGGCATGACAATCATCTAAGTTTATCTTTCCTATTATCTTGGCATCATCAGCAAACATGTTCATTTGTTTATTAAATATGACTGTATTCCATCTGGTAGATCGTTTATGTAGACAATGAACATTACTGGTTCAAGAACTGAACCCTGTGATATTCCACTTGTGACATTTCTCCAGTCCGATACATTGCTTCTGATTACTGCCCTCATTTTTCTATTAGAATTTATCTTTCACAGACGGATTTAAGCTTAACGTGATTCAATCTGCACTATTTGCCCTTTGCATAAACTGTATTGCAACCTCATTACCTTTACTGGTCAGTTACTCTAATGATCACTTAGAAGAATCATGTTGAAGGTACTCACACAGTCTATTGCATCTAGTTTACCTTATCACAATTTCTTCTGTATTTTTGTCAGTTCACTATTATTTCCCAAAATATATTGCATTGCAGAATTCCTGGTCACTTGCAGATTATTTTATGAACTTTCGAGTTAACTTGATGCTGCTAGAGGAATTAGATGATGATAGTATAGTACTGTATAGATATTTTCGCCCAATAACTTTATGCAACATCTCCGAATTGAGCAGGAGTCCTGGCATGGAATGATTTGCATGGTGGTGCATTGCTAAATCCACCTATCAGGTCTTTTTCTACTGTTTCCACCAATCAGGAAACTTTGTTCAACTGCGTGGGTACATTATAGCTTTCCGATAGGTCGTCAGAGGTGACATGGGCCTGATGATGTCATGGCTACATCACAGCCATGTCATGACTGGGGCAATATACCACATTCAACAGCTAGCTTGAGATAGCAAGTGAACCTTTCTCTATATCTGTAGATGCTAATGCAGCATATCTCTTTGCTGGAACAACCTACACTGTACCTTTCATTATCATCATACTCCCTCTCTTCCCATTTTCCTCACTGCTCCCCTCTAACTTTTCTCCCCCAAGATCTCCCTGCTCTTCCCTCTCACCCCCTCTCTTCTACTCTCCTCCTCTCTCCACCATTTCTCTCATTCTCCCCCTCACCCCTCTTTCCCACATCTTTCCAATCTCGAACTGACAGATATTTCTGTCCATATATATATAAGGGGTACTTGGCTGTACCTGGGTCTGTTTTCCCCTTTCTCCACTCTTTCCCCCTCTTCACCCCATCTCCCATTCCCCTCTCATCTCCTATCCCCTTGGTATGCCCCTTCTTCTCTCCCCTTGTCCTCCTCCTCTCTGCATCTCCTTTCCCTCCCCTTCTCCACACTGAAATAACTCTATGGGAAACAAGCAATATTTCAGATGCCATGAAAATCACATGGGAGGGTCTCTATAAATGTCAGTATTTCTTAAAGTATTTCACTTGAGCCAACCCCGACTAGTGCGGCTATTTTGTGTGGAGTTGAAAATCAGGTGAGATTTAAAAATAATATATAGATTGTGTGTATAATTACCTTACTGAAATTACAGGATGAGAGCTACGCTCACTTTGTCCTGTCTTCTCGGCACTGTCATATAACGCTTTGAAAGTACTGATGGTTTTGGCCTCTATCGCCTTCTCGCTTAACTTGTTCAAATCTTCTATCACTCTGTTTACAAAAGTGAACTTTCTGATGTTTTTTTCTACAGTTTTGTTTAGTTACCTTAAATCTATGATCTCTTGTTCTTGATGTTCCAGGTCTCAAGAATTCTTCTGTGTCAATTTTGACAATTCCAGTTACTGTTTTGTATGTAGTGATCATATCGTCTCTTTTTTTTCTGTCTTCTAGATTTGGCATATTAATACCTCTGACCTCTCTTTGTAGCTCTTGTCTTTCAGTTCTGGGAGCCATTTTGTTGTATGTCTTTGCACCTTTTCCAGTTTGTTGAAGTGCTTCTTAAGATATGAGCACCATACAACCGCTGCATATTCCAGCTTTGGTCTAACAAAAGTCGTGAACAATTTCTTTAGTATTTCGCTATCAATGTATTTAAAAGCAATTCTGAAGTTTGAAAGTGTAACATAGGCTCCTCGCACAATGTTCTTTATGTGATCCTCAAGTAATAGTCTTCTATCTAGAACCACCCCTAGATCTCTTTCTTTATCAGAATTCTTTAAAGATTTCTCACAAAATTTATAGGTTGTGTGGGGTCTATGTTCTCCTATTCCACATTCCATAACATGGCATTTATTCACATTATATTCTATTTGCTAAGTGGTGTTCCATATACTTATTTTGTCCAGGTCTTCTTGAAGGGCATGACAATCATCTAAGTTTATCTTTCCTATTATCTTGGCATCATCAGCAAACATGTTCATTTGTTTATTAAATATGACTGTATTCCATCTGGTAGATCGTTTATGTAGACAATGAACATTACTGGTTCAAGAACTGAACCCTGTGATATTCCACTTGTGACATTTCTCCAGTCCGATACATTGCTTCTGATTACTGCCCTCATTTTTCTATTAGAATTTATCTTTCACAGACGGATTTAAGCTTAACGTGATTCAATCTGCACTATTTGCCCTTTGCATAAACTGTATTGCAACCTCATTACCTTTACTGGTCAGTTACTCTAATGATCACTTAGAAGAATCATGTTGAAGGTACTCACACAGTCTATTGCATCTAGTTTACCTTATCACAATTTCTTCTGTATTTTTGTCAGTTCACTATTATTTCCCAAAATATATTGCATTGCAGAATTCCTGGTCACTTGCAGATTATTTTATGAACTTTCGAGTTAACTTGATGCTGCTAGAGGAATTAGATGATGATAGTATAGTACTGTATAGATATTTTCGCCCAATAACTTTATGCAACATCTCCGAATTGAGCAGGAGTCCTGGCATGGAATGATTTGCATGGTGGTGCATTGCTAAATCCACCTATCAGGTCTTTTTCTACTGTTTCCACCAATCAGGAAACTTTGTTCAACTGCGTGGGTACATTATAGCTTTCCGATAGGTCGTCAGAGGTGACATGGGCCTGATGATGTCATGGCTACATCACAGCCATGTCATGACTGGGGCAATATACCACATTCAACAGCTAGCTTGAGATAGCAAGTGAACCTTTCTCTATATCTGTAGATGCTAATGCAGCATATCTCTTTGCTGGAACAACCTACACTGTACCTTTCATTATCATCATACTCCCTCTCTTCCCATTTTCCTCACTGCTCCCCTCTAACTTTTCTCCCCCAAGATCTCCCTGCTCTTCCCTCTCACCCCCTCTCTTCTACTCTCCTCCTCTCTCCACCATTTCTCTCATTCTCCCCCTCACCCCTCTTTCCCACATCTTTCCAATCTCGAACTGACAGATATTTCTGTCCATATATATATAAGGGGTACTTGGCTGTACCTGGGTCTGTTTTCCCCTTTCTCCACTCTTTCCCCCTCTTCACCCCATCTCCCATTCCCCTCTCATCTCCTATCCCCTTGGTATGCCCCTTCTTCTCTCCCCTTGTCCTCCTCCTCTCTGCATCTCCTTTCCCTCCCCTTCTCCACACTGAAATAACTCTATGGGAAACAAGCAATATTTCAGATGCCATGAAAATCACATGGGAGGGTCTCTATAAATGTCAGTATTTCTTAAAGTATTTCACTTGAGCCAACCCCGACTAGCCTATGAGACTCCCCTACCCCACATGCTTCATATGTGAAAGTTGGGTAAGGCTATCCCTAAGCATCTGGCCTTCAACTTTGGACAGACAAGAAACAAACAAGCAAGCAGGCATTCTCTCTTATATAGATTGCTAAACTTTCTTCACATATTCGCAAGTTTCAAATATTCATTATTGGAAAAAAATACGGCAGAATTTGCTTTTAGGTCACTGAACAGGTGACGGTGCAGAACAATCTTCATGCATAACCTGATTTTGAGAATTGGAGAGACTACACATTCTACACCGATGCTGTAAGGGCATGAGCTGGTAAGCTGTACTCTGAGAGTACGAACTCACAAAACCTGTCCTTAATTTCTTAGTTACAGTACAGGTACGTTACCTTAAACCAGGGATGTAGAACCAATATGTATTTATAAACACTTCAAACACAAGAATGACCACATGGGGCCATTACCATATTTTTACATTGGCGGGACTCAAAAAACAATCAAAGTGCGTGCCTTACATTTATTTAAACACAGGAAATGGGATAATACACTAACTAGGAATAGTCTCTCTCACCAGATTAATGATTATAGTTACAGTTACTCAGATATAAATGGAGGTCAATAATCTCAGACTGTGAGGTGGGTACCTCACAAGCAAACACCACGCAACCTGTGTGTGTGTGTGTGTGTGTGTGTAGTCTCAGCCCTCTCACTCTCGTGGAGTGCGGGGACGCTCCTTGCGAAGGCAACATTTCGTGCAAGATGGTGGGTCACACCTGTGGGGTTCACCAGGTGAGAAATCAATCATTAGGAGTCTTTACAGCACTCCTAACAGGGGACAAGCATACAGCTTAAGTAGATGACATTATGATGGAATAACAGCAGGCAAGGTCCATAGCATTAACAAAGCTATGTGCCCACACATCTTGAATTTTCATGAATGGTCTGCCAGCAACAGGTGCACACCGACTTTGTTGACAAAGTTACCGCCACAGCCCTGGCAACCAGTGGCGGAAGGCAAGATGACCACCCAGCCGCTGTGGGCGGCGAGGCAGCCTGGATACATGTCCAGGCACATCAACTGAGACCTAGCAAGTGTGGAACACCTAATGGATTCAAAAAGCCAAAGACTGCACACAACATATGTGGGGATGACATCGACTGGTGCGGGCAGACAGCTTCAACAGTTGTGTCCAGAAAGCAGACGACATGTAGAAAGAGTAACAACCGTGGACATTAGCAGTAGCCTAGAAACAGCTTAAATGCAAAAGTGGATAACAGCTACACAGCTGTAGGTAGACAGCTCCAACAGGTGTAGGCAGACAGCTCCAACAGGTGTAGGCAGACAGCTCCAACAGGTGTTGACAGACAGCTCCAATAGGTGTGGGCAGAGCTAGTTCTGGAACAGGTGTGAGCAGACAGCTTAAAAGGTGTAGGCCAACAGCTTGGTTCAGAAACAGGTGTGGATAACAACAAACAGGTACAGCCTCTGCAGATGTGGATAACAGCATACACAGGAACAACAGGTGTGGGATTTCACCAGATAGCAACCTCAGTAAATGTGGAGACAACATAAACAGGTGTAGGCCACCACAGGGGATGGATAGCCTAGAGCGAGGCTAGCATGCCCAGGAGCGATGCCACTGGTTGGGTGTATGTGAACTCACATGGCTTCCGCCAAGATGGACGAGTAGGCTTACATGTCCGCCATTTTGAAACAGAACTTCGTCATCTTGTAAGTGAACACATTGTCCTGCAGTACATGACTCCTCAGCGTGTGTAAATAAATGATAATAATGCATTATGACTTGTCAGTGTCCCGAAAACAAAAATAATTGCACCAGAATTAACACTGCCAAATTTACGTATCCTGAAAATTAGGTTATAGCGCCACCAAATTCAGTTAATTAAATACTGCAAAGTGAACAAGGCATAACCCAGTCTAGTTTTAATATTTACTTTAAAATGGCTCATATGCTCAACGGCTAGTAATTTACAACAATAAAAGTAAAATAATGGTAGCTTATGGCACGAGCAGGTAAGGCTTGCATGGGTTTACCAGAACTAAAGTTCTTTTGATCCCCAAGCAGCCGTATAAGGGCTGCATACTTGTAAGCCATTCAAAATAATCCTGTGTTGTTCAATAAAACCCTGTTGTGAAATTGTTCCCCAATGTTTATTTCTTGTCCCATGTAGAATAAGATTTCTTGCTTTGACCTGTGCTCAAGACTTGTGCTGGCAAATATATAGTATCTAGATAGTCTTCCCATTGTTTATAAAAAAGTAAGAACGGGTTTGTTAATTGTACTCTAGGGTACAGCTTCCACTCTCAAGCCTTACAATGCTGAATAATTACAAATCCTATTGCTGGGGCCTAGACTTTTATCATTCATTCACATATGTACAGTGAAACATGTATCATTTATCCACATAGCATACATAATATGCACAAATTTATATCATTATTCTAAGACAATTTTATGAAAAAAAAAATACAACTTTTTGTTGTTTTTACTTTGCAGAATTTTACCAGCAGCCACACAGGTTCAGGGACAAGCTTTGATGGTGCAAGATTTGATACAAGAGAAGAAATTGGAGGAGTCGGAATAGGAGAAATTAATGCCACAAGAGAGGAACCTAGAATGGGAGTAAGACAATCAATTTATGCCCCAGAAGAAAATGGAATAGGTAGTGCTCTTATTTTGGTCTCATTTAGTCACTCTAGAGGTAATAAAATAATAATTAATAATTTATTTTGGAAGGAACAGGCAGCATGTATATGTGTATATGTTACACTTGTATCAAGGTTCCCCCAAGGTTGAATTACCGACCACCTCAGGATGCAACTCCACAACAGCTGACTTAACTCTTGGGTACCTATTTACTGTTAGGTGAACAGAGGCATTCAATGATAGGAAATGTGTGGAGTCTCTGTTGAACTTGTAGGTCTAGAAAGTGTTTTTCTAGAACTAATTTGTAAAAAGCCAGTGTTGAATATAATGAAATGCCCTTTTCTGGGGGTAGTATCGGAGGCTCCCTGAAGCTAACTGAACTTTATTAGTTTGGTCTTTATTAGTTTGGGGTCATCAGTCACTGGAATTCTGAGCCTACCGGTAATCACAAGCCAGAACCTGGTCCCCTCAGAGAGGCGCAGGGAGGATGGCATATGACCACTTTACATTTAAAGTATAGGTACCCTGTATTGTCATATTCTGCCATCAACTGGGACAGTAGCCCAGAAAGATAGGTGAACTAAAACAAGAAACTAGCTGGTAAAATACAACTTACAGCCTGAAAGAGCAAAGAAACTCCCTTGCAAGAAAATAAACAAGCCAAAACAAGCAAGCAAGCTAATATTCCTGCTTGTTAGCCAAAACCCCCACCCCACCCCACCCTCCCTGTATGGGGAAAGAGGAGCCAGCTCAGGCTTCTCTATCCCTCCAGGACAAAGTTTGATAAAACCGCTGACAGAAGTGAGGGAGGGAGTCAGGGAGCCTCTGGAGCTACCCCCAGAAAATGGCATTTTATTACATTCAACACTGGCTTTCTGGGGGGGAGCCCCATCGGCTCCTTGAAGCTAACTACTTACAGAGAAGGAAAAGAGGGACTTACCCGAGAGGTGGCAGCACTGCAAGTAGAATTGCAAAGAAAGAACCGGCAGCCACGACAGACGCCTCAAAGCAACACAAGGCCAGACAAACCCTAGAAATATCCGACATCCAGGACCCTGTTTGACCTCCAAAACCCCCATGCTTTAATACCAACCCAAGACATGTTACCAAACACTGCAGTGAGCAGCAAGTACTGCCTCACATCATGGGCACAAGGGTAGACCGCAGGCTGGCTGGATTGTATGACACTGTGGACAACCTATTACACACGAGCTCTGGAACAGCGAACCAAGGAAACCGGATCCACCCTGAGAGCATCCACCTGCACAAGACCGGTGGCCCGCAGGTAGCGGCGCAAAGCCGTCACCGGACACAACACGTGATGCACCCCCGGCCTAACCAACCTAGACCCCACCACGAGGACTTCTGGAAGCCTGCCATCTCAATCTTCACCTGAAAAGAAGGAGAGGGCTGCAACCAAAGAAAACGACCCCAGGACCAAAATAACAGAATCCCGGCATTGGAGGAGAGCAGGAAGCTCTCCAACCCTATCCTCAGAAGCCAAGGCCAACAAACAGTAGGCCTTACGAAAGCAATCACTTACCGAAAGAGCCACCACGAAATGAGAAAAAGAAAGAAAAGAAAGAACCCGGTCCAAAGACAAGGAAGGCGCAGGCGGTGCATGAGCATGCCGGTGGTGAAAAACACATGAAAACTTGCAGAACAGAGCGGAAGTAACATCCACCTTGAACGCAAGCCGGAGTGACTCTGCCAACGGCACACGAGAGCAAGCAACAATATTCGGTATGAGATGCTGGTTCAGAAAAGACAAGAAAGAAAGGACAATGCAACCCTGTTGAAACAGCCGAAAACCTTGGAAGGGAAAGGAACTGACATAAAGACCAAAAGATACTTCATACTGTCACCGAGAAGATCACAGGTGGGACACCATCAAAGAAACCACCTAATCACCATAAAAATGCTGATACACCCTTCATCAGAAAGACCAGGCGCGAAGTCCGGAGCAGTAAAGCAAACCAGCAAGGGACCTCACAGGCGTGAACTGCTGACAGAGGCAGAGCCACAGAAAAACGCACGGGTTCAGACACTGAGCAAGCAGCACCTGAAACAAAGCCGGGCTGGGCCGGCCACCATGGAGCCAGGATAAGAACCCTTCCCTGAAAGAATTTGAAATGAGCCAGGACCTGGAGCAACAGCTGTACAGGGGGAAAGAGGTATAGAAACCCCTACCTCGACCAGTCCTGCCGAAAACGTTTACCCAACAGCCTCGCAGTCAGGGAACAGCACCACAGACAGAGGAAGGCGCCAAGCCCATATTGACACAGTGGACCTTCTGGGTGACTGTACATCTGGCAAAGCCTCCTGAAGGACACAGAATCGATCATCCACATTGTGGAAGGGGAAGGAACAGGATAGGCCGGCAGCCAGAACGCAGGACATTGCCTGAACTTGAACAGCGCGTAGAGCTAAACCCCGAGAACTCAGCAGAAGAGCTACTCAAAGCAAGCAGCTCGAAGTACTATGAGCACCTGACCAACACCCACACAAACAGCGGGCACAACCACACACGGGAAAATCCAGTCAGGAAAGCGAGGCCAGAAGTGACTTCTGACTGCCAAACACATCAGAAGAGAACTGGGAGGAATGGACAGTGGGCCACACTGTCCACCCCTCCCAATTTGGAGCCTGAACTGGCTACTCCTTCCCGTTGCAGGGTGGGGGGGGGGTTCCTCTAACGAGCGGGAGTACTCATTTGCTTGCAGAGTTGCTTGTTTTGATTTGTTTATTTTCTTGCAAGGGAGTTTCTTTGCTCTTTCGGGCTGTAGGTCACGTTTTACCAGCTAGTTCCTTGTTTTGGTTCGCCTATCTTTCTGGGCTACTGCTTTGGTCGATGGTGGAATATGACAATACTTAAATGTAAAGTGCTCATATGCCATTGCTCCCTGCACCTCTCTGAGGGGACCAGGTTTTGGCTCATGGTCTCCGGTAGGCCCAGAACTTCAGTGACTGATGACCCCAAACTAGTAGTAGGCATCCATCAATCTCAGGACACTATAGAGTTGTGCTCTGGATTGGCCTCCCATGGCGCAAATCCAGGGTAAGTTATTACAGGGGAGAAGCGGTCACCTATGCAGCAGGTCCCCCCTCTCCATGGTGCCGAAAGTCTCCAATGAAAGGGCAAACGCCAATATGATTGGTTTCAACGCCGTTGCAGGAACTGTCAGAACGAGGTTGAAGGCAACAACAAACTGCCCTAGGGGCTCCAGCTCCTGAGTTTACCTCGAAGTTGGTAAAAGAAGGCACAGGGATTCCACAGGGATTCCAAATCTGGAAACCGCTGTGGTCGGGGCCGGAAAAGATTTTCCCCTCCAGCAAGGGCAAGAACGACCCCCAGTCTCCTGAAGCAGAGCTTGGGGCCACACGAGCCCCTCACCTGTGGATTCCAGACAAAGATTGTCACACCCCCCCTTTCATCCGAGGCTGGCTTCCTTCATAACCCAGCAGAAAGAAGAGTAATAATTATTAATTGCAATTCTATTATTATTATTATAATAATTGTTGTAACTAATAATTATTACTCTCCCTTCTTCTGATCTGAAGTGAAAATAAAATAAAGCTAAGAGTAAGAAAATAAGATAAAGTGAAATAAAATCCATTTCTGGGGGAGCCCCGCCAGCTCCCCCAAACTAATAAAGCACATATCAGTTCGGTTAACTTCAGGGAGCCAATGGGGCTCCCCCCAGATATAGGTTTTATATCACTTTTTGAAGATACCTCAAGAATTGTTAAAGGAAATCATTTAAAATAGGTTATGCATAACATATACTTTATACACTGTATATAAAATGATCCTAAAATGTATAAAATTTGAGTTTTCTAATACCTGGTGGCAGTTTTAATAACTAATTATTAAAAGTAAAATACAGTACTGTAGTTTTGTTGGTTCAGTATTTTATTTTGGTTTGTTTCATGATGTGCTCCTACTAAATTCATCTAAATTTAAAAACTTTAGTTTACACACACACAACTATAACTGAACAGAGTTTAAGCATCTTCAATTTTATACCTGCATTTGGGTGAGATGATATGTTACAACAGTTGTAACATATCACCTCACCCAAATGCAGGTATAAAATCGAAGATGTTTAAACTCTGTTCAGTTATAGTTGTGTGTGTGTAAACTAAAGCCTTTGAAAATGTAATAAGTTTTACGAAACGCGTTCAAGTGTCACGTCAGACTAGAAATAAAAATGAATTTTGGAGAATTGATTTTTCAGTTACCATCACAGTGAAAAGAAATGTGAGAAACATAGAGAAAATTCGTGTTAGAATTATTAATCTTACTTTTTCGGTCATATTTAATAATATATGTCTACAGGAAAGACTGCTACCAAAATATATATATATATATATATATATATATTATTAAATATGACCGAAAAAGTAAGATTAATAATTCTAACACGAATTTTCTCAATCTTTCGTACATTACGCTTCACTGTTGGAGGTAAATCAAAAATCACTTCTCCAAAATTCATTTTTATTTTTAGTCTGACGCGACACAGGCGCGTTTCGTAAAATTTATTACATTTTCAAAGACTTCACAAATACACAACTGATTAGAACTTGCGTTTCCCTGATTTTATATCTACATTTGAGTGAGGTGGGAAGGGTGATGTGGCATTACATTTGAGTGAGGTGGGAAGGGTGATGTGGCATTAACAGAAGACAGAACACTAGGGGATATTAATAGGGTATTAAAAGTATCAACACAAGACAGAACAGAAACAATGGGTATTGAATAGAAGTGTTTGTAGAAAGCCTATTGGTCCATATTTCTTGATGCTTCTATATTGGAGCGGAGTCTTGAGGTGGGTAGAATATAGTTGTGCAATAATTGGCTGTTGATTGCTGGTGTTGACTTCTTGATGTGTAGTGCCTCGCAAACGTCAAGCCGTCTGCTATCGCTGTATCTATCGATGATTTCTGTGTTGTTTACTAGGATTTCTCTGGCGATGGTTTGGTTATGGGAAGAGATTATATGTTCCTTAATGGAGCCCTGTTGTTTATGCATCGTTAAACGCCTAGAAAGAGATGTTGTTGTCTTGCCTATATACTGGGTTTTTTGGAGCTTACATTTCTCATGAGTAGGCTGGCCGTTTTTCTGGTTTTATAGTAAATCGTCAGTTGTATCCTCTGATTTCGTGTTAGAAATCAGTTAGAAAATCAGTTAGAAAAGTTAGAAAATTCGTGTTAGAATTATTAATCTTACTTTTTCGGTCATATTTAATAATATATGTCTACAGGAAAGACTGCTACCAAAATATACTAATATATATATATATATATATATATATATATATATATATATATATATATATATGTCGTACCTAGTAGCCAGAACGCACTTCTCAGCCTACTATGCAAGGCCCGATTTGCCTAATAGGCCAAGTTTTCATGAATTAATTGTTTTTCGACTACCTAACCTACCTAACCTAACCTAACTTTTTTTTGGGTACCTAACCTAACCTAACCTATAAAGATAGGTTAGGTTAGGTTAGGTCGGGTTGGTTAGGTTCGGTCATATATCTAAGTTAATTTTAACTCCAATAAAAAAAAATTGACCTCATACATAATGAAATGGGTAACTTTATCATTTCATAAGCAAAACATTAGAGAAAATATATTAATTCAGGAAAACTTGGCTTATTAGGCAAATCGGGCCTTGTATAGTAGGCCGAGAAGTGCGTTCTGGCTATTAGGTACGACATATATATATATATATATATATATATGTCGTACCTAGTAGCCAGAACGCACTTCTCGGCCTACTATGCAAGGCCCGATTTGCCTAATAAGCCAAGTTTTCATGAATTAATTGTTTTTCGACTACCTGACCTACCTAACCTAACCTAACCGAACTTTTTCGGCTACCTAACCTAACCTAACCTATAAAGATAGGTTAGGTTAGGTTAGGTAGGGTTGGTTAGGTTCGGTCATATATCTACATTAGTTTAAACTCCAAAAAAACAAAAATTACCTCATACATAATGAAATGAGTAGCTTTATCATTTCATAAGAAAAAAATTAGGGAAAATATATTAATTCAAGAAAACTTGGCTTATTAGGCAAATCGGGCCTTGCATAGTAGGCCGAGAAGTGCGTTCTGGCTACTAGGTACGACATATATATATATATATATATATATATATATATATATATATATATATATATATATATATATATATATATATATAAAAATATATATATATATATATATATTATATATATATATTCATTGCAAAGAAGAATTTTGCACAAACTGAAAGGATTAAGAAATAGTTCGATGAACTCTGGAAATTATATAAACTTATTTGGGCTGACTTCTAACCCAATCTGAGACACAAGCTGGAGAATCTACCAACAGGATTCACTGCATGAAAAGGAAAAGCAGGTTCACTGAAGCATAGGAGAGAAGGGAAAGTGGCAGAAAGCTCTGGCTGGAACCAGGGCTTCTGGCCAAAAGCCTCAGATCCAGGCTTCTGTAGTGCCTACATGGTTTCTGTAGTGCCTACAAGTTAAGGATGTTGTACTTGTAAAACCATTTGTAGTTGTTACACCCTCTATTCATAAAACTCCCTAGTTATCAAGCCTTCTATACTCACTAAACCACTCTGGAATACCCTTCTTGATTGCCCTCATGCAATTGAACCATACCTAGTTAATATATTTTTATATTTTTATAGAAAACAGTATACCAGCCAATGCACTACCCAGCATTGAGAGTCCAGATGGTCCAGCCTTTCCTCCACCAGCAACTTATGCTCCTCCTCAAGATGTTATGAACTTCAATGGATGCTTTAATCCAAGGTGTGTAAACTTAATTAAAAGTTAAAAATAAGTTCATCACTGAATGTGAACATATAAATCCCAGATAAGTGGGGGGGCCTCCCCACCATCCTCCTATCTCCAGCCCAGAGCCCCACCCCACCGACAGAGTAACCAGGATCAAATCATGTGAGTGTGGGTCATTGAGGATTTGAGGCCACCAGTGGGAATGTATCACACACCCACCCATCCACACAAACCTACACCCCCATGCACTCCCACACCTATACAATACTGTACTCCATGTGGCTGCCACACAGACGTTCGTGCTGCCGTGAAATTCAAATGGACACCAGTGAGCTAGTACCATGATGTTATGCACGAAGGGGGTACATGGGGACCTGGGAGAATGTTCATAAGCCGAATGTTTGTAAAGTGGGAACTCCCTGTACATACATATAAGAATGTGTGTGTACTGTCTGTTCGAAGTTGGGTCTGATGCTTGGGGGCTAACCTTCCAAAACTTTGCAGGGTGACAGGTCTTTTTCTGGGGAGGGTCATAAGCAGGCCAGTGTTGAGCTCCATTCTACCCTCCCCAACTTTGCAAGAAATGTAAATTACACTAATTTTCAACTTTGCTAAATATCATATTCCATCCTCACAAAGATTCGTATAGCATATAATTTTCTACACAGTGATAATGTGTTAGTTACTCATGTATTATATTTATTGATGAATGTTTATTGAAAATTGTTGTAGGGAGTATAGTGGTGAAGAATATTTAAGTTGGTGAAGGGTCATGGAAAGTGGTGTGATGCCAGAAAGGTGGTAAAATAAGAGATGGTAGTGAATGATAGGGTAGGTGGCAAAGGGTAATGTTAATGAATGATTGGAAATGTGATGAAGGGTAGGGAAGGTCGCAAAAGGTATTGAAGGTGGTAAACTAAAAGGAAGGTGATGTATATAGAAAATGTATTGAAGGGTAGGGAAGATAGTGAATGGCAAGAAAGGAGGGAAGAGTAGGGAAGATGGAGAGGGTTAGAAATTTTGGTGAAGTGTAGAGGAGGTGGTGAAGGGTAGGGAAGGTGTAAAAAGGAGTGAAGGGTTGGGAAGGCGTTGAAGGGGAGGGAAGGTAGTGAAGGGTGACGGAAGATGGTGAAGGAGACGGAAGGTTTTGAGGCATAGGAAAGGTGGTGAAGGAGACGGAAGGTTTTGAGGCATAGGAAAGGTGGTGAAGTGTAGGGAATGTGATGAAGGGGTGGAAAGGTGCTAGATAATGAGGAAGTAGGTGAAGGAGAGGGAAGATAGTGAAGGGTAGGGAAGGTGGTGAAGGCGATGAAGAAGAGGGGAGGTGGTGAAGGGTAATGAAGGTTGTGAAGGAGCAAGAAGTTTGTAGGTGGGAAACCTAGTGGTGCCTGGGTAGTGATGATGTTTACTGAAATGATAGTGTTTAATGAAAATGATTGCTGTAATTACCTAAGTGTAATTACCAAAGTGTAGTTACAGGATGAGAGCTACGCTCGTGGTGTCCCATCTTCCCAGCACTCTTTGTCACATAACACTTTGAAATTACTGACGGTTTTGGCCTCCACCAACTTCTCACCTAACTTGTTCCAACTTTCTACCACTCTGTTTACAAAAGTTAATTTTCTTATATTTTTCAGGCAGCTTTGTTTCATTGGTTTAAATCTATGACCTCTTGTTCTTGAAGTTCCGGGTCTCAGGAATTCTTCCCTATCAATTTTATCGATTCCTGTTACTATTTTGTACGTAGTGATTATATTGCCTCTTTTTCTTCTATCTTCTTGTTTTTGCATAATTAAAACCATAACCTCTAACATCATCATAAATGTCGTAGCTCAGTCGATTAAGGCAGTGTCTGGGATGCTCCCAGATGCAGGTTCGAATCCTCGTCACGGCCCTTGTGGATTTGTTCATAACCTCTAACCTTTCCTAGTAGCTTTTGTCCTTCAGTTCTGGGAGCCACTTAGTGGCATGTCTTTGCACCTTTTCCAGTTTGTTGATGTGCTTCTTAAGATATGGGCACCATACAACTGTTGCATATTCCAGCTGTGGTCTAACAAATGTCGTCAGATATAAAAACACACACTGACCATGACTCTTCCTTACATGACTCTTTTTCCTTCCTTCCTTCTGTGATGAGGATTGTATGTTATGATGTGATGTGAACACCCAATCATGTGTGTTATGTAGATAGTTACAGTGTTACAGGTGTGTAGTGAAGCGGGTTAGTGATGATGGTTGTGAGTAATTAAGCCACACAATGTTGTGAGAACAAATATTACAAAAACTCAAACTATCCACATATGAAGCATGCATATTATATATATATATATATATATATATATATATATATATATATATATATATATATATATATATATATATATATATATATATATATATATATATATATATATATATATATATATATATATATATATATATATATATATATATATATATATATATATATCGTCGCAAAGGCAGCTGCAAGAACAGTTAGTGATGCAGCGGCCAACATGCTGAAGCCAAAACAGCTCGGGTTTGGCATTCCACAAGGGTGTGAGGCGGCAGCCCATGCAGCTCGAGCCTTCATCGCCAACATCACAGACGAAAAGGCCCTTATCAAGCTAGATTTAAAAAATGCCTTCAATTTGGTGCGGAGGGATGCTGTACTCCGTGCGGTTCATAGTCATTTCCCTTCCCTCTACCCTTTTGTACATTCATGCTACAGTATGGATCTTAAGCTACTTTTTGGCGAACATGAAATTGACTCGCGAGAAGGCGTCCAACAGGGTGACCCCCTTGCTCCTCTCCTTTTCTGCTAAGTCATCAAACAAGTCACAGAGGTCCTGTCCAGTGAGCTTAACATCTGGTTCTTGGATGATGGTACCCTAGCTGGTTCCCAAGACTCCCTCCCTCCTGGAGGACATCAGAAAAATCCAGGAGCATGGTGCAGTTTTAGGCCTCACCCTGAACCCTTCTAAATGTGAAATAATATGTTCCAACCAGGGCATCGTAGAGAGAATAGAGGGTCTTCTGCCAAATATCCATAAAACTAAACCTGAAGACAGCACACTCCTAGGAGCTCCCCTGGGGTTGAAAGCCATCGATGAGGTCCTTGATAAGAAAATCGCCGACCTTAAAAGGATGGATGGGAGGATTGAGGATATTGATGCTCATGATGCACTCTACCTCATCACCAGATGTCTGTCCCTCCCCAGGTTAACCTACTTTCTGAGGTGTTCACCACCTCAGTACAGTAGCCAAAAACTAAGTGAGTATGACCGGTTACTGAAATCAATGCTAGAAAAAGCTCTTAACCTCTCTCTCGATGACCTACAGTGGAAACAAGCCTCTCTTCCCATAAGACTTGGGGGCCTCAGAGTTCGAACAGCAACGCAAATCGCTGTTCCAGCCTTCCTGTCCTCCTTATCAGCATCTGACGACCTTGTGAAGGAAATTCTACCTGCCCACTTACATCAGCTGGCAGGTGTACATGATCCCAATTTTACACGCTGTGCCACAGAGTGGGCCTCTCGTGCAGGCCAATCACCTCAACCACCATCCCCAAAAGCCCACAAGCAATCCAGCTGGGATGGCCCCATTGTAGACCAAGTTGCTGCAGAGTGCCTGGGTGCTGCAACAACACAACACGACATTGCTCGCCTCACAGCAGTAGCAGCACCACATGCAGGGGATTTCCTGTTAGCAACCCCAATGTCGGCAACTGGCACGCGTCTCACACCACACGCCCTCCGAATTGCTGTGGCCCTCCGCCTTGCTGCCCCAATCCACACCAGATATAGGTGTATTTGCGGCGAGGTGGTGGCTGACAGGTACGGCCACCATGGCCTACTCTGCCAAAGCACAGGGGGATGGCACTCGAGGCACAATGAAGTTAACGACATCATCAAGAGGAGCCTCACCACAGCTGGATGCCCAGCTGAAAGAGAGCCCCGTTACCTAACGCCCCATAACTCTGATGCTCTTATTGGTCGCCCGGATGGTATCACAGTGAACCCCTGGAAGAATGGCAAGCAGTTGGTATGGGACTACACGTGCGTATCAACCCTGGCTAACACCTACATTAACCTCAGTGTTGCACAACCAGGTGGCGCTGCCACCCACAGGGAAGCAGCCAAATCCCGTAAGTATAGAGAACTGGATCACCACTACAATTTTGTCCCCATTGCTTCTGAGACACTCGGCGCCTGGGGTAAAAGTGCTACCAGTTTTTTGAAGGAACTGGGTTCTAGGCTCATTGAAACAACAAGGGACCCAAGAGCTGCAAGCTTTCTTTTCCAGCGCCTCAGTGTGGCGATACAGAGGGGAAATACGCACTGCATCCAGGGTTCCTGCCCGCCATCTGAGGAGCTGGAGGAACTCGACAACCTATGATAACCATCTTCGTAACCCATATGTAACTCCTTTTTTGTAACAAAGTTCAAATAAAGTAAATATATATGTGTACATACAAAAGAATGGGGGTGGTAGGAGAAGATAATATTAGTGTTCAGTGAGAAACCACAAGGTCTCCTCTGAATACTTTTTATTTTCTTCTCCGAGGCTATGGGTCCCCACATTGGCACCAGAGGTGGTACCCTCACAAACTAATAAATATATATATATATATATATATATATATATATATATATATATATATATATATATATATATATATATATATATATATATATATATATACAGAGCACCACTTGGTTTCCGAACTTTAGTTATCCGAAACTTCCAGTTTCCCGATTGGGGTTGGGGAGTCATGCTACCCGAACAAAGTTCGGGTAGGAAGGGGTCCGCCAAGCGTCACGCCGGCTTGTTGTGGTGGGTGGGAGATGGTCCAGTTTGCCCGCTGTGACTTCACAGATTCACGGCCTATTATTCCTATTATTTTGAATTGCCATAAGGCTGGAATGTTCATTCTGTGCTTTTGTTTTACATATCTGCACAATCAAGAAACATCTGTGCACCATGTTGGCTCCAAATGCACGCATTGCGTCAGTGATGGCTGACTGGTGGGTGGATGGACGATGGAGCTTAGGTGGGAGGCAGTATGAATGAGGGGGAGGGGGAGAATCAGTGATAGAGGGGGAGAGAGAGATTCTAGGAGGGAGGGGGAGGTAGGGAGAGATGTTAGGAGGTAGGGAGAGATGCTAAGAGGGAGGGGGAGGTAGGGAGAGATGCTAGGAGGTAGGCAGGAAGGGATGGAAGTAGTGAGAATTAGGGAGGGAAAGGCAGGCAGGCAGGCACAGGCAGGCAGGCAGGCAGGCAGGCAGGCAGGCAGGCAGGCAGGCAGGCTAGCTTGCAGGCAGGCTGGCAGGCAGGGAGTGAGTGGTAGTCACGCGGTTGAACCGCGTGACCTTGAGAGATGGGATGTAGGGGGGCGGGTGGTTTGTTGGTGGTGGGTGTGAGACCGGCTCATTCCCGAAGATAAGCCTAACACACACTACCCGTTAGCATGATGGTAGGCAGGCAGGCTTGCAGGCTGGGAAGGAGGCAGGCAGGCAGGCTTGCAGGCTGGGAAGGAGGCAGGCAGGCAGGCTTGCAGGCTGGGAAGGAGGCAGGCAGGCAGGCTTGCAGGCTGGGAAGGAGGCAGGCAGGCTTGCAGGCTGGGAAGGAGGCAGGCAGGCAGGCTTGCAGGCTGGGAAGGAGGCAGGCAGGCAGGCTTGCAGGCTGGGAAGGAGGCAGGCAGGCTTGCAGGTTGGGAAGGAGGCAGGCAGGCAGGCTTGCAGGCTGGGAAGGAGGCAGGCAGGCAGGCTTGCAGACTGGGAAGGAGGCAGGCAGGCAGGCTTGCAGGCTGGGAAGGAGGCAGGCAGGCAGGCTTGCAGGCTGGGAAGGAGGCAGGCAGGCAGGCTTGCAGGCTGGGAAGGAGGCAGGCAGGCAGGCTTGCAGGCTGGGAAGGAGGCAGGCAGGCAGGCTTGCAGGCTGGGAAGGAGGCAGGCTTGCAGGCTGGGAAGGAGGCAGGCAGGCTTGCAGGCTGGGAAGGAGGCAGGCAGGCTTGCAGGCTGGGAAGGAGGCAGGCAGGCAGGCAGGCAGGCAGGCTTGCAGGCTGGGAAGGAGGCAGGCAGGCAGGCAGGCAGGCAGGCTTGCAGGCTGGGAAGGAGGCAGGCAGGCAGGCAGGCTTGCAGGCTGGGAAGGAGGCAGGCAGGCAGGAAGCGATATATGGGTGTTGAAGTGAACCATGAACCACGTGACCTTTGAGAGTGTGTGTGTATGGGTTTAGGGTGGGGGGGAGAGGGGGAGGTTTGTCGGTGGTGGGGGAGGGACCGGCTGACTCCGTAAGCCTAACCACACTCCACAGACCTGTGACCCAGATTTGTTTCTTAAATGTACAGTACATCATCGTATATTTTAGGCAGGATGTGCCTGCAGGCTGGCAGGATGTGCCTGCAGGCTGGCAGGCAAGCTGGCAGGCAGGCTGGCAGGCAAGCTGGCAGGCAGGCTGGCAGGATGTTCCTGCAGGCTGGCAGGAAACATCCAGAGGATGTTTGCCAGTCGTCTTAATAATCAGTTAGGAACAATTAAGGACTTTTATAAAGCGGATCAGGACTTCACTTATTGGTGAGTACAAACAAAACACGGTCGCATTTACGTTATGAACCTGTCGATTTTTTCCCCTAGAGTTTTTTTTTCGTAAATTTTTTTGGACCCATTTCTTTTTACATTTCTAGTTTATTTTTTCACCTCTGTTTCTCGTATACGAACTAGGTGTCTGAAATTGGCTTTCAGAACAATCTGCTGATCATGGGAATATTTGCTGCCCTGCCTGTTACAGAACTCATTAGATCCTACCTGAATGTGAGCACAATAGGTTGTGAATATCCTTGAATACCATACTACAGTGGTACCTCGAATAACGAATTTAATCTGTTCCGGTGCCGTGTTTGTCATGTGAAACGGACGTCATACAAAACGAATGTCCCCATTTAACCACTGTGATGCGCCGAGTTTATTGTGAAATTCCCCCAGTGTGCATGACATCAAGTGTTCCCAAAAAATACATTTTCTTTGTAAAATGATAAATTCCCTTCCCTGAACATGTCTGTGTAAAAATAAATAAAAAATTCCACTTACTTTGGCTGTGAGGACGTGGACATGGTGCGCTGTGACGTCATCAGGGACTGGTCGCCCGTGTGTGAAGCTCCCAGACATGGTTGTGCAGGCCATTCAAGCACCGCGTGAATGGCTTGTGTTGCCACAAATATTGCCACGTATTGCCACAATATATTTTCAATTATTTGTTCTATGTATTTCCAATGCGGTTTTGTTTCTTTTATCGTATATGATGCATATTTGTGACCTTTACAATATGTATACAGTAGAACGTTCATAATGTTCCATGGAACTGTGATGCATGTGTCAGTAATGTGTCCACAATAAATGTTTATTGTCACAATATTACTTGGTAAAAATTCACTAAAGTGTATATGTACAGTTTCACATACTATATACACAGTAACACACTGTATTACACACTCAGTACTTTGGAGGTGCGTAATAATCAACGAAGTAGTCCATGGTACACAGCGCGACTTTGCTCTTGTTGCACCAGCTACGGATAGATTTTCGCTTCCTGTTCTTCGTTCCGTGCGCTTGCAAATAACGCAATCGCGTACACCCTTGGCTTTAGTACTTGTAGGTGGTATGTAGCCACGCTTTTAAAGCATAAGGTAGTATTGAAAAGATTATAGGAAAAGATCAATTTGTCAGGTAGTCTTGAAAAACTCCCTTTGTAACATCCCACACTGGAAGAGATTCAGCCAGCCTCAAAGAGTGTCCGTCAGTCAAGAAGAGATTCAGCTAATCTTGAAAATATTTATGGAAAACACCACCATGGAAGCCACTAACACTGTTCATCTATGCTATTTGTATCAAATGCACCATCACTGCATGCAGAAAATGATTCATCTATATAAATTGGAGATGGCAAGGGTGGCGCTCAGAGCTACAGCTGGATATGCTCGCTGTATCACCCTCATAGGTGCTGTATCACTTGCATCCGACCTTTGTGTTAAGTCCTTATTGCACCTAGCTTCACCAATATTATGACCGTTATGTTATTCAAATAATAAGATCTGAATTTCACCGACAGAGCGCAATCTTTCAACACCGTGTCGAACCAGTGTTTGGGACCCTGGGGCATGTGTGCCACAAATGGTTGCTCACTCAGTACTAACCCAGCCAGCAGCCCTAGTCTTTCATATTTGTTATAGCAAGAGGTTCGTTCAGTGTTTGTCGGGTAGGCTGCTTCATTATGACAATCTTTCTTTGTTTCAAATGTGTTCCATTTATTTTGTATTTTTCATTTATGTCTCAATAATGGAGCAGCCTACCCAACAAACACCGAACGAACCTTTTTGACATTTGTTCTTTCTTTAAAACAATTCATTTCGTTTTTCTACAAAAAAGTTGATGCTTTGCAACATCCCAGCATCAATAGCATCTTTAAACAAAGAAAAATACTTTATTTGCATCGTCGGAGGCATCTGAGAATGTGTGAGAAGTAGCCCCTGAACCCACCATGTGGTGTTGACGTTATTCAAACAAGCGTTCGCCATACGAGACGAATTGTAGCCGGTCCAGCTAGTCGTTACACGAAATGTTCACCATTTGAGGCGTTCGTTATTCGAGGTACCACTGTTCTTTTACCATATTATAAATTTAGACATTTAATATATTGTACTTTGTTTGCTAGTGAATATATAATATTCCAAAAAATTTATTGAATATTTAATTTGATTTCCAGTCATAAGCTTTCTTTGTAATATTGCAAACATTTTAAATCAACCATTGAACTTTCAGATGATAATGAATTACGGGGTAGAGGATCAGTGTTTTTTTAATTCTCGTTGTCTTACTGGATTTGGAGTGGTGCCTGATTTTTCACGTGTCTTCAGTAACATTGGCTACATCTTTGCTGGAATTGCATTCACCATCATTGTGAGGAAGCATCAGAAATTAACTCATAACATTCTTAATGGATACACTGCTTTTAATGTAAGTTTAATTCCTTAATTTCTGTCTATCCTTAAGGTTGATCAATACACATCTTGTTGTTTAGTACACCACCATCATGATTTTTTTATTAATTATTCTCAACAGGAATGCTGTATTGTTTTGTCATTTATTTTTTTTTGCTAGGTTTTCATGCATTATTTGAACTGTACTGACTTTAAACTGAGCACTTCTATATGGTAACAATATGCTTCCTCTTGAAAATAGGCAGTGTAACCCAATGGAATATTATTTTTATTTCCAAGCTATCCCACTTGATTGCCCTAAGTTTCCACTCCTACCTTGTTATCATAATAATAATAATAATAATAATAATATTACTGCACAAAGAAATCATATTAATGTGGTGTATCAATAAGAAAATCAGTAGGGATTTGGGTACATTTAAGTTTTCTTCTAAGATTACCTACCCTCCTACCAAACTAGAGTGAGGTGGCAGAACTAATAATATAATGGCTAATATAATTTTTTCTCTTTGCACCAACTTAAAATAATACTTTTTATTTTGAGAAATGTAAGTGCTTGGATAATCAGTAAATATTTTAAAATCCTTTAGATGTTACCGTCAGTTTTATATGTTTTGTTCCCCATTATGAAGTACTGTATAGATGAAATGTTATGAATTGTTTGGAAAGAATTTAATGGTGTGAGAAATAAGCTTATTGCTAACTGAAAATTTAGGTGGTGTTGATTCGGTAATAAATGATTGCGGGTTTAAGTCCTGGGCAGTACAAGACGTTTGAGGATGTTTCCTTACACCTGATTCACCTGTTCACTTAGGACGTAAGTTGCATCGAGAAGCTTAGTCACTGGGCAAAGCCGACCATGATAAGCCTAACAGGCTCCCTGTCCCCAACAATGTGGTACTTAAGAGGCTGATTTGTTCAGACTCTATGATGCCACTACGGGGAGCAAGTTTAGGAAGCTAGACAGGCTGTGAGAAATAAATTACATATTGCAATATAGCATGCCAAAAACGTTTACAGAAGTATCACAGTGTTACAGCAAAATGACTGTTTCAGAGTGTTGGAGTAAGTCGACACTATGGGCTGTTTACTTCACTTGGCTATGGCCTCATCATTGAGGGGATCATGTCGGCACTTTATCATCTGTGTCCAAACAGTGTTACCATTAGATTTGGTAAGTGAATATCAATACTGTATATATATCATTAACTGTACTGTATCTCGTGTTCGCTTATTCCGTTTTCTGAGCTGATCCATAAGGTTGCTCCATAAAATAAGAATCTGATATGTAGCAGACAAGATTCACAAGCAAGCAGGTAGGACAACATTCAGACACAGTTGTGCTGCATGAAATTCTAGGCATCTGGACTAGTATATCTGGACAACTATTTTCTGTTTAAATTACCTCAAGCCCATCATCATTCAGTAAAAATCAGTGATCAGAGCTATAACAAATTCTGTCTTCCGACAACGCAGCCCCTCTGTTCAAATCTCTGAACATGCTAAACATATAATGACCACACATTCTCTTTTGCTATATATACTTACATTACAAAACTTACATATATATATATATATATATATATATATATATATTATTATTATTATTAATTCTAACACGAATTTTCTCAATATTTTTTATATTTCTTTTCACTGTTGATGGTAACTGAAAAATCAATTCTCCAAAATTCATTTTTATTTCTAGTCTGATGCGACACTTGAACGCGTTTCGTAATAACTTATTACATTTTCAAAGACTTTAGTTTACACACACACAACTATAACTAAACAGAGTTTAAACAGCTTCGATTTTATACCTGCATTTGGGTGAGGTGATATGTTACAACAGTTTTGGATGAGGTGAAAACAAACTTTCAACACAAGACAGAACACGAAACAATGGGTATAATATTTTGTAAGTTAAAAGGAAGAATGGAAGTAACTGCAAAGGGCCTACTGGCCCATATTTCTTGACGCTTCTATATTGGTGCGGAGTCTTGAACTGGGTAGAATATAGTTGTGCATTAATTGG